TGGTTGACAGCCATCAGAGAGATTGGGACACTTACATACCTCTCTTCTTGCTTGCCTATCGGACTGCTGTACATGAAAGTACCGCAAAGACGCCTGCATTTGCAAATTTTGGAAGGGAATTGAGATTACCGGCAGATCTTGTATCGGGCTGTCCACCTGGCGACACTCGCACCGAGTTTAGCGATTACATAAGCGAGTTAAGGGCAAAAATGTTGGACATTTACGAGCAGATCAGGGAGGCCGGTCTTCAAGCTAGTGATCGCGCAAAAACGCGCTATGATCGACGAGCCAATTCTGTTGGGTTTGAAGAGGGGTCATTGGTCTGGCTTCATAATCCAGTCAGAAGGAAGGGAAAATCTCCGAAGCTGCAACCGAGTTGGGAAGGTCCTTATGAGATAGTCACGAAAATCAATGACATTACTTACAGAATTCGGAAGACTTCAAGGAGCCCTTTGAAAGTTGTCCATATAGACAGGTTGGCGAGGTATTACGGCAGCAACGATGCTCGGGACGAGCGAATCTAAGAGGGGGGCAGTGTGACGGAAAAGTGGTTCAAACTCTTTGACATCATGACGTCAATGGATGGTTGTCAAACGTTGCCTAGAGATTGTAAATTTCGTCGTGAATTTTCAATACGAGTTGGTGTAATTGGTAAGGCGTGTGGATTACACCACAGAGACCCCGAGTTCGAGTCCCGCCGTAAACATGAAGTTTTTTAGTTGATGGAAGTTTTGTCGAACTTTCTGGAATTATTGTGTAAAAGAAATGAAAAATTAAAGAGCGAGAAGGAGAATAAATAAAAATGAATAACGAAATTATTGGAAGGTTCTGGAGGCATGACGATCAAAAAACGAAATTGAATGTTCCAGAACTTGACCGGGGGTATATAAGCGGAACTGCGGCTCACCGCTGGCAGTTGAGTTCTAAGTCTAAAGCGATTCGGAAGAAAAGGAAGAAGTGAAAAAGAAGAAAAGTGAGTGAAATAGTGAAGTGCAGTGAAATAGTGAAGTGCAGTCAGTTAAGTGAGTTAAGTCAGCGTGAACGGCAAAGTTGTGTCAGTCGGCCGGACTCTGCTGGAGAGGAACGCCGATAACTTAACTCCGTGGACGCTGTAACTTAAGTGCAATAGAAAGTCTGAAAACCGGTATTAGTGTTTCATTTCATCCAATCCCGTAACCCAAGCCCGCATAGTCAGGAACGTGACGAGGCACGTAACAATAGTAATAGTTCGAATTATTCAATTCAATTCAATTCCAGTCTTGGGTAAAGTATTTATACCTAGTTTTTTAGTCAGAATAATAAAAACGCCATTTAGAAGTTCTTATTAATAACCGGTAACAAGTTAATCAGTTTTGAATGTAGTTTTTGAACTTTACTTTTTAGAGTAGTTATTTACATGTGAGATAATCTTGACAATATCTCATTCGATAACATCAGTTGACAAGCTCAAGTGATGATCTTTACGTCACAAAAATATTGAGAGTAACTCGACCTTGGTTCTTAGAAAACATATTATTTACCTGTATCATGTCTTTTGTATTAAAACATAAGCGTAATTAACATAATACTATTATTTAATTGGTATCTTAAGGTAATTAATTATTTTATATAACTGTTTTTATGTGAAGCAATTTGGTATAAAACAATATTACAACATAAAATATAGAGATTCCACGGCGCTAATCACACCGTAGATCAGATCATCTCACATGATGAAGTCATGTGTGTGTGTGTGTGTGTGTGTGTGTGGGTGTATAACAAGTTCGAGGGGATTTCCTTCGCCTTCAGAATAATTAATAGTTTTATTTACAAGAAATATAAACTTGTGTCTAATTGATCTTTTTTTTTTGATGGGGAAAAGTCACCATGGTCTTTCCCGCCCTGGGTGACGCGAAAGGAAGTGTCAAACTCCGAACCGGGGTCACAGCCACCTAAGTCGCTTTTACCCCAACAAGCAAAAGTCCAACTACGTCTATATATATTTTACAACCTTATTACCAAACAATAAGGTTGATCATACTTTTTTTTAAATAGCCTGATATGCTAATGTACTTATACGCAAATCAAACGAAATTGACACAGTTGGTAGTTGTGGGTATTAGAGTTAATTATTGATTAGGTTATATCTATCACTGAACGAGGCGTAAAAAGTATTATTATTATTGTTATTTAAACCTTGCCCCACACTAGGATTTTCTCGTACTTACCTACTTGGGTACAACAAACATACAATTTCCACATACACATAACATCCAGACCCGGAACAACAATTTGTGGATCACACAAAGAGTTGTTCCGTGCGAGAATCGAACCCACGCCACGACTCGTTGCGCGGCAGTCAGTGGCCCAACCATCGCGTCAACAGCAGACAACATAATATGATTGTGAGTCGCAATTATTTAAATAAAATCACTGACTTGTAATTGAATAAATGAATAAAACTCACCTTTATCCATTTTAGTCACTTCTTCAGGCATTTTATTTGTTGAAACTGAACAATTTAGTAATAGCACCAAATGATATAAAATTATTTTTTATATTAAATTAATTTACTTACGAAAATTAATAATATTAAATTATTTCATAATTAAAATAAATAATATTATAAATTCGAATATAATTTCGCCGCGAGGCTGCGCGCTTGTGTTGCGCGCGCGCTACCTGTCGATAGACTCAGACATTTATTTTTTCATGGGCAAAGACATCACAGCCAATGCCACGGACAATTCATTGTTTATGGTGCAACTGTGATGACGTTTTGCGGTTGCAGGTTACTAACGTTGTAGTTTTAATTACTTACGAACGAAATAACAGTATTAGTTTTGGTATGGCTCATAGATTTGACTGTAAGAAGTACAAGTATTATTTGTGAATGCCGCCGTGAAAAGAGATATCTAGTATATGAGAAATATTGTAAGCATCCTAATTTTATGCGTTCGATGACGTTTTTCACACAATGCAAACACATAACCCATGTTTGGTATGTGGATACGAAGGAAAAAAGTACCTATAATTATGACTCCCGGTGGTGTAAAACTATGTAGTTTTTCGCCAAATATTTACATGAATAAGCTGTTAATAATTGTTTTAATATATCTCACAATAGCTTTAATACAAAAATAAGAAATAAATAATCAACAACAACAAAACAAGACAATTTTAATCAATTCAGTCACAATACAATAATTATTAAAAATAAATAAATATGTACCAGTTTTAATCTTAAACTAAGACACAAAACAGGTTTTTTGAGGATTTTGTCGAAATAATATTGAATATTTTATGTAAGTAAGAAATATTATTGTTTAATATTAATAAAATTATATTTTCACCGACATCGACAACATAAATGCGATGACAATTTTGAAGTTGACAAAAACTATCCTCTTGTCATACTTGTTTGTTTATAAAACGAAAAAAGGTTTTATGAAATCGAATGAAATCCTGCCAAAATACAACGAAAACAAACTCGACACTTTTAACCTTTTTAACATTATTTAAATAAACAGGTCAACGATGCCTGCCATGTCTTTTAGCAATAAGGAAAATTATCGTCTCGCCCTGGGCGGGACGGAAGGGAGTCAGGCTCTTACTAAAACACCCCGAGCCTTTTATTTCTCCAGGACGGTTGAAGCAAAATAATGTACAGCTGCTAAACATCAGCCCTAATAGGTAATCCACGGCGGATGCCCGAGCGTACGATCGACTGTATATGTAGATGCCTGGAGGGTCTCCTACAGCAGGGGCTGGGGCATAGACGAGCATAACAGCTTCACAGAAAGGGGATGGCTTCTTAGTTTTTCTCGCGTCTCACCATGGCCTCGACTAAAGCCGGTCACGACAGGTAGCCACTGCCGAACACGGGAAGTGTTCAGGAATAAACTAAGAGTTGATGTTGCAATTAGAAAGAGTGCCCTATTCTTTTGGCAATTTTAGGACAAAAATATATTTGTTCCTGTGTTATAAATAATTATTAATCACCTTCTACTTATGGTTCCAAAGAAGTTATTGGATACAAAGTATTTTTTTAATGCTAAAAGCCCGACACCCCCCTTTTGAAACCGCTGCAACTTCTCTAAGTCAGGCTCTAAAGTAAACACAACCATGAAAACACCAGAACACTGAAGTCCGGCGCGTCTCAGGGACATGAATGACTGTATTGGATCCTGCTACGAAATAAGTCTGAAGATATTATTTGAGAAGACTAAGAAACAAAACAGTTTCTACTTACCTCAGTAAATTAAAGGCAGGATAGAGAATAACTTAGCCTTATAGGCACAAAAGAGACTCTGGGGAGAGAGTGTACAACTGGGAAAAGCCCAATCCCCAAACACCAAAAGGAGCTGTGTGAGCTACTTGGTTCCAATAAGGGTTTCGGATATTTAAGGATTGGGAAGAGACTGGGAAAGAGGGAGATATGTGGCCTTCGTTAACCTCACTTGCAAGTGAGGTCGTGTGTGACGAAACACAACGCTGTGGTTATTACACGTCGTTTTTATGTGATAGTGAGCCGTGGTATTACTCCTATCGACCCTATCCATTCGTGCCGAAGCTTGGGTCTCTCACACTTAAGCATATGGCTAGACATTCCCTGGTCCGTGTTCCATGACGCGTGCTCTCTCCATCTCTTATGGAGAACAATGTTCAACATCAATCAACGTAGGTACTATACATAAGCGTTTCAAAGAGGCAAACCTTCACCTGTCTTCTTTTCCTTACCCACCATTATGACGTATCTTAATAAATACTATACCATTGTCTCCTCAAAATTTTGTGTGCACCATTTTTTCCTGTTTTGAGGCAACCTGTTGGCATCATGTTGTGGGACCTAGCTTAGTCAATTTGGGAATTTATTGGCGACGCCGAGTTGTTGTATCAGCCAGGTCCCAGGTGACAGTGTTATTTTATTTCAGTATTCGAAGTTGAAGCCACGATTTGATATAATCATTATTAATATCAATATTAAATTACTGCTTATCAGTACACGATTTAAATGAAAGGGGAAATAATTATTTACATAAATTTTATTGATAAAATATTACACCTCTTCAAACTTCTTTGTCAGCACTTTTGGCAGATATTTCACCTGGAACAACAACAACAACAACAATTTGTAATCAAAATAAACACAAAAGGAACCAATCGGAAAATGGAACGAGCGAGACTAGTTTTAATATTTGTAAGTGAAGAAAATTCTTATTGTATAGAAAAGATGTTGTTAATAATATTGTGTCGGTAGACAATCCAATAACTTTACCATTTTCATTCTCCGGTGGTTCGTTCCATTTCTGCCTTTCACTTGTGCCAAAAATGAGATAAAATGTGTTCCCCGCAATGTATACTGCAGACGCTATGTAGAAAACTTTACGCCATTCGTTTGGATCCGTCTGGTGAGGAAAGAAGAAAATAAAATTATGAGGCCCTTCCATCATAACTGAACTTATTACTGAAAGGAGGCGTTTTCTTATATTATTTGTTGTAATTTATTTACTTCGCCTATTTTATTTATGGAATAGGAGGTATACGAGCAGACGTATCAACTGATGGTAAATGATCTACGCTGCCATCTGTTCATGCTGTAGCTGAATATATTTTTGAATTGATTTTTGAAGACAAAATCTTACCGTTTAGAAATTGATATTCAAATCAATCGGTGCTGGTGCGGTACAAGCCTAGTAATTAGTATAGACTTATAGTTGACAAGAGTAATTAAAGAAGAGAGGGTGACTTTGTACTGACCTCATCTTGCAAAACCACTCCAGCCACCAGAGGCGCAATGATGGATATGATGTTTGCTGCCATGTTGGTGATACCCAGCAGTGTACCCACGTAGTTAGGAGCCATGTCAAGGTGCACCAGCTAGAAAAAGTATATCTTTAACTTTTTTTGATATATCAAAAGTTTTGACTAGCTGTATGATAGATTGTGGGTTTACATATTATATTACATTTTAATAACAATGAATTTATAATAAACTAATTTCTGCCCGCGGCTTCGGCTGTTGACCGGGTTAAAAAGTAGCCTATGTGTGTATCAACTATCTAACCATACACACTACATATAAAATTCCAACCAAATCGGTCCACCCGATTTTAAATAAAAAGACAAACAAACAAATATATTTCAAATATATTTCCATACATTCTTTCATGTTCACCTAAAGATGAATTAAAAAAAATTGTGAACTATTACCGTAAAACTGGTGTGTTGATAGTGAAAACACTATTTTATTCTGTTCGTGATAATGGTCCAGGAAAATAGTTTATTGCAGTAACTCATGATATAATAGCCAATAAAAGTTTCCGCTTCATAAATGGTCACGGTTCGTAGATCATATTTTTCGAAGGGTTAAGCAAGGACCCCCTTTTTAGGGCATATATCTGGTATGGACTAAGCAAAATTTAGAAGTGCCCAGAATTCTATAGAGTATCAAAAGTTACATATTACAACGATTGCTTGTCCCAATAGTGCTTAATAAAGGACTGAAAAAAGTCGTGGTGGCCCGGAGGTTAAGGAGCCCCCTTCTCACGCATGAGGGTGTGGATTCAAAACCTGGCAAGTACCAGTGTGACTTTTTCCGAGTTATATGTACTTTCTACGATTATTTAGACACCACTGACATACGGTGAAGGTAAACATCGTGAGGAAACCTGGACTTATAATTTCTAATTATAAGTTTGAAATCGCCAACACGCATTGAGCAAGCGTGGTGAATAACGCTCTAATTCTCCGTATGAGAAGAGACCTTTGCTCAGCAGTGCGCTCTTATTGGCTGATGATGATGATGACAATTGGTATCCATATATTATCCACAACATAACGTAGCAGGGTTGCTCACCATTAATCCAGTAAGATGGCCGACGTTGAGTCCCACTACGATGGTGAGTAGTACAACTGCCAAGGTCACGTTTCCAGCTGGTACATACGATAACCCAACCAGAGCGATGGCTGGACCGTAGAAACCTGATTACATATACACATAGATGATTAGAATCAATATAACAATATCCACAGAAAATTTAGGCTAATGTTTTTTTTCAGAAGTTCCAATAAAATGTCAAGTATCATAGTTTAAATAAAAAAATTAGAGAATACATTTTTATGTTGATTAGATGCATGTATTGAGACTTTGGCTTTAAACTTTAATCTCAATTTATCCTCAATAATGGAATTTACAAAGTGATATTTTCCTTCCTCGTCAATATTTCAATTAGAAATATTAGTTCCCCTTGAAACCACAATCAAATACAAGTCATAATGTTATGCCTACTTGCCTATAGAATTGGAAAGTTTCCTGGTCGCAGTGACGCTAAGGTACTTCTTATTGGGAAGGTAATCGGAGAGGTAGCCGAACGGGAAACTTAGGAAATACACAGCCAAGTAGGGTAACGCTGACATCACGCCATTCTGGGAAAAGAAAGTGAATTAGGCAAGGTAAATATTGTCAAGGTCACTAATTGTGGTTATTCATCACAATATGACCTGATAAAAGCGAAAGGTATAGTCAACAGTGGTTTGCAGTGCGTAGTTATTAATGAAAGTAATTTACCAACGATGTCTCACCGCTTTAATGTCTACGTCAAGCACTTTCTTCATGTATGACGGCATCTCCGTCATAAGAGTCCAGTAGCCCCAGTTTTGGCTGCAGTGGAGCACGATCAGTGATATGAAGGGAATTGATGTCCAAATCGCTTTCCATGGAGTTTTCAATTTCTAAAGCAGAAATGTAATAGATCAAGAAATTATCTTCCAGTTTTATTTATAATTCCTTCGCAGTCATAAGAAATTAATTTTGATTGAATTGAAAGTAGTAGTGAATTATAAAATACCACACCTTTTGTCCTCCAACCTGTCCCAAAGACGTCTGTATATACAAACGCTCTTCTGCACTGATTAATTTTGATTTCTGGGGTGAGTCCGATCCCAGGATGATATAAAGCACCACCCACACAGCCCCTACTACCCCATTCACGTAGAAAATGGCTGGCCAGCCCCAAGCGTCTGCTATGAAGCCTGATATTAATAGCTGAATAGCGTTGCCAAGTTGAGATCCTGAAAAATAATACCATTTTCGGTACTCTATAGAAATAATAAAAAAACTGTGAAATATTGTTAAAATCAGACTGTAATTTATCTAGACCAAAAGATAGATTGGCTAGATTGCTTTGTAAATCGATCACACAAGACTACCAAGCGTATAATCTGCAGTTTGACAGCATAAAGTTTTTCTATATTTTTGTCTCAGTAAATGCAACGGAGTCTGGATCTACGCCAAATATGCTTTGTAACATAATTGAAAAGAAAAATGTATACAAATGCAATACAAGAGACAACACAATTGAAAAAGTTCAAGTATTTCTTTTTTGTTTAAAAATGTGGTGCCACAGTAGTATTTTCCTCTGCTTTGTGAGTGCACGAATATCAGAAACGTACATATACACGTGACACCAAATTTTGAGCAAGAATTTGTAGATCGTATAAAGGATATATTCGTAAGAGAATCTAATTCTGTTAGTGAATTATCTTTTTATTTAATATAAACTGGAATTTTTGCGTCAATAATAGCGTTATTCACCTGAATTAATCACAGCACCAGTCCGACTCTTCTCATCTATTGGAGTCCACTTGCCAATCAGATTGTATATTGAAGGTACCACAAAGCCTTGAGCTAGACCTTGAATGACGCGACACGCGCACACCATCTGCCAGCCACCCTAGAAATGAAGCAAATACATACGTACATATACACATATACATATTTTAAACGACTTTTTAATTTTTGATAAATATGTAATGAAACCAGGAATATTTTATCGGACGAACAGACTGACCTATATTTTTCTATTTAGATCAAAATTATGTAAAATAAATTCTATTCAGAATCAAAAGTACTAGTATATTGTTAAGTTGGAATAAACATATTTGTTTTTTTAACAAATGATATTCAACAACAAATAAGTAATTCAAACTAACTATGGTCTACCTATAGAAAAGTTTTGGTACTTACATTAGTACACATACACACGGTGGTTAGCATCTTAAGGAGATAAAATAAGACACTCACATAATAAGCAGCCAGAGGCACTGCGAGTGATACTAGAGCGTTGACAGAGATGGCAATAGTGACGAGGATCATTCCTCCGAACTTGGCAGCCATCTCACCAGCGGGGATCTGGAGCACGATGTAGCCCCAGAAGAATGACGACAGGATCACGCTTTGAGTCTGCATGCTCCAGTCAAAGGACTGAAATTAAAACAGAAGGTAAATATTAAATAAGTACAAGTTCTGGTCTCTGGTCTAGTCTTTCCTACACTAAGTGTGGGTAGACGTTAACCAGATTCAGCTAAATATTATTGTTCATGAAAAAAATTACATAACATGATGACTTCGGCAATATTTAGTATGGAAGACGCATTGTCAAATGTGTAAAGATTTTGGCTAGCTCAAACGATTGTCATAATATGTTTGAGAAACAACTGAAACCTACGCTTAATATTACCGAGGTGATCGAATTCATGACTACTAGGGGTGGAAAGGCTCATGCAGCCAGTATGTCTGTCTGTCTGTTTTTATATCCAAATACTTACATTGTCAAGCGTTTTATCTGTCATAACAACTATAGCGATGCTCATGTTGACTCTCATACTGTAGCAGATCACCAGAGCGAAGAACATCATCATGGTCTGAACATGGCGGATGGGGAAAACGTCCTCTAAAACAAACAATTAAATCTTTATGGGATACAGACATCCATTTCAAAATTGCCAAGAATCTCTATAATATTATCAAATGCTTCGTCTCTGTCAATGAATTGTACCACGAAATGTTTTTATTAATATAGAAACCATTATTTTATTTTTTTAAATTCGTACCCTCAGCTCTAACCTTATAATGATGAGTTAATTTTTGAAAGCTTTATTTTTAACCAATCAAAAAAGTTCTGGCCTTTTATAGAAAATTTCGAAAACAAATAGCTGTTTTTATATAAAATTTGCAAAATGTATTTTATTTTAAACAATTTCAAGTCAGTCGCGTTGCATAAATCAGAGCGAAATGTGTAAATAACATTTTTGAGAGTGTTTTGTTTAGCGTGTGCAGAATAAAAATATGTTTCACGCTATGTCGGTTTAGGAATGATAATAATTCATTTGGCGTAGCTACGGTGAAAAATAAGCTTAGTATTTGGTAAATTCGAAATGGTTAATTCATTTGTCATTTTACGTATTTATATGTATCGTTACACCTGTCTCTTATGAAGAAACAAAAGAATATGATTCTGATTCTGATACGCCTTTTCATTTTATCAATCCATCCTTATAAGTTTTCAAATTTCAACGTACCTAGGCCGTTTAAACACACACATTTTGCGTTCGCTATACATTGCAGCAACAAGCGGCGAGATCACCCGTGACAAAACAAACAAATGAACATTATGAGCAATGTATAATGAACCACGTGACGTGTTATATAAAACATTTTAATTGATTTAATCACGCAAAAATGAATTAATGTTTATGGATATTCACAAAGTTCTTAACTTTAAGTCAAACAAATGTATGCCTTTCAAGATTTTTATTAATTACTTACTGGGTTTTTCAACTTTAACATCTTCAGCACTCATTTTGCACTTTTTATTCTTTATAGATGCTATCAGTTTGTACTGGTGTTTTCAATAACTATTGACATTGTTGACAAACTTGTTTTGGGGATTTTTATTGATAACAGCTTGACACAATCGGCGCGCAGTGTTCCGATAGTGTCATGGCGATCACCCAGAACGGTCTCTCGTGATAAGACATCTTAACATATAGCCGTGGAAGATAATGACGTTAACAGTATTACAAAAAAAATCGTGCTGGTGTTTAAAAAGTAACAGTTTTTTTCAAATACCAGTATACATAATATTTGAGACTTTATCTGGAGGTTTATCGATTTCCAGCTTTAATATTCTCTGTTAAAGTCGTCAATGGATTAGAGTTTGATAATAATCGAGAAAAAGCTGTATTCCAATTGTATATAATATGTATGTATCTCTATCTTGATTATGTATGTATAGATATCTTGCATTGTAGTATCTGCAAAAATATTTTATCCTGATGAAAAATTATTCAAAAAAATCATATCACTTTTACTTTCAAGTTTAACATTAATTCTTTTATTGAAGCAGACAACTTAATATCAAAATTTGAACGATCCCTAATGTGTACGTTCTTATGCAATTGCTTTAATAAGTTTACGTTTAGCATACCAACTATTTTAGTGTCAACTTCTTCCCCATTTCCTTAAAAAGGGGTTAAGCATGGAGTATTTATTTTGCATATCACATTGATAGGAACTACGTTATAAAACTTCTGTTACTTCACAGAAATGGGTCAACATCGAATTACTCTGATCGTATTATATCGTAAGATACTGATCCGATATTATTATCTACTATTACGTCTCCCTAGGGATAATTAAACGTATAGGTTGTTAAGTAAGAAGATATAATCAGTAGTTTTGTGCGCTTTCACTACTAAATATTACCTTTATGTTGTCATAAATAGTTACCAATTTATTTATTACAAGGTAAATAAATCCTTAGGAACCTAATGTTGCTTGTTGTACCAAATCGTGATTGTATTTTCCAAAATATTATTATGGTTTGGATTTGTCATTTTATTATAAGTACCTAAGCCACCGCTTGCGCCTTCGCTCATAATGCCAGTGTGTAAAAAGTTTGATCCTGTGTATTTTTAAAATTTCAGACTATAGCTATAATCTATCTTTGTATTAAATGTCATTCAGATTCGTTCAGTAGTATTACTAGTATTACAGTAATACTTAAATTTTTTTTATGTGATTGGGTAGAAAACTTGCAGGCGGATTATCTGATGGTAAGCAATCAGTGCCGCCCATAGCCGACCGCAACAATGGAGGAGTGAGAAGTGCGCCGGTTTTCTGTGAGACCGTGGCATCACTCCGATCGAGTCGACCCCATCATGCTGAATCATGGCTCTACCACACATGACATAACGGTAATATTTTCACTTAATTTACTTCCGAAAAAGGAGGGAAGCGTACCCACTTATCATCAATTATATAATTATTATGGCTCTATTTAATCCTTAGCACATTCGTAAACTTCGCCAACACTTTTTGTATTCAGCTTCAAGTATTCGACAAAAAAAGTCAGTAGAATCGATTCACAATGAAATACTACAAGCTATTTGTAACGTAGTTTTTGTTAACTTATTTAAGGCTTCTTTACAGAATACTTATGTCGTAACGAGTTAGTTGATCAACAAGAAATACTATAAATAATGCTCTTGTATCGTTAAATCTGTTAGTCAAGTTGCCTGTCACCGTCTCAGTTCGCCAGCCATCTATTTTAGTTGCTCATTCATCCAACGCTTGTTATGAATCTTTTTACTCGACTTAAGGCTCGATTGCTTTTTTTGTTCCTTTAATTGAATCAAATGTTTTTTTCTTTTCCGGAAAAAGATACGATTATGTTTTTTTTACCGTATCTTTTTCTCTTATATCTTATCTATCTTTTTTTTTGTTTTCCTTGAATTACTCTTTTTGGTGTCGTCTTGTAATGTGACGTCTGCTTAAGAGCAGTTACTTTTTGCTTGAAATGATTCAGAAGCGTTAGCGTTGATTATTAGTAAGATTTAAAAAAATATCTCAGTTTATTGACTTTAAAACTGGCTATTTTTTCCACAGCGTTGTGTTTCGCCGTGTGAGTGAGGCTACCGGATGCCCAATCATTACTCTCCCCAAATGCCACCCCAATCCCTAATCCCCAAAAGGTCGGCAACGCACTCGTAACTACTCTGTTGTTGCGGGTGTTCAAGAGCGGCGCTTATTGCTTACCATCAGGTAATCCGTCTGCTCGTTTGTCGACCTATCACATAAAAAAAGTTGTAGTTGAGAACTTTTTTTAGAGTTTTAAAACCTCTTTCTTCGTCAAAATAATGTTAAGCAAGTAAGTTAGACCAACAACACTGTTCTCATTGCCATTCAAATGAGTGCAGAATACAATTTAACAATTTATTTTCATTTCACAAAACAAATATGTTTAAACCATTTGATTGGGCGATCTAAGATACGTGTACTTTATTGAATGTTCTTACATTAAACCTGCACCAATTTGACAATATGTTTCATTGGATTTTCAACTTTAATTGAAAACAATAAGGTTAAAAGTCTAAATGCACGTGCGTTTGTGTGTCTTTATGTCATATGAGTTACGTTGTTTCAGGAACAAACTCTCCACTCATCTCGTGAAGATAAAGTATCAGAGGGGGAAATTGAATTTGTTCGAGAACCAACTTGGAAAGAAAATTAAAAGTTGATAATAGAAGCAGTTTAACGAAAGTTATCCAAGATTTTGGTATTGAAATCGTATAAAAATTGAACAAAACTGAAATATTTACTTATTTTTCTATATATAATTCTGCTGTATGTGTGTATGTTATTGAACTCCTCCTAAACGGCTTGGCCAATTTAAATGAATTTTTCTGCATGCGTTTGAGTGATGCCTTGGATGGTTTAGATTCACAAATCAGCCCAGCAGATAGCGCTGATTGCTTGAAAAAGCGTGTGATCTCGGAAACTGCCCTAACGATTTCCCTGAAATTTGATATACGGGGTTTTGGGAAAGGGTCCTCCAGTTTATTTATAAAACTATCAAATGCATACTGCATGCCTTCGATTCAACTACACATGTAGCTTGCTGTATTTTTATATCAATCTTAATATTATTATTGTCTGTCTGTCAATTATCGTTGTTCGCCTTGCTTGTGCAAGAACTAAGGACTGAACTGTCGTCGGTGGTATTGCCGAACCGTAAAGACCTTCACATTTCAAGAACTGAACTCTTCTTTCATAAAGCCGACAACGTACTTGTAACCTTTAGTGTTGCAGATGTCCATAGGCGTCGCTGACCGCTTACCAGTTTACCATCAGTAGGCTTTTTGACTTACAATTTCATACAAAAATACTTAAGTCATGAAAAAGTCGTTAACGACACACATTTACGTGAATAATGTACTGTTATTAAAGTTAAAAACCTATAATTGTAAGCACGCAGGTTAAGTACTTTCACAGAAAAAACTTTTCAAAACAATGTAGTGAGCTGCAAAAGAATAAAAAGGATAGAGAACACACAACATAATGACATCATTCTCTTGAAGGCAAATTTAGACGTAATCCAGCACCAAGGTATTTAAAAAGAATTACACAAAGCTTATTGGCTGTTCTTTTCCAACCAACTACAAAATGCCAGGTAGGAAATGCCTATCGAAAGCCTGATTTATCTTTCGATTATTCACTTCGCTATTCTGAGCCCTATCGTGTATAAACAAAGGTTGAGTTTCTCTTAAAAACGCTATCTAGGAAATTGCTGCCGAAGGTACTGGTATGAAAGAAAGGGGAAATGAAGATAATGAGTAACACTATCCTCCCCAGTTAGAACAAAAGAAGTTTCTGCGATAAACTGGAGCATTTAAGTGGTTCAAAACATCATCAAGGTTTTTGCGCCTTGAGCATTATGTGCATTATGATTCGTATTATTGCGGATTTTGTTATTTGCACCGTTGTCAGTGTAAAGTTTCTGAAATAATAGTCGTCAAATTAGTAAGATTGTAAACGATTTTATGAAAAAAAAATTAGAGATAATAACACAGCATTGTTTCGCCTTGCGAGTGAGGTTACCGGAGGCCCAATCCTTACCCTCCTCCGACCCCTTAATTCCCAAACCCTTATCCCCAAAATATCGGCAACTACCTACTACTCTTCTGTTGATGCGGCTGTCAATGGACGGCGCTGATTGCTTACCATAAGGTAATCCGTCTGCCATCTTATGACATAAAAAGATAAAACAAAATTGGATGCATACATGTAAAATGATTCAATGACTTATAGTCAAATTGCGTTGTAAAATTTTAATGTAATTATATGATATTTGCCAGGCGACCTAGTCTTAATTTGATAAATATTGTTGCGACACCCACACTTTGGACAGTATTTGCATAATATGTATAAAAAAAGAAAAATGGAACATTATGAACGATATGCAAATGAATGGATCTAGTGCTTAGCCAAGACAAGGTTTTAAAAGACAGGAAGTTGGCGAACTAGATCACGCTGCACAAACTTTTTCGATCAAAGAACAATGGAGTTCCCTGTGACCCCCGACTCCAATTAAAGAACGTAAATGAACAGGGTTAATGACGATTAATTAGTTCCCTTTTAATTTTGAGACAAGTTTTATTTAATTTATATTATATTTAATAACTGCACTGTTGGTGCGGTGGCTGGGCAACTGGCTGCCGTGCAACGTGTCGCGGGTTCGATTCCCGCACGGAACAACTCTTTGTGAGATCCACAAATTGTTGTTCCGGGTCTGAATGTCATGTGAATGTGAAATTGTATGTTTGTAACCGCACCCACGACACAGGAGAAAATCCTAGTGTGGGGCAACGTTTTATTCAAAGAAAGAAAGAAAAAGATGTTATAGGTCGATAAACAAGCAAATAGATTAACTGATGGTAAGCAATCAGCGCTATCAATACACACATTGGAGTCACAAGTGCGTTGACGACCATTTGGACATTATATATTTGACAATTGGGGGTTTTGTGGAATGTAGATTAGAATAGATGGAATGTGAGGCAAACCTATGCGGTTTTCCACAAGTAAAAAAGTTTGCTCATATAATTCCACTAACAGTTATCGGTTTCAATGGCAGAGTTTTTGTTAGTTAAATCTTTGTCGGTTCGTCATGAAATGGTAGAAAGTAAACATAATAAGGAAAAAAACACATTTTTAAAGATTTTATTTATCGTTAAAAAAACCTTCCAAAATTTCTCATGCCCTTTGAAACAGTGATCCTTTGGCTGCCGTAATGAAATTCTTCCGTCGAAGGAAATTAATCGCGCCTTTCGTACTTTCCACTGACCCGGTTTTCCTGGTTGTACATTTGTTTTTGCTATTAAAAATCTCGAGATCGAACTGATTTTATTTGACAAAAGTTTTACGACTATATTTCCTTAAATGTCTTTGGATTATTGCAAACAGGGATGGATCATACATTTACGAGGTTTTAAAACGTTGAGATGGGTAAAATTGACATGTACTGGTATGTTTTTATTATTTTCATTCTTTATTGTAATGAATTCTGCAGTGGTATTTATATGTGATATATGTATATAGTAAATGTATTTCATTTCTACTTTTGTGTATAAAAATAGAACTAAATATCTCATTCTGACGGCCACCATTAAAATAAATGGGTTGCATTTAAAAGTGTCTGCAGTTTGGAACGTTAAACATGAAATGAAATCTCGGGGAAAGCAATTCATTCTCGAAGCCACGGGAACATTCGTTAATCATGTCTTCCGGGCGCTCGCGCTGTGACGTCACTGTTTAAACAGAACATTTTCGACCGAGTATTTTTCCAAAGTCGAATCTTGTTATTTTCTGTTTGATATCAAAACATTGATTGATCAGCTATTTAATATTATAATTGGTCATTCATCAACAAGTATGGATAATAATGGAGAAATTAGGTGAAATTAAATCGTAATCCCAAAACTTAATCTCAATCTTCATTACTATAAATACCTAAAAATTAAGTATTCTATACTCTACTACTGCATCTTCTTCACTTGTCCTGTTATGTACTAAGAATTTTGTAACTTGGGTTTCTCCATCATCGGATGTCCTTCCTCCTCGTCGAGTTGTGTTCCGACGGGCTCGTTCCACTCTGCCTTCTCAGCAGTAGCAAAGATCACGTAAATGAGATTAGTCACTAGGTATATACCGGCTGCCACGAAGAATACCTGCCGCCACAGGTAAACGTCATTCTGGGAAAACAAGTTAAGTAAACGTTAGAAGATTTTTTTTAAATAAATGAGAAAAAAGACAATATTATGTGCATTGATACAAGTTGACAAGTTTAATAGACAAGTACTGTGATACATGCTTGAGCTATTAAAAATAATTAATGATTAATAGCTCTAGCATTGCGTTGCGCATATCTGATTGTTTGGCCATATTAAAGGTCGTGGTGGCCCGGAGGTTAAGGAGCCCGCTTCTCATGCATGAGGGTGTGGGTTCGAAACCTGGCAAGTACCAATGTGACTTTTTCCGAGTTATACGTACTTTCTATGATTATTTAGACACCACTGACAAACGGTGCAGATAAACATCGTGAGGAAACCTGGACTTATAATTTCTAATTATAAGTTTGAAATCGCCAACCCGCATTGAGCAAGCGTGATGTATTAATGCTCAAACCTTCTCCGTTTGAGAAGAGGCCTTTGCTCAGCAGTGGGCACTTATGGGCTGATGATGATAATGATGTACCCATACCATAATAAAAATCATATCAATTTCTAAATATAATTATGAATGTTAACTCACGACATCTGTAAGTATGAATCCAGTAATAAGAGGAGCGATGGATGCTCCAATGTTAGAGGTAAAGTTACTGAGACTCATCATAGTGCCGGCGAAGTTGGGCGATATATCGATATGGTTAATCTGGAAAACAATAAAGTGGAATCAGTATTACATTAAATTAGTTACTAATTCGCTAGAATTACTACTGCAGTAACATAAAATTAGTAAAGTGACTAACCTGAAAGCCTAGATGAGCTGAAATTTTGAAAGCACATGTAAATACTAGTATGGCTTCCACAACAAACATATTTTTAGGTGCATACGCTAGCGCTATTAGTCCAATGGCCGCTGGGACATTGCCTGTAAATATAAAAATGTTTATAGATTACTACAAAGTTCTGTAGAAAAGATTCATATTATTGTTTCATTGTTCTAAATTTTTATAAGAGTTTTAACTTTTACCTAAAGAATTAGCAAACTTCCTAGTGTTTGTAGGACTGAGAATGTTCTTGACAATCAACATATCAGTCATCCAGCTGAAGAAAAAGTTGGTGAACCACATCACCAAGAACGGCAAAGCGGTTAACAAGCCATTCTGTAATGATAAAGAAAATTGTTAAACTGAATCGAAATAAATTGGAAACTAAATACAAGATAAATTATGAACAAATGGACATTTACCGCTTTTATATTGACTCCCATAATTTTATCTAAATAAGCTGGAACTTCTGAGTAAAGTACCAGCTGTCCCCACGTTGTTCCAACGTGGGCAATGATGATGGCATAAACTCCTTTGTGACTGAGAATTTTCGTCCATGGCACTGGCATTTTCTATAACAATCAACGAAGTTGTAAGTAATTATAAATACCTTAACGTATCAACAATTGTTACATTTATGTAATTAATGTATTTATTTACTTTGGCTACATCTCTAGTTCCTAATTCGTCTTCAATATATTTTCTTTCAGCTTCAGATATTTTCTTATGTTTGGCTGGGGTATCAGCGGCTAGCCAAAAAAGGAGGGCACCAATAATTCCTGAGAGTATTCCATAGAACCTGAATATGCCAGGCCAGCCTAGACTAGATGAAGATATAAAGCCGGTCATTGGTAGTCCAAAAACTGTGCCTAACGCCTGACCTGAAAAGATAAAATGATTTTATTACATAATTTGTTAATATTACAAAAAAATAAATTGCGATAATATATATTTTATTTATGCTACAAAAGACCTCCGTAAACGAACGCAGCAATTCTCCCCCTCTCCTGAAGAGGCGCCCATTTTCCTAGAGATGTATGAAGGCCTGGTACAATACATGCTTGACTTAGACCTTGGAGTACTCTACATACGGCTGTACTTATCCAACCACCCTAAAATATATATTTTTTAAATTAGTGGACGGAACAATATAAAAAATAATTACAACATTTAGGATCTCGTGTATGAGCAAATTGTGTGAAAAGAAACGTGCTACAAAGAAACGTGTTAAATCACGAAAACAATAATCCACAATTGCATCTGCGTACCACTTACATAATAAGCAGCCAGAGGAAGAAGTATGGAAACCACACAGTTAATCATCATGGCTCCAGTCAATAGATACCTGGCTCCAAATCTGTGAGCCAGTTGGCCACCAGGGATCTGCAACAACATGTAGCCCCAGAAGAATGAGGCTATCACAGCATCTTGCGTCTTTTTGTCCCAGTCAAATGTTGGGTACTGAAATGAGAAAATTCGAATTTATCGTGAAAAGTAGTAGCGAATGTTGTGATTGTTATACCGTAATACCAATACAATAAAAGCCACATTTAAGATTTTTAACTTTAACATTGTTGGTATATAAAGTAAAAATTAACTGATAAAAGACAGTTTGGTGTATCATTATTTGCATTGTAGTTAAAGTTTTGACAGTTTGGTTGACTTGACCTTGATTTATAACTCGTATAAAGTACTCTCAGTACAATGCAGTTGAAGCGTCATCTATGAGTATATTCTTATATAATAGAAACTGATAATTGTTATGAGACGTAAATATACCTAATTTATCTTTACGCAAACGTGTTTACTATACAGAACGTTGTAAAAACGGAAACTAATTACAGACACTTAAGTATGCTACAATTCATTGAGGATACAATTATACATTTTGTTTCATTTCAACGTTACGCAATGTGGGAGCGTCGTGGCAAGTGTGGGAGAGCCATGCTTCAGCACGAATGGGTCGGCTTCACCGGAGTGATACCAAATTCTTACAGAAAACCAGCTTGAAACAAGTACAGCGTTGTGTTTCGCCGTGTGAGTGAGGTTGCCGGAAGTTCCATCCTTACTCTCCCCCAATCCCAAAATCTCCAAATGCCTTATCCTGAAATGGTCGGTGACGCACTCGTAAATCCTTCGCTGTTGCGGGTGTTCATAGGGGGCGCTGATTGCTTACCATCAGGTAATCCGAGCGCTTGTTTGCCGACTATCACAAAAAAATAAATAAACAATCGATAAAATAAAATTTCGCACGTGAACAAAAAAACCAGTTTCTAATTGTTACTTACAGGCGGTGTCAACATCAAAGCATTCAGAATTCCTTCTGGTTTAAACTGATTCTCTGTTTCCTCTGCATTCAATGCAGCACTCACATTGGCTGTAGTTTTGCCATATTTTGTCATAGCTACCAGGGACACACCCATACATGCTCTCATACTATATGCCACTGTTAATGTACAAAATAGTATAAAACACTGCTGATGTCTGTAGCCCCATCCTGAAACTGAAATACATTTAATTAATAACAATAAGCAAAACAGGCTCATAATATGGCTCAATGCATTCCTATGGACTATAACAGGTTGACCACATTTTTTATTTAGAGTAAAATCATACAGCTGATCATTTATGACCATGACTGTTCAATCCAAACTGTTAGTTTCATCGTATTGAAGCAGGTAAAATGGTTTTCAGTTAATAGTTCACGTAAGTTGAATACCATCTAAGTCTAATTTTAACTTTTGAACAAATACAAATTTAACACAAAGTCCAAAATCCAGGGAGCCCTAATTAATGTATAGGCGATGAACCAAACAGTTCCAAGTTAAGCGTGGCACGTAGGCCTCAGACGCGGGTAAACTTTTCAGACACCCACCTCAATTGATCACAAGCTTAACTCACCTTTAAAATTACTTTTAGATCCTTTTCCTACAACGTCTTGTTTCTCCACCATTGTCATTTCTTTGAGAACTTTTCTGTTATTATTTTCTACTGTATTAGCCTTTATAGACCGTCTAATTAAAACTAATGAACTTTCCGTTACATTTAATTCATTATTTTCATTTTCAATGTACTGGGACGTGCAAGTAAATTTTTCTGTCACTAATTTTATTTGAATTTATTCATTTCTCGGAACTCTGCAGTGTTTGTTCCGAGATCTGTATCAAACTGACTTACATAGAATGCTTCTTTCATGTCGACATTGAACAATTAGATAATTGTAAAATTCTTGTGTACATTAGTGTTCTAGTTATCATAAGCAAATACTATACGTAGCAAGTTCGATGCTACTGTGTATAGAGTTGTAGGTAGTTTGTCGTTGTATCATCGAGAATTTTCATTCAAACGTGTTTAATTCATCTAAACTAACTTGAGATCTCTTATCACATTTGTACTGGTATCCTTGTCTTCTCTCTTTATTGTCTCATTCTTTATTGACTTTATGTAGAGCAACTCGTACACTCTCACAACGTATCGCGAGTTTAATTATCTACATTACAACTTTTGTGGAATCAACAAATTGTCGTTCCGGGTGTAGATATGATGTGTATGTATACTTACGAAACAAAATAATATATTAGTGCAAGGCAAAAAAGAAGAATAGAAAAAAGTATATTTTTATTTATTAAAACCATTATTAAGAGGTATTGATTTATTTCTAATTGCTAGATAAACTTAATCCTAGTAAAGTTACAAATCGATTTTTTTTAATCTTTGGAGAAGTAATTATTACCTAATGTAAAAATAGAGAAAAAATATAAAACAACACTAAATTACAAATATTAACTACTTATCGAAGTAAATAATAAAAATAATCTCACTATTTTTTTAATTATTTTGTCCAATGGGTAGACCAATCACCTGATGGTAAGCAATCAGCGCCGCCCATGAACTCCATTGCTAATCCATGACAAGAAAAAAGGCTGCAAGACCGTAGTTTGTTTTGGATGTTAGAGATTTGAGGATACGGGTGGTGGAATGAGTTTCCAGTTTATGACTTATACGAAGAAACAGAAACATCCGCGCTAGAAAACTTACAAGTTCACTTGAACAATAAATGTGATGAATGCGAACCAACATTATTACTGGTACATCTAGTTCGTCTATCCGTATCTAAAATATTAATATAGCTAAAATCTGGCAATACTAAAATCTGTTTTTAGGACAGACTCTATTACAACCTATTCGAGCTTTTCTTGATCACAAAAAGTTAACATAAATACTCGTATATAAAACAAACAAAACGCATCGCACGCAGATACAATCTTATAATTATTATAATTAGATACTTAAACTTAAAAAAATGCTTGAAGACCATTTTATACATTCTTAGATATCACATTCATACGCAACCATTTCTTATTTTTATTCGTATCGTAATATAATACATTGTTTTTAATTTACGCCGTTCTTAAATTTGCCCATCATAGGAACAATTTCTTCGTCAACTTTTTCGGTTTCTTGTTCAGGTGGGTCATTCCATTCAGCCTGTTCAGCAGTGCCAAGAATAAGATAGACTATATTTGTGAAGAAGTAGATGCCAGCTGCTACGAAGAAGATTTTTCTCCAGAGGAGCTCATCAGTCTGAAAAACACCAATACTATGTTAAAAGTTGTTCATAAAACCTCCAAAGATAATGAAGTAAAAGGTAAAGTAGTAATTTTCATTGAGAAAATGAAGTTACAATAATTTGTTAAAATAAATATAGCTCAACTTACGACATCAGTGAGAATGAAACCAACAACGAGAGGCGCCATTGAGGCGCAGGAGTTGGACACGAAGTTGCTTATGCTCATCATAGTTCCAGCATAATTTGGTGAAATGTCAATATGGTTGATCTGGAACAGAACATTAGATTAAGAAATGAAAATTAATTTCATTCAAAAAGGAATTTAAACAAATTCTATTATACAGGTAAAGCCTTACGTGGAAACCTAAATGAGATGATACTTTAAATCCACAGATAACTATTAGTATAGTTTCTATGACGTATATTTCTTTAGGCGCAAAAGCTAATGCAACCAAACCAATGGCTGCTGGGAAGTTTCCTGAAACCAATGAAATTGTACAATATTAATAAAGATCTTTTAAAGAAGTCTAGTAAGCGATTTATAACATATTCTGCATTCACATACCTAGTGAGTTAGCCAATTTTCTAGTATTTGTGACACTCAAAATGTTCTTGACAATCAGCATATCTGTCATCCAGCTGAAGAAGAAGTTGGTGAACCACATCACTAAGAACGGGAGCGCTGTCAGTAAACCATTCTGTAAGAAAAGTAGTAGACCAGGTGATTTCTTTATATTTTATGTTAAAATTAATGGTTTAGATTGAAAAGTGTGTAAATTTTTACCGCTTTAATATTCACTCCCATAATTTTGTCCATGAAGGCTGGAACTTCTGAGTAGAGAGTGATCTGTCCCCAAGTCTGTCCAATATGTGAGATCACAATGGCGTATAGACCTTTATGACGAAGTATTTTACCCCAGGGTACTGCCACACGCTGAAAATGTGAATTTTCAAAATCGGAATTAATACTTCATGTTTAATTTACAATCCTCATTTAAGTTCTTATATCAATTACTATTTTACCTTAGCCGCCTCTCCAGTTCCGAGTTCATCCTCTATGTATTTTCTTTCACCAGTTGATATTTTGGGATGCTTTGCCGGTGAGTCAGCAGCCATAAACCACAGAACGATACTAAGAAGACCAGACACAGTTCCATAGAACCTGAATATGCCAGGCCAGCCCATTACCGATGAAGCTAAGAAGCCTGTAATTGGGAGACCAAATACTGTGCCTAATGCCTGACCTGAAATTTATTTTGAAAATAAGGGTTAATATCTAAACTTCTCAGTTCTGATATTCAGGTAACAATGGGAAATTCTTAATAATTTCAAAATTACCTCCATACACGAAAGCGGACATTCTTCCTCGCTCATGTAAGGGCGCCCACTTGCCCAGAGCAGTGTGTAGTCCTGGCATTATGCAAGCTTGACTTAGACCCTGTAGTGCTCTGCATATCGCAGAGCTTAACCAGCCACCCTGGTAATTTGAAATAAGAATTTTTTTATTACTTTAAATTGACCATGCATTGTTTTGTAATCAATAAATTTTCTCTAAAAGTTTCAAGGTGTTTCTACTCACGTAGAATGCAGCTATTGGGAAAAAGATGGAAACTAAACAGTTGATCATCATGGCGCCACTGAGCAGGTACCTAGTCCCAAACCTGTGCGCTATCTGTCCCGCCGGAATCTGCAGCAGCATGTATCCCCAGAAGAAAGAAGAGATCACCGTGTCTTGAACTTTTTTGTTCCAGCTAAATGCAGGGTACTGTGAAACAAAAAAATCAACAATGTATAAACAGTTCTTTGTACTTGAAAAAAAATTAATAATAGACACTCGAGACGCCGATATCAATATTTCTGGTAGCTATAATTGTTTATCAAAATTATGATTGCTTTAACTTTGTTTTCTATAATAAAACACGTATTAAATTGTATTCATTATTTCTCCAAATTATTCGAATATACATTTCTCGATATGAACAATTTATTGGATTAAACTTGATACTGCATATACTGATACTTACTGGAGGCACAATCATTAGAGCATTGAGGAATCCGTCAGTTTCGAAGTTGTTGGCGTCGGTAACATTTGTGTCGTTGCCACTTACATGGTGATCTGTCATGGCTACCAACGCGACCCCCATGCAAGACCTCATGCTGTACGCTATGGTTAAGGTGCAGAACAGTATGAAGCATTGCTGGTGTCTGTAGCCCCATCCTGAAACTGATGTATCACCGTTTGTCATTATTTTGTAGTGTTCATTTTATTAGCCATGTGGTTCATTGTCAGCGGTAAAAGCTTTTTCAGAGCTATTTTCGTGTTTTGAGAAAACAAATACAATACCCACTTATTTCCCAAAACGTATTTGTTACTAAACAAATAACGGAATCATAAACATTATGCGGTGTATGTTTACCCCATTATCAAGGCAGGTGTCCCTCAAGAGTTATGTTTGTGTCCACGTCTGTAGTTATTCACATTACTATTTGTTCTTGTTTGTACAAAACTGTAATGATATTCAAACAAACTACTCCAAAATTAAATCACATTAAAAACGTTTACACTTACCAATGAAGACTAAAGTGATACTATATATAGCACTGATGTATCAACAACAAAATGTGTTCTAATTACGCTATTTACGGCGACACCTGGTATTTAAAACTAGAATATAATATTAAAATAAATATTATTATACCATTATCACCAAGAGATGGCACTACTTAAATGACTTATGAAAACTTAGCTTATGTTAGTTTGCGAAGGTGTGCAAAATATTTAATTCATTCAAAATCTATGATAAGAATGTTTCTGCAAATCATGTAGGAAATCATATCATTGTTTTCCATGGAACCGGCAGTACGACACACACAATAACTCAAAAAAATGTTAGTAAATAAACTTACCTTTGAAATCAGGTTCCGTGTTTTGATCTACCACTTCAATTTTGTTCTCCTCCATGTTGTATGGGTAAATAAACTACTCTTTGAGTAAAAAACAATAATAATATTTTAATGTAACTACATTCACGATTTACAGCAATCCAAATATTTATTACAATATATGGTTTGGTATATCGTTGGTACTATTAGTTTTCATAAATATTTTTGATTAATTCTTATTACTATTACTTATTTATTTACGATTTTTGGAATTAAAACATGATAAAAATCATAAATAGTAAATAGCTAATAAAAGCTATAGCATTTGGTTTAGCAAATCAACGATTAACAATAGTCACGTTTGGTCTCACGTTTCCAATTTACAACTTCTCTTTTAAACTAAAATTCTTATAATATCAGTGGAAAAATTATCTTCTATAACATCAGGGCTATGTACTGATCTGTCACAATTATCTGTACGCAAATACTAGTTAAATTCAATGCTATCATTTAATTTATCACTCTGGCTTACTTCTCTCATTACATTTACGTAACTGACGAATAGAAATGTAAAATTTTCCGGTTGTAACTGGAATACATTCGTTATTGCTATATAGTTTTCTCATTTTCTTTGTAATTTATCGGACCTGTAAGGTCGATTGTATTTTTCTACGGAAATGCTTCGTCATTAGATTGGTTTGAAGCTACAAACGGTTCGCTATCTGCTGTTTTAGTGATGTTCTCCTTAGAAGCTTTTGTAGCATCAGGTGTTGTAGATAGTCCTCGTTGGGTTTTGCTCCCGTGACCTCCAGTGTATGGATGTGGATATAGGGCGTTGCACAATATACTGAAATGAGTACCTAAGGTGTTAGTCATAGGACCAACGTGTGCAAAATTATCTCGAATCCTTCTCCGCAATGTAAATAAAGAAATATTAGCCAAAGTATCACATTCTGATTTTATCTCATTCAACTCATTGCCATATTTATTGTGTCAACACATAAAAAATACAGATTGAATATATTCTGCACGATTTGGTTGGTTCAGTGGTGAAATTGTAGGCTGGTGTGCTTACTGTTTTGGGTTCGATGCAGTCCGAAATATAGAATTTTACTCATTCAATGTTTTAAGACTTCTGCCACAGTAAACTAATTATAGCAAATCCTAAATTTTTAATGGTTTGTCAATATAAGTTTATTTTGTCTAGGCACACGTACGCTTAGTTTTAACCAAAATCCTGTCAAATAAAATTAAGACCACGCACCAAAATATTATATTAAATATGTAACCAATTTAGGTTAAAACAAAAGATCTAAGCTAAGGGATATGATTTATTTTCTATGTCTCACAAACCGCAGACAAGTAAATAAATAAATATTCAAAGGTAACAAAAGGTCTATTACAATCTACTATTTAGCATATTTTGTCCCTATAGTTAGTGCTACAACATGTAAGGAAATATTTCGTAAAAGAATAAAACATATTTTTTTTTTTTTTAAAGTAAAAAGTTTTTAAGCAAGTGTCTAAAGTTTTCCTTTAGAGTTAGTGTGGATGAAGATTACCTCGTTTATGACCTACGTTTACGAGTATTCTCAAGGTAATTATAAAGTTTTTATTGTTACGCTTAATTACTTTACTTTCTCAGTTTTAACAATTTTCTCTAATGATATACTTTTAGTATAATAATGTTAGATTTCTTAATAAATTTTAAGCCTTACAAACTAGTCTAAAATGCATGAGCATTAATCTAAAACCTGCAGATTGGACATTTACAACTTATCAATAGAAACTAAAAGCTCAAGACACATCACGATGTTGTCCTTGACCGTATTTCAATGGTATCTTAATAAATTTAGAAAGTACATATAACGTACTTAAGGTTTCGAACCCACACACTCCTGCATAGAAAGTAGGTGCCTTAACCTCCTGGCTACGACGACATACGAAACGTGACGTTTTAAATTAACTTTGTACAAACAAAATTCGTCAGTACGTCGATAAAGAACAAATGACAGTTGAACAAAGTAAGTTGAACGACTTGTTAATACTATAAATACAGAAAGTGTGGCGCTGGTTATTTTAAGATAATTATTTAATAAAGGAAATTGTACGAGTATTAAAAGGTTCTACTATAGGAATAAACTGTGACTTTACCCTTTCCAAATAACTTCTGAGTTCATAGTTAAAGACCTTAAAATCTATTATAGCAGCGGTAAGACCCCTCTTTGAAGAGTGGCTTGAGAGACGCCACGGCGTCCTCAACTTCCGCCTGACGCAGGTACTTACCGGGCACGGCAGCTTTAATAGGTTCCTGATTCGGATCCAGCAGGAGGAAACGCCCGAGTGTCGTCATTGTGAGGACCATCTAGAGGACACGGTGGAGCATAAGGTGACGGTGTGCCCTGCGTAAACTAAGCACCGCCGTGTCCCAGGAAAGTGTCCTCCAAAGTGACCTCTCGCGCCCGGCCCTTTTTGAGGCCATGGTTCGTAGCGAGAGGAACTGGGAAGCTTAAATTTTTTGGGAAGCTGTCTCCTCTTTCTGCGAAGCAGTGATGCTCGCAAAGGAGGAGGCGGAGCACGCGAGGAAACTATCCTCCTCGCGCCCAGCCGCCGCAGTAAGCGACGTTCCGGGCGTCGGGGATCTAGAGATGATCTCCAGGCACCGTAAGCGCGGATCTGCGGACGGCGATTAAGGGTAGCTCGCCGCCCGACCTGAACCGGACCCGAGCGTACAGCGCGTAGCGTTCCGTGCGCGACTCAAAGAGCCAATAGACCACAGACGGAGCCTTATAGGGCTAATGTTCAGCCGGGGTTGCGGGTTAAGCACAATGAGTCACCGCGCCCTCGGCCCAAAGCATGAGAAGGAATGGGGGGATTTTTAGTCAGTAAGAGTCTGATACTCCCTCCTCGCGCCGACCCTAGGCGGGAGAAGTCATTTGATGATTTCCCCTCACAAAAAAGCTATCAGAGGCAAGTTATACTTCAGCATGCGTAGTCTGACTATTCAGGAGATCTACTACTTCCATGCCATTCCTTATCCTGACAATTCTCAAATGTTAACCCCAAACGGTTGGCAATGCACATGTAATTTATCAATTCATCTGGTGTCACTGGTCTCCACGGCTAATTGCTTTCCATCGGGGGATGCCTCAGCTTATTTGCTGCCCTTTGCCATAAATTTATATTAGTTTTGTTTGTAAAACTCTGAGTCTATTCCGATATTTATGTAACGAGAAGTCTGGTCATTCAAGACCAGTCCTTTTTTCAAAATATATGTATATAGGTAGTGCTTTACCAATTAATCAGTTTCGTTGCGTTTGGATTTTGAATAAAATAGAAAAAATCTTTAGGACCTTTTTTTAGAAATCTTACCAGTTTTTATCCAAATCTTTTTAGTAATGTGTTTTCATACTTACGACATTCTGACTGAAGACGTCTCGAACAGTTCATAGTAGTTCTAAAAAAAATTAAACAGAATAATTGAAAAACATAGTATGTCTTATAACCTACTGTTTATTAGCTAAAGTAATTAAAATTATTTACATGTTTTTGCTATCTTCTTTTTTTCAGTGTTAAATTCTGCTCCTTCTATGTGTGCATCTGAAAATAATAAAAGATAAATACATGAAAACTATAATTAATAATGAATACCACTTCAAATATTTTTGCCGTCTGTTTCATCACCTTCATATAAATTTTTGACTACCTTATATGAAACATATTGTAACAAATTATTTAAACAAACAGGCTCTTAATCAATTGAATCACCATTGGGACATTAAAATTTATGTCATCAGTCCCATTGACAACCTACATGGATTTAAAGAAATATAAAATGAAAATAAATATTAGTTTAAATAGTATTTGAAATAAAGTCATAAGGAAATAAATAATTACCAAATTCTTCACCGTCGTTCCAAGGCTGCGTTTCTGCTGTTGTCGTTAGCACATAAATGGCGTTTGCTACGAAACCCGACGACGCTATGATGAAAAATATGATCCGCCACTGAGTCTGATTGTGCTGCAATAATAAATAATAAAAAATATTACAACAAAGTTAAAGTGGGTTACAAAGTTCATAATCTTGTTGTTCCATTTAAGTTGTCTTAAGCTTTTTTGATCGACATCATATAATGACTTCTTTCGCCCGTGGTAAGGCTAGATGGAGTTTCAGACTCTTACTGAGTAAAAACCAATTCCCTTCAAGTGCAGTACCTTAATGCGCTAGCCCGAAAGTTTTTTGAAACTAAAAGTTGCTCTTGCTACCCATTGAAATACACCAATTGAAGAAGAATAGCTCATCTCACACTTGGGATTTTTAATTAGTTTTATTAAAATGTTGCCCTACACTAGAATTTTCTCCTGTGTCGTGGGTGCGGTTACAAACATACAATTTCACAAACACATGATACCCAGACCCGGAGAACAATATGTGGGTCACACAAAACACACAAAGAGTTGTTTCTTGACACGTTGAACGACCAGTTGCCCAGCCACAGCACCAACCGTGCAGTCAAATAGAATGTAAATGTATATGAGTGTACTATAGGCGCAGGACACTTACAACATCTGTGACGACGTAGGAGATGAGTATGGGCAGCAACACGTTCAATATGTTCATCATGGTGTTGCCAATGGTCATGAGGGTGCTGCTGAAGTTTGGTGCCAAGTCGATGTGGTTCACCTGGAAGTAATAATATAGGGTTGATTATATACTTGTAAACGAACAGTATCACCAAGGTATCACAGAGCGTAAGGCAAGTAGCGTTCCGCACGCGCCTTAAAGAGACAAGGAACCATCATAGATGAGGCACAATTGTCTCATGTCTCCGATCTCAAAAAAAGAGACCAAGGTATCGAAACCATTTATACTTCTCATATGTATAATTTAATCTAACAGATCATAATAATAAATGTAAACCTAACTATCCTATAGACTACACGATACTGGTCGTACTCTAAACATTAATAAAATTATATGTAAGGTATATACAAGGATATACACGCACTTTAGCTATGAAGATTAGTTAACGAAATAATTGCCTGAACGTGTAAACGTCTTTTATAGTTCTTAGTATTCTGATATTACCTATGCTCATTTCCGAAACTCGGTATCGTAAGCGTTCATCGAAAAAAATACTAAGTTTTGCTAGTGTCTTATAATAGTATCCGGGTAATACTGACCATCCATCCGACGTGCATCGCCATGTGGCACCCCATGGACATCACCAGACAGAGCACCGCCACCACCGTACTTGTGGTGAACGTGACTGAGAGAAGTGCCACGGCAACGCCTACTTGAGCTGGAAGTAATAACAAATTATTTATTTTTTAAATACATAACATCATCAGCCTAAAAATGGCTATTGCTGAACAAAGGCATCTGCTGACACAGAGAAGATTTGAATATTAATCACCACGCTTGCTCAAGGCGGATTGGCGATTTCAAACTTATAATTAGAGATATTAAGTCCAAGTTTCCTCACGATTTTTTCCTTCACCTTATGTCAGTGGTGTCATAGAAAGTACATATAACTCGGAAAAAGTCACATGTACCAGGTTTCAGCAGATTTCACGTATGAAAGGTACATAAAATAATTATATCTAGTGTATTTTTTTTAAGGAAAAGTATTATGCATTACTTATATTTCAAAATATGATAATATTCAAGTTTCCTTCGTTGAAATACAACAATTATAATACCAACTACAAAGAAATATCTAGAACACAGAAGTAATAACAACTTACAAATACTATTGAACAGTCTTCTTGCGTTCTTTACTTCTAAATACTTGTTGTTGGTCAAATAGTCGGAGAGTATACCAAACGAGAGGCTTGTGAAGAAACTGACGACGTACGGTAACGATGACAGGATGCCACTCTGAAATTATAAACCGCTTAATCAAAACGTTCTTGTTTTTTTGACTTGCAGGAGTTGAATGGCACAACTAAAGTTTTACAAAGTAGATTGCTATTTTTACAAAGCGTACACCCGATTTCTGAAAGCTTGTCAACGCTAAAATTAACTAATCTCTTGTCATCTGATTGGTTGTTGATAATTCAGTCAACCAATCAGATGACTTGACAAGAGATTAAATTGATTTTAACATTGATCGGCGTTTCGGAAACCGGGTGTATGTCTACCAATGATTGTAATACGAGTAGAGTAGAGAGAGTAGAGTATGCAATACAAAATCACATGCACCTCAAAGAAGTTGATGCAAATTAAGATGATTCTCTTCTAGATTTTTTCAAGGTCATCGATAGCTTTGAGTTAAAAAAGGACGCTTAATATAAGTGTGGGAGAACCATGCTCACGCAGGAATGGGTAGGTTCGACCGGAGTGATACCACAGACTCACAGAAAACCGGCGTGAAACAACCACAGCGTTGTGTTTCGCCGTGTGAGTCCTCAATCCCTAAATCTCCAAATCCCTAATCCCTAAAAGGTCGGCAACGCACTCGTAACTCCTCCGTTGCGGGTGTCCATGGGCGGCGCTGATTGCTTATCATCAGGTAATCCGTCTGCTCGTTTGCCGACCTATTACATAAAAAAAAATATCTTGAACATCACTTACACTTCTAACTTCCATACCGAGGATATAGTGTATGTATGAGGGGACTTGTGTGAAGAAGAAAACAAAGCTGACTCCGCTGCCCACATGTGTAATCAGGATTCCCCAAACGTGTCTCGATGTTAAGATCGCCTTCCACGGTATACTTAATTTCTGTAAGTAGTGGTACAAGTGATTTTATGAAAGTAAACTATTCATATAAAGGATTAGACGGTTTAATTGCAAACATGATGGAAGAAGTTTGAAACGTTTCGTTTTCGACAATAATGCTTTAGGTAATCGATGTTAAATTGGGCAATTTTGAAATCATTTTGTAGTAGTCTTACTACTTATAAATGAAACTAGCCAGTTCTAAAGGGGATGAAATTGTAAACATTGGTTTTGATAGCTTTTTTTTACTATCTACAAAAATATCAATTTTACCTTAACTGTTCCATCATCAACTCGTCCCATAATATAAGTCTTTTCTTCTTCACTGATGGTCTTGTGACGTGGTGGTGACGCTGCACCAAATATTGTCAGTACAGTAAACAACCCGATGCATATTGCGCCAACTGCCCAAAAAGTGGAGGGCCACCCCCACCTGGTGTCAGCTAAGTAACCTGCCATCTGGAACGCTATGACAGTGCCTAACGTGGACCCTGTGAAATACATAAAAAATATGTTGAATTATCTTTATTGCTACCTTTGTAGAATTTTCTTATGTGATACCTACATAGGTCGACAAACGAGTAATGATACCCTGATTGTAAGTAATCGGCACCGTCCATAGACACTGGCAACACCAGAAGAGTTACGTGCGTAAAGAATAATTACTTGAAAACAAATGTAGATTCACTGTTGGGAAAATGCACTATCATTGGTGTACATAAACGATGAACTACATGGATAGAACCGAGGGACCCAGCAAAATGCCAGAGTTTAATCGTCATTTCATGTACTTGAGTATTATGCTCGGTTAATAACAATAAAATCAATGAAATTTAAAAATGATAACATAATACTATATAACCAACTTAATTCTGTATATCATCGTGCCGTGTTAGATAAAATAAAGTATAAGCCTAACACATGAGTAGTGGAATGCCTAATTTCGTGTTATTCTCAGCACGTGCGTCTTATCTCAATTATAACAAGTTTTGCTTTATTTACGTTGTGACTATGGAATACTTAATTATTGTTTAACTACTACTGTTACAATTGTTCTATTTAAATGACACTAATCCTTTAATAATATATTTTATCGAAAACTTATCTGAAGGATAGGCAGTTTTAACGACTGTACGTCATAGAACCACGTATTGCGTTTTATTCATTCTGGGGGTGCCATTTTATAATACTATTTTTTGGCGTAGGTCGGGAAACTAGTAGACGGATTATCTGATGGCAAACAATCGGCCATGGACACTAGTTACTACAAATGCGTCACTGGCTTCTGGTGAGTTATGAGGGATTTCAGAATAGGGGCTTTGAAGATTGAGGATGAGGGGAAGGATTAGGCCTCCGGATGCTTCACGCCTGTATTCTGTTAGGCGGTGGGTGGCAGGCACTTCGGTCGAGCTGACCCATTCGTGCCGAAGCATGGCTCTCAAACACTTAACTTTATAACTTTTTTATAGTATAAAAATAAATAATCCGTACCGTGGGGAATTTCCGAACAAAGTAATCACTCATTTCTTAAGTGGAACGTATTTACACTAAGTAGAAGATAAGCGGCTTGCGTTACAAAATCAAAGAGAATAATTATTTACGAACCTGTGTACACGTAACTTGTTAGGGTTCCTCGTTCACTCGCTGGGACCCAGTTTGCCAGTAGGTTCTGTATGCTAGGGTACACACCAGCTTGAGATAGACCTTGCAAAATACGGCAGGCACACACTGCCTTCCAGCCACCCTGAGAACATGAATACAATTGTAATAGCTGACATACTCTAAAATCTATCAAAGTAAATTTTTATAGCCAACAAAGAATCCAATTGTTCTAAATGCCGTTATTATTTTAAAAGTGTTCGGTAATCATCGTTACTATTGAAATAATCTCTGCACCTTTGCCTTATCTTATATTGAAAAATCGGTTGATGTTAAGTCCTTCTTTTTTCAAGCATACGTACCCAGTCGATGACCCAGGGTGCCACTATTGACGCTACTCCATTAACAAACAAAGCAATTTGAAGCGGGATCTTGCCTCCCCATCGCTGAACCACCATTCCCATAGGAAACGTCATGAGACAGTAACCTAAGAAAAATGAACCTAACACCATTTCTTGCGTTGATTTTGGCCAGATATATTTCTGAAATGACAAAATGTTAGGTTCATTAGAATATTAAAAACCAATTGATCTTATGCACTAAGAGTAAAAAGCATTACCTTTCGACGGTATTCAGCAGTTCTTTCAATAATTGTTTCATACTTGCCAAGAACATTATCAATATCTTCAATCGTAGAATTAGTTTCTACTTCTTCTTGGATATTCGTGATATTTTCATTATAATATATTTGTATTGTTCTGTTCATTGGTAAAACCAATTCGTTTTCCTGAGGAGTATCACTCATAGCAACAATTGTGACCCCCATATGACCTCTAGCTATGAAGCTGACTAATATACATAGGAAACATATTAGAAGTTGAATGTGTCTGACTCCGTATCCATAATGTGTGGGAATTTCTTGCTTCTCTGAAACTAAAAATATTTTAAGAACTTTATTTCTTAACTAGCTTCCACCCGCGGCATCGCCCACGTGGTATATTGATAAAAAGTAGCCTATGTCCTATTCTTATGCCTGTGCTAAATTTCATCCAGATCCGTCCAGTCCCACAATACCGGATTCTTTCACGACCTCCCAGAAAATTAGCGGGAAATATAGCTTGCGGTTTTTCGCCAACTGAATGCAAATTTCGGAGGTTCCGCCCAACCACTCTGGCGTTGAGGTATTGCGAATGTCCATGGTTGCTGACTATCAGTTTATCCATTTGGTCGTCCACCCATAAACACATCAATCGATACTCTATTAAATTTACTTCAAATCCTCACACATTTTCTATAGAATATACTATTTCAATACCATTTTTACTACCGTGTTCAGGATCAATATTTTCCTCTAACACTACTTTCTTTTCCTCGTTCATTATAATTTGCTCTGATAAATAAAAACACGTGCTTACCTTCAAGAATTTGTTTTGTAGGAACTTTACTGTATTCGTATTCAGGTAGCGTTTCGTCTTTCCCCATTGTGTGTGTGTTGTGTTTCGGTCCACTGACACTCGTATCACTAGTCACTGAATGAAGTTACAGGTAAAGTGATGATTACACTAATAATATAACATATATAATAATTATTACAGCAAAATAATTGTTCGTTATAACAGTAAGATGGCAATGATTATAAAAATTACACAGACGTAATATCTTCTGATAGTGAAAAAGTTTTCTACCTACTATTACTCGGATATTTTAATACTAACAAACAATATGCAAGCTATGTTTAATTCTTACATTTATTGTCCTTTCTTCTCGGATGGCCGAAACGTACTCGAGTGGGGACTAAGTACCAAAAAAAGAAGCGTAGGCAGGCCTTCCGCTAGGTGGATCGACGACCTCGTCTGAGTTGCAAAGAGCCAATGGATGCAGGGGGCAACTTATCGTTTGACGTGAAGGACTAAAGAGAGAGAGAGAGGCTTATGTTCAGCAGTGGACATCTGGCTGATGATGGTGATGATGATTGTGTCTTATTTGTAAATTACGGATTTTGACACAGATATTACTTATTGTATCCATAAAATGAGTAGGTAAGAAGCAGTCAGTAAAAGATTACATAATAAAGTGTCCAGTCTGTTTCTTGTACAATCTACAGCTAGGCGGTATCTTATCTAAGTTAAATTTGACTACTTCAACAGCGCGCCTTATTTGAAGTGCAATAAACTTTCAAGATAAAACCTTTTCACCAAATATTCAGTCTCGAGTTGTCATTTCATGACTATGTACTATAAGGGAAGGCTTTACTTTAATACTTAGATTTACAAATACATAAATAGTGTTTGCTTACAATGAAAATATGTACATCATTTTTGCAAATCTAGTATCAGGAATGACATTTTTAAAAAACGCATTCTATATTTTTGTTTTTCATTTAGTTTTCTGTTGAGGCTTTCATAAGTGTTAATTAAAATATATACCTGTTTTTGTATTACTGTTTGATATTTTATTTTTAAAACGATGAAAAGTAGTCAGTCATTCTTATTTATTAAATTTTTACTATATTAAGACAATTTGATAGCACATTGTCGTGCCGTTGTACACACAGTAGTGTTTGCACTAGCTTTAAGTATTATAAAATGTATTGTTATACAGATTACGTTGTTATTTTTACAGATACTTGACAAATATTTTTATAGCGGAATGGTGCAAACCTAATCTTATTATACGCGACGCGTACAGTTATCGGCAGCATGTTTATCATTATTTTAAGTTGTTGTGTCTGACAGACTGTTTTCACACTATTTGAGGACCGAAATTAGTACTCAAGGAGTGTTCATATACTATCGCTAATTTGAGAAACTCAAAGCAGTTTGCTATAGTACCGAAATTGTTGGTCGGCTTAATGACAATACAATTTTGATGGCGTTTGTACTAATGTGTAGTATAGCGCGAACAATTTGCCTCAGCTGAATAATACCTATATATACATATATATGTAGCATTTGATCGCCATGTTGGAGTAAAAATTTGATACCTAGCATTTTACCCGGCAATAAAGCGCTTTGTGCAATCAAAATATATCCGAATTCAAAGCGAACACTAGATGTGTCGGAATTAAGGACATTTCATTAATTGCGAAATTGCAGCATACGTGATGACAGGGTAGCTCCTCTAGCTAAGTTCAGTAACAATAATTGTTATCGCTTGAGAAAAATATAGCTTATGTATGGAGATTCCTGAAGTTCATCAGTAAGTCACGTGGTCAAAAAGCGTTGCTAAAGCAATAACGATTATCGACTCGATTACTGTACTTGGCTAGGAGGAGCATATAGTGTCTGGCTGTCTCCTATAATTATGAAGCGAATTGCATAACGCCAAATTTAAATCCACTTTTCTCTATCTGTCTTGAGTAATATTACCAGTTTTTTTCAGAGGAGTACGTCTTGCCCTGGTTGGGGCACGAGGGTATTTCAGACTGACTAAAAACCACCCAATTATGTCTTCTAGGGCGCAGTACATTATTGCAGAAGACCTCAGAACAAGTGTATGAGGTGTTAGCGCAATTAGGCCTAAAATTGGAGAAGGAACGGGGGGTCTCGCTTCTTTACCCCGGGCGAGAAAGGTCATTTGATGACTATCCCATCCCAAAAAAAAAGAACCCGTATGAATGTGTATCATCATCATTATCATTTCCGTCTACTACTGTGCATCATCATCATCATCATCATCAGCCTATAAGTGCCCACTGCTGAGCAAAGGCCTCTTCTCATACAGAGAAGGTTAGAGCATTAATCACCACGCTTGCTCAATGCGGGTTGGCGATTTCAAACTTACAATTAGAAATTATAAGTCCAGGTTTCCTCACGATGTTTACCTTCACCGTATGTCAGTGGTGTCTAAATAATCATAGAAAGTACATATAACTCAGAAAAAGTCACATTGGTACTTGCCAGGTTTCGAAACCCACTACTGTGCATAAAGTTCTTTAATAGCTCATCGCTTTGAAGCTTTATCTTTTTTTTCGGTACCAGCCACTGCCAGGTGCTCGACTTGTTAGATTTATCAGAGAAACAATGACTTTTTTGAGAAATAATTCAATATCTTCTCCAATCTTGGGTGGGGCGAGAGTAAGAAGTGGCAGACTCTTACTGACTTTAAACCACCCTGATAATTCTCCTGTACCAGGTTAAGGCCACAGCTAATAATTGCGCTTGCACTTACAACTCCGGCTGACAAAATATCAGCCCTCATTGGGCCTATGTGTGGTGTTCTAATGGCGCTTAGTGGCCTGCTCTCTCCTGCGGCTCTGTTACTACGTCGTCGCTGTGGCCGAAGATCGTCGTTTGATTCCCAACTCCCAAAACAATATCTGTTGCAATAGATGCATTATGAACAACTTCCTAGGTACTACATGTGAGATACCCAATTTGATGTGATTCATTTCGTTAAGCTTTTAATGTTTTAATAACCTCTATCCATTTAGATTATTTTATATAGCTTACTTTAATAAACAGCTATGCAGCAGAATATGTTAGGCATGAAATGATTTTCATGATGACACGCAGAGCGCGAACGTGTTTTATACTTTTTTTATGTTGTAGATAGATATTTTCTCCACCGCCTTTCATCAAGAAGTGGCAGTACAAATTCTTTTATAGATAAACACATTTCATGTTGGTTTCAGGACGCGGCCTTGCAATGGCTTGATAAATGTCGTGACTGATGATGATGATGATGATGATGACGACGCCAAGATATTTTTTTCTCATTTCAAATAACATGTCATCTTTACTATGAGAATATGGACATCGTGTGTTTTTCTGCATACTCCATATTACGACTTTGCATTTCCTTAATTTAGAACAACTTGTGTGGTACATCAGCCCGCCACCATAATTTGGCTCTAAAATGGTCACTATTGTCAAAGCTAATATTGGGTATTACCTTAGTTTAAGAAAATAAATACAAAATTGGTTTTAAGAATATTTATTTACACTTTTATTACTTCTAATATCATTATCAATCTCTTGCCTCTGCTTTCTGCCTGTCCTTTCCGTTTGTCGTAGCTTTATCTTCTAACCCGTTGAGCTCTTTTCCATTTTCTGCGAAAGTTTATAAGATTGTGTAAATTACATTTACATCTAAAGCTGGTACATCATCGTCTCATGCAAATTACATTATTATAATTGTAGTTTAATTAGTCTGAAGAATTTAGTGTTTTGTTTGACACAAGAAATTATGAATTGTTGTCCCACAATTATTATGAGGTAAGGGTAACACAGATGGTGAAAAGTGTATGGACAACTCTGTTTACCCTATGGACGGTTAAAACATGCAAAATAATGATGGCAACGATATTTTAAAAATACTGAACCAATTAAAATCATTTTTGCAAATATGCAATGGAGCAGAACTTTCACACGTCAAAACTATATAAAAAAAATAGATGAAGCCCGTAGTTCATATCTGACTACTCTGAGAAGAAATGCCGATGCTTGAAACTCAGTACTTATCTCAAAATAATGAGGTATGTTTTCTACGTAAATTGTGATCTGTAGTGGTCTCATAAAATTCATAAAGATGTGCGATTTGTCTTTTTGAAAAGGCTAGTTGACACCATCGTTATTGCGCGATGGAAAGAAATAACTTGAATAAGTATAAATTAACGTTACCATTTTCATCTTCACCATAGAAGTTCCACGGCTGTACAGTCCCCTTGGCAAATACTACGAATATCGTGTTTGATATGATCATGATTGCCACGAATATCATGAACACATACTGCCACTTACGATGGTCTGTCTGTAACAAGAACATTAACAAGTTTATCACAAAAGACATTGCAAAAATGTACTCTGTTTTGTCTTGGTCTAAGATCAGGGTTATGTCACCAGTAGTGTTAAGGTTTTCCTATTTATCAATAAGTAAATAGAATACATAGTCATCATTAAAATAGTAACTATACAAGTTATTGAACCATGATATTTTTCGCATTGTCTGGTAAAAGTAATTTCATAAATAGGAATGAAACGTGATAAAGGGTTCAAAGAAATACTAAGCTCCATTTTCACCATTTCCCATTCAGGACAATTTATTACATTAACCAGAAGAAAAATGTATTGGAGACGTGTTGGACTTTTGATATTATTGTCATTGTTTTCTGTCGGTTGCAAGTTATTTAGCAACGCCATGGCAAAGTTAGATCTTACCACATCATCTTTCACAATGTTGGACACAATCACTGGGACGAGTAGACTGGTCAGGTTAGCGATCATATTGCCGAGCGCCATAACCGGCCCTGCGAAGTTTGGAGCCAAGTCTATTTGGTTTATCTGAAACAAACGGACCGATACCCAAGTTTAATGTCTAGCAACCAAGATTGAGGATGCTACATGTATGTATGTATACCTACTCAATTTCTTAAATTTTAAAACTCTTATTCCCTAAGTGACGTATCGATTATTTGTTCGTTTCTTAAAAAGTATGTGTTCATCGTATGTTTTTTACTCCTTAATTGCACATAAATGAATTTACTATCCAATACATTGATCGGCAAAGATGAGATACCTATTGCTTATAGCAAAAATTAGTAAAAACCAGTAGAAATGGAAATATGAAACAATTGGTTTACTAAGGTCCGCCTTGCTTCTATGATCCGAGTCCGGAATACAGGCAAACTTAATAAAGTTCGGCACTGGATCAGTTGGCAATAGCGTAACGTTGTTATGTGTCACGACTCCAACGATACATATTTCGAGTGTGTCCCAAAACTGACGTATATTTTTGGCTTGTAAAATGTTGATACCTAATATGACTTCATAAATTGCAAAATTTTATCAGTGTTTTTGATACGTGTGTTTGGATTAGATTGTTGTTTCGTTTCCGGACTTGGTGTGCAATTGCAGTTTTTATTTTTATACATAAAATCCCTTCAGAAGATATAATAGATCATCTTCATATATCACTGTGTTTAGACCCCTTCAAGAAGTACCCTTTGCCGTGGGGTTTTTCATTTTTTCTTTTCTCCTATTTCATTTACAAACACGCAACTCCACATGCACACCAAGTTCGGCAACGGAGCAGAAAACTGTAAAATATATAAAGTTAATAAGATTTTGTTCTGCTTAGGAATCAAAATCGTGACACATTGCGCACTAACTGATCAGTATACCTTTGTTAATTCAGTATACCTACGCTGCTTCACCAAGTTTGCCTTAGTTCCTAAGTCGCTACATGCTCAAAGAACATAATGCACTCACATGGAACCCGACATGTATTCCAGCGTGTAGTCCGTGCGCTATGATGAGTACCAGCACAGCCCATGTTGTGTCGTTAATAAAACTGAATGCAAACAAAAATACTCCCGAACCAGCCATTGCTGAAATATAAGAAACATTAACATTTATTTTAATCGTAGCAAGTAGTCTTATTTTATTTTTTCTGATGTTTAATCGGATGATATGTTGATTTTCTGTTCCATGTTTGTGTGAGTAAGTTTGAATGTAAGTGCAGAGATAAAATCCATTTGAAAATAGAAGAAATATTAAAAAAAATAGTAAATTACGTTACCAATAGTGTTAGCAGTCCTTCTAATATTGACGACGGACATAATTTTCCTGTTAGCCGCGAAGTCAGCAGCATAGCCGAACACTAATGCCAAAAGGTACAAGGCGATGTAGGGCAGAGATGAATATAGACCATTCTGGAAAATGAGAAAAAAAGTCAAAATTATCAATAGTAATTGACACTAATAGTAAAGTAGTCTAGTGATGTTTTAATAATGTACTCGTATATACAAGAGAATCAAATAAGCAAATTTTCGATTCGCAACATTAATTTTGCTTTTCAGACATTATTTTCGTAAAATCAATTAATAATAATTACCCTTTTGAGATCTACGTGTAAGATGTGGTTCATGTACAGGGGGATCTCGGTGAGGATCAGCAAGTAGCTGGCGGCGCTGCCTGCGTGTGACACTATCAGGCCCCACACCGGCTTTGATGTGAGGATGTGTTTCCACGGAGTCTTGCGTTTCTGTAGTAAAATTTGGAACAATGTTTGGTAGAGTAAGTTTGAAACTAGAGTTATATTCTTGGAAATTAATGCGTTATACTAACAGCTTTAGATATACATAGTATTTTGCATTTAGCTGAGAATTCAATGGTTGATATTCCGAGTAACCAATGTGTTTACCTCAATGACCTTGTATGTATAACAAACTGAAAAACAATAAATTACAGCTTTCATAGCTTTAATAACCTCATTGTTAACTGTGAAGTTAAATAAATCGTTACAAACAATGCATAAATACAGATAGATATATATACATACTTAGTAGTTATACAAGTTGATATATTAAAATAGCCCAAAATTTACCTTCGGTACAATATCAACGGCCCCGTCTTCCATGATATATGCAAGCTCCTCAGATGTAATGGATGGATGCTGGTGAGGACTGGCGACTCCAAACCAGCCGAGGAGAGCACAGCTTATGAGACTCAGACTTCCGAACAACCAGAAAGAGACGGGCCAGCCCAGGATAGGACTGCCAGCAAAGAGGCCTGATAGTTGGAAGGCAATGATTGTGCCAGCTTGTGAGCCTAAACACGAAATTATAAATTACTAAACACGTCTATGAATAGGTATTATGTGCATTAGAAGATACAAAATAGCTAATGATAGTGGTAGTAGAAACATCAATGCTACAGATAAAGAGGTAAACTGTGTAAGTAAGTATGTTAATGTTTAGAACACCTGGTTGGATTTCAATTACAATGTTCCTGGGTGCTAAAGGCTAAAAACATTACGCTACGATCCATACGATCCGAGCAGCGAGTGAAACCGCGTGAGAGTAGCTAGTCAATGTACAACTAACAACAACAAATTAAATGAAGTAGGTAGGACGTCATGTATCAAAATTATGTTCGTCCGATAAGTTTAGGCTCGTATCAGCAAAGTATACAATAATTATAATGTAGAATGGCAAAAGTTTAGCGCTCCAAACATACTTCTCTATTGTTACCATCTCACGAACAAACTGCTACAGATGAACTTCATATTTTATAATCGCCTAACTTCGACTTTGTTATCTCGTGATATTGAACTTACAGGGAAACATCGTAGTTGTTTGTCTGTTAATATTTTGTAACTTTACTTCTAACATCTTACTTTGGATTAGAACTTTCTGCAAGATACTTGTTCATATGTAACTTTACGTTTTCTTATATACTTTTAAATTATACTTTGCCAATCAACCATAATCTATTTTATCCTTATCACCACCACTATTATTTTGTGCAATGCCATTAGCTTATATTTTGTAAGGTCACCTGTATAAATATAAGTGCTTAGTCTCCCTCTTTCCCTAAGCGGAGCCCACTTGGCCAGTAAGGTGTGAATGCTGGGATACATAGCCGCTTGTGTCATCCCCAGCGCCAGTCTACTTATTGACATGGCAAGCCAACCTCCCTGGAAAGATGCCCAAACAAATTGTGTCATTTAAGAAAGTTTTTTTTGTGAATACTTCATTTATTTTTCATACTCACCAGTAAGGCTATCCAAGGTGTACAAATAGAAATGACCCCGTTTACAGCCAACGCGAACATTATTGGCAGTTTCCCTCCAAATTTTTGCGCCAGTATCCCCATAGGGAGCATCATACTTGTATACCCAACGAAGAAGGAAAAAGTTATCATCTCTTGAGTGGACTTATGCCAATCATATGTCTGAAATTATTATAAAGAATAACGAAGTTGCAAATTATAAGGAAAATGTTGAAGTTGGGTTCTACGGGAAAGGTTTATTAAAACTTAGACAGTTTATCTTTTCATTAAGCTCTTACTTAACCAAACAAGTTATAAAACTATTACAACTTTAACATACTCTTTTTGTTATTTGTTAGCTATCAGTGCTTTATCTACATCGTAGTTTTGATGTTGTCTTGAATGCGGGGTAATACCACGTGTTTAAATCAAATATTAATTATATCAGATATCACATCGCGTGATATATTTAACAGCAATATCTGTAAATTCTCACCATTCTAACAATATCATAAGACAAACATGACTTACGCGATAAATGTTCCACCTGCTGATATTTGCATTGGGATCGGCACAACCTTCGGAAATATTCCGAGTTCCATCAGGCAGCGTGCAGTGAGGGTCCTGTACCCTGACCATAGCTACCATGAGGACGCTGAGTTGTGACCTGATTGTGTACGCAATGGTTAGGCATATGAACAGTATTACCGTCTGTAGGTGCCGTATTCCTAGACCTTTTGGACGCTCCGGTGGTTTTTGAAGTTCTAGAATTTTGAAGTAATAAGACATGTTTAGGGTTCCTTCTTAATAATTTTAAACATTGTCTTCACCCACTAGGACATTGGCCAACGACGTGTGCGTCTTTACAAAAATTCTCTTATATCTTACTGTTGGCTTTATTTGTTACTTATAAATAGACCTCTTTATGATTGAACTGAATACAATGAAGACGGATTGTCTTTCATGACAAGCATTAGTCGTTGATAAGGTGTCGGGGTATTTTGTGACCAGAGATCAATACTTCTCTTGATCTAAAAATATGAAAACACGACGGTACTCAGAATTATTAACTTTGTTTTGATACTAAATTGTTAAATGGTTAAGAAATCTTAAAACTAAACATATATAACAATAAAATGGATTGGAGATGTCAATTGAGTTATTACTAAAATGTAAATTTATGCGCTTACTAAAAATGATTTCAATGTTGTGTTTGTCAAGGTCGTATTGTCAATAATTTATAGGGTTTTGAAGGAATCATAATATATTGTTCCCGGCAGGATTTGGGTCACTTTAGATCATTGATATGCAGAGATTACGAGATTATAATATCTCCATATCAATGTCGGATTAACTTAGGAAGGATTACCACTAAAGTAGACTATAATTTCAAATTATAATCCTGACAACTTTGATTTGTCCACATAGAATTTTCTACTCCACTATCAAATGGATGTTATTATACATTATTATTTTAAAAAGGGCATCTAAATTTATTGCTTAGTTTTAAATATGTATACATAAGGATATAGGGACACAGAAAACGCCTTTTTTATACTATGCGTAAAATGATTAAAAAACAAATCTAAAATTCTGCAGTGCTTACAGTTAATCTTTAGGAGATCCAGAGATAAAAATGGCCGAACTTTTTTCTAAACAAAATATTGAGTCTATTCAATGTATGACTTCTATCAACAAGTAAATATTATTAGATTAACTATAATAATATGTAAGTACAATAACGTACCTTCACGCTTCTCATCTTTGGGCACAGATTCGTACACAACGTTCCCGCCAGCCATAGTTTCTCTCAATGTTACATGGAAACTGAATACTGAAGTGAGTGCTACAGATAAACACAGTAGGTACATTTAAACAGGAATTACTTTATTTGAGCAAATAATTACTTATAGTTATTTAGGTTGCTTTGATGTTTTGTGGTGTCAACTTTAATTTGATTTCATTATCTGAATGTCGCCGAAAAATACAGGTTGTTCCTAAATTAGTACGAATTTGTTTTTGCTAAAAATATATAACATAAATGATAGATATGGTCCAAAAATAAATTCATTATTTTAATCTATAAAATGTTTATAGTAAACTAACTTTGTTTTTCAGATAAGTTAGTTACTTTTGTAATTTTTAAATCAGAGAGTAGGTTTACATAACTTGTCATAAAAATTTCTAACTTGTCTAAGACTTCGGAGAATCGTGACTTGTTACAAGTGATATGGAGAGCTATTTTATTGTTACAACAAAATTAGAAGTATTGCGTGAAACCAAACGCTTCAATAAACAATTTAAAACTTACTAGAAAGTTATGGAGTTCTTATGACAAAATAAAGAAGCAACCTCTAAATAATTGTCTATACGAAACCGAACGTTTGTAAAATGAACCAAGTAAAACCTGGGACGACGGCTAGTTTACATACAGTAGCACGATCCTAATATCAGTGCAAACAGAAGAAATCAATGTTTGTTGTACTTTGCTTATCTATCTTCCAAATCACGACTTACGATGGAAACGTTGGTACTGTCAGGAAGTCTTAGATTGTGATACGCAGAAACATTATGCGGTACATTAGCAACAATGTACTCTGATATGTACTGAGTACAGCAAATACAGTGATGACGAATGATTTAGAAGGATGCCTTTGTTCGACTGTAGTCTTCTTCCAAGTGATGATGATTTTTTGTTATACTTTCATCACTATAGTAAGACAGCGAGTAAGGGTAGCTCGCCGCCCCACCCGAGCGTACGGCACGTAGCGTTCCGCGCGTGCCTTAAAGAGCCAATACAGATGGGGCCCTACAGGGCTGATGTTCAGTCGGGGTTGCCGGGTAAGCGCAATGTGGAACCGCGGCTTCGGCCTAAAGCAGGAGAAGGGACGGGGAGGTTTTTAGTCAGTAAGAGTCTGACACTCTCTCTCTCGCTCGACCTGCGCGGGAGAAGTTATTCAATGATTTTCCGCTGGCAAAACCCCTGTTATTAAGGGCTAACGCGAATATAGGTACATACATATATATTGTGAACAAGAAAAAGATTTTAGCTCTTGAAATTGTTTCATATGGAGATCCAAAACGTCGTAGTGCAGCTAATACCGAAGCTTTAAAATAGTTATGTTAATATACTTTATGTTAATATATATTATGAAAATAAAGGTTATTTTCAGTTGATATAAGTAAGTTAAAGTAATTAACAACAAAATATATAGAAAAAAACTTGAACCCAATTCGACAAAGCATTCACCCGTACAGGAAAACAGAACGTGTATTTATTAAATAATTCAATAAATTAATATCAATCAACTCTGTGCAGTGACCTCTCTATTCATCCGGCTGAGGGAGATTGAATCCCGTATCCCGCAGTAATTACATCGGCGATCGATACAGGAAGTTAATGCGGCCGTTTGATTAGTCGAACCCAGTACAATAACATTATGCCTACCGATCACCGATCACTGAACCTGATGAGGACAAAATGAGAAGCTGAATAAATGCTACTTGGGATTTTCTGCCCAGAAAATCCTTACTTGGCCGCAAGGATTGGGGTGAGGGGTTATTTTTAGGGTTGAATATCATATATCTACTTCCCTCACCGCTCGGTGGGGTGTCGAGTGGGAGTGTCAGACAATTACTGACAAAAAACCACCCGTTACATTTTTGCACTTGACCTGCAATCATGGTTGAACATGAGTCCTATATAATTGGGTCCCGTCTGTGGTGGTAAATTGGCTCTTCGAGGCGCGCGCTGCACACCGTATGCTCGGGTCTGGTCCTGCTCGCGTGGCGAGCTACCTTTACTCGCCTTCAGCAGACCCACGCTTACGTTGGCTATATATCGTCCTTCGATTCATAACACTCGGATTGGCACGTACATAATATGTATGATTTTCTTAACTAACAGACTATAAGTTTATTTCAGTATATTCATAGACTTTTTTAAACTTTGTCATCATCACCTTTATTGTTATAAACAACTCTAGAAAGTGAGCTGATCGGCGGTTCAATAATCAAATCAGTAAAGCGAATAATAGAATTTATTCAGATGTTGTAGTTATTGTAATTCGATAAACAATGGTCCTACGATTTGAATCAAAATTTATCATCAAAATAATTCAATGAAATCGGTATGCCGTCCAAACAATGTTTATTCATCAAAATCTTGATCCTTTAATAAATAGTATCCGTGCCATTTACCAGGTTACAGATACAATGATCAGGATCTTGACTTTATTGAGGATTAAACTGAATCCCCGAGGACACAGTACGCGGACCGTGTAGATATAGAGCTTATTGGGACCATTGACTAAGAACAATTACTAATCTTATTGCTTTGTAATAAAATTCATTTCAGTTCGGATGAAGTAACAATTTTGAAGATTAAAATAAGCTTACTCAATCAAACGTGGCTTGTTTCCAAGACATTTATTAGTATCATTGGAAATTTATATTTTAGATCTCCAATAACTTCTTCGGAGGTAATTGGTTTTTATTACTTCATTCCGTATTTATTTTCTCTCGCTTTGTTTCAGTAATTGAAATGGAATTATTGAACTTTGTTATTGATTTCGAATTGTAGGTCGTAGTTCCATAATTGGTTTTCTAATTTTAAACATTACGTTATAAGATTTCGACACGTACCCGCGTCACTATTTCTTCGAACCTAGATCTATATCGCAGTCACTTGAATTAAAAAGTGTTTTTTGGTTATTTAATAACGGGTAAGTATTTAGCTGCTATTAGCCGATATTCATGTGTGGGAGAGCTATGCTTCGACCGGAGTGACACCACGCCATCACAGAAAACTGGCGTTAAACAACCAAACTTTCTCCTCCTCCAATCACTCCCTAATCCCAAAATCTCCAAATCCCTAATCACAAAAAGGTCGGCAAACTACATAACTCCTCTGTTGTTGCAGGTTTCCAAGGACTGCACTAATTGCTTAACATCAGGTAATCCGTTTGCTCGTTTGCCGACCTATCACATGAAAAATACGCCTGGTAGGTAGCAAGCAATGAAGCGAAGGAGCACCGCCTATAAGCAACTTATTTACTCGGGCCTAGAAGACACCCAGGTTATACCTACCCTAAAACTCACGTACGTAGGCAAACGAGCAGACAGATCACCTGATCGTAAGTTATCAGCGCCGCCCATAGACACCCGCAGTATCAGAGGAGTCATAGGCAAGTTGTCGGCCCTTTAAGATGGAGTACGCTCGTTTCTAGAAGATTTCTGAATTATAACAATATGAAATGTATTTCAGTTTGTTTAAGCTCAGCTAATCTGTAGAACTAGCGGTTGGATTTCGCAAAATTCTTTTAACATTTTCACGCTAGGATACTTGTAAATGGGGCATGAGGGTCAAACCACAGGGCAGTGTGAGTATCAAATAGCACCCTTATTAACCCTTTCACAGTCCGGTGAACTCATATAGCGATTATTTAACTATTACCCGGGTTATGGAATGTTATACAATGCTGGAATCTTCCGGTTTGGTCAGAGTTTAAACAAAGCTTTTAATTCATTGTAAACGTATTATAATAAGAATAAATTTATATTAGCGTACGGGTCGTGAGATACCTTTGAGCAATATACATTTTCTCGGTAGTAGATAAGAGAAAATGAGGTCTACAAATATTTTTTTAATGTGATATGACCGCAAACGTGCGGACGGACTACCTGATGGTAAGCAAACGTCGCCAATGGACACCCGCTACACTAAAGGAGTTTGAGTGCCTTGCTGGCCTATTGGGGATTGGGATTTCGGCGATTTAGGGATTAGGGGAGCAGGAAAAGGATTAGGTCTCCGGTAACTCTATTCACGTGACGATAGACAGCAATGGTTTTCTGTGCACAGCTATGGTATGGCTCTTGCACACTTATCATCATAAATAAGAAACTAAAAAGGTTTCAAAAATGAACTTAAAAAAATATACGACCTGACAGCATTTCCAAAGTACATCTCGATGAAGCAGGCAGTAATTAATATTAGCCAGCTTGCCTCGTAAATACCTCGTCACTGCCGGTCAGTCTCTAGATGTTACATCAAAGGACCAACTTTACCTGCTGTAAAATGTTAGCCATATTTATAACCAGCTATCACCGTGCTGTTTTACGTGCCGCCTAGGTCATATTTATCGTAAGGTATACAGGAGTATTCAGCACAAAATATTTTGGGCGATAACATAGCCAATACCTACATATGTCCACAGCTACGTAATAATCGCATCGTCGTATTTCGTTGTGTGGGTGAGGTTACCGGAGGCTCAAAGCGCTACCCCCATTGCCCTCCTATACACAAATCTTCTAGAAGTTAAGATCAAAGTTTAGATTCCTATGGAGAAAAAAGAAACAAGAGACTCAATGGTTGCTCTGTTTCAACCAGTTTCACAATTCATTTTTTTTTTCTTTTTTAAATATTGATATGGTGTCAATATGTGAGAATAGTGTTACACTGATATTTATATTTAAAGAATTTAGAATTTATTTGCCAACGTACGTACTTCAACAACACTCGATTCAACCATTTAGGTATAGGAAATCGAGCGATCCAGTGCCCTTGACACCACCAATGAAACCTCTGAGTGAGTATGACAACTGCAAGCTGACATAACTGTAATCCTAGATTTAACTTGCCTGATTTATCTGACATTCATTTATATTTAACTTTAGAACCTATATCTCAAACTATAACCGAAGTAATTTTATTTAACTCGACGTCGATTTTTCAATAATTTGGTATGTCTCATGATAGTAACTATTCAAAAATTAAAATCCATGTAATAGTTTCATAGTATAATAACAGTCAGGTATAAAATGAGTCAGTATCACAATAGTCCACTTAATATTAATATTAGTACATTGTCACAAAGCGGTGTCGAGTTCATGTTTCTGAAGTCCAAGGTTTACGTGGCCGTACTCTTCCATCGGGACTTGGAGGTTATCTGGAACAAATGAGAAATTACTTTTTTTTTATTCTCAGAGAAGGCTTACGGACTAATCACAATGTTATAAGTAACATATTACAAAACTTTAATTGCCAATAAAAAGCCTCCACAGATAATTTTAACCGATAATTTCTATCGATATTTACAAGTTTAATACTTATACATATGTAGGTAATATGCTGATACAGTCTTTACACTACTAGGTACCTTCAGTTTGAGTGTTATTGCTAGCCAATTACTTAATTCACAAATTTAGTTAAAATAATTATTTGCAAAAGAACAGTGTTCCCAAACGTCGCCTTACTACGTTCGATTTTGTGCAAAACTTGTTAAATAATATCTATCTTTCAAGGTTGGACTGAATGACTTCGGGAGTGTCAGACTCTTACTGACTAAAACCATCATGTTTCGTCTTCTACTCCAAACTGGAGATGCACCACTTTATTGCGTTTGAACTCGCAACCCTGACGAAACAGCGGTCCTACTGGATCCCATATGAGGCGTTATCTTTGCTCGACATCCGTAGACCCGAAATAAGATAGGTAATGTGCATATTTTTTTCTATTTATGTTACTTGTAGAAATTAGGGATGGGTTTTATATAGTTTTATAAAAAAAGCCAATCATGCAGAATCCAGAATAGCGTAACCGTCATGAGTTAAGTAAGTCACACATTTAGGTGAGTTTACCCTTCGTAGTTTTTAATTATTCGTAGCAGAAAATATGTTAATGTAAATATGAAGTTTATCATAGAATTTTTTGGCTAAGACCTGAAGAGCAAAATTATGATATTATTATGTCTTGTATTTTGTAAATTGTTTGTAATAATGCCTTCAAAGGAATTGTAATGTAAATAGCCGATGTTATACGCGCAGTATTGTTAAGTGAAACATTAACTTTATATAAATTATACAATCGTTTATGGAGCCTCTTTATCACGGAGATAACATCTTACAGTATATTCATAAGGATTTTATCATAAATATCTCAATTACATATTTTTATTTCAGAGTGATTCATTATAGTTTAACAAATAGTTTTCATTTACGAAAATAATTTATTTTTAAACCATTTTTCATTAGAATGGGCTTACTATTATAATTTATGGTATAATTAGATATTCTAAAATTAAAATTTTGATTTAATATCTGATGGTATCGAGCCTAGGTTATATTATTTTTAAACTGTAATTTATCGAAATTGCGTGCACATTTTATCAATTAAAATACTTACATGAAATCTATTTAAAACAAATACTACGTTTTTTTAGTAGATTTAATACGAGTGTTTACTTTTTATTCCCTTAAAGATAAAAGAGAGTCTTTAATCTTAAAGGAAATTAATTAAGCTGTGTTTACACAAATTGTAATTTTTTTTTCATATCTTAGTACATTTTTTATGAAAGCTTTGTTCACAACTTCGCAAGTTTTTTTGCACTCCTTTTATATTATCCTAGTTCGTCACGCACAAAATTTTGACGATTTATTGAAAGAAAAAGAAAAAAATAAAATAATGTAAACTTTAATGATTCACATATGGCACTTGCATTTCCTTCCACTACCAGTAGTAATCAGTGGAGGAAGAACAGTTTTTTTTTAAATTGTCGATTGTAAAATTTGTTTAAGCACTTCGGTAATGAGAATAATCTGCCAGTTTGCATGGTAAGGTTTACCGAGCGAGGAGATAGAAACAAGCCCACTTCGAAACTCCATCACTCCCATAAACCACGTCCAAATAGTCATTATGTTCAAATCAATAACATTGACCATTTTCCCACATTAAAAAAAATCCCCACCCTAAGATTTTGTCCTGTATCGTGGATCCGTTTACAAACATACAAATTCACAAACACAGTACACCCAGACCCGGAACAACAATCTGAGGAACACACAAAATGTTGTTCCGTACGGGAATCGAAACCGCGACACGTTGCGCGGCAGCCAGATGCGAAGCCACCGGGCCAACCGTGCAGTCAAATTATCTCTTTCTACATCAGGTTTATGGTGGATATATTTAAAAGAAGATTGGTATTGGTATTTCATAATTTGTATATTAATCAGACGGGTTCAATTCTGATTGATTCCATCTTCATAAGCTACCCTACTAATAATAAGAGTGGAAAAATGGGAGTAAGCTTACCACCACCAATCAATTCATTAATTAAACGTATGACCAATAGCAAAGTCCAGTATCAACAAACATAAACACATATACACAATTAGCTCAGGTAAGTACGCACCAATAACTCCATTGTAGTGTCCCAGTCGGTGCTTATCGTGGTTATTGATGTGGTCCCAATGTTGTCGCTCGTTGCTGGCGCACGTCGTATATACAACAGAGCTCAGCATATGTAAGCTGGCCAGGCTCAGCATTACAACTCGCCAGCTTTCCACGTTCGACTGTAAATATTTAGTTCTATGCTTAGAACAAAATATCCTGATTTGTATCATTACAAGCTTTCGGCCAGGGTATGTTGATAAAAAGCATCTATGACCATCAAGCCTATATCCAGGGTATCACCCAACCAAATCGTTACAGCCGTTTTTGCGTCAAAGAATAAGAAGATTTTCAGATTCTCACAAACTTTATGATTTATAGGAGGAAGAAAGATGCGTTTGATGCTACTAAGAGTCTGTTACATCTTTGTAATACTGTTGACGATCTACCCATTTTTTTAAGTATAATCATCATCAAATCTGTACCCTTTAAATTGCCAACTTCTGAGATGAGGTGTCATCTCACTTAAAGAAGGAATAATCATAAAATAAATCGATTATGGATTAGTGATATTCAAATGTGTAATTTAAAATTATAAGTTCAGGACTCAATGATATGTGTTTTCGATATTAATAATAATTATATTGTCTTACCATATCATCTCCCATGATGAGTCCAGCCACGAATGGTACAGCAGCCCCCACTGCGCTGCTGATGGTACAAGAAATTGTCATCAATGTGCCACAGTAGTTCTCTGACATATCCTTGTACGTACTCTGGTGGAGAAATATTGAATACATTATTAAAGAAAATGTTTAGAATGTGTGAGCGTTACATTTAAAATATAATGCTCATAAATTGTATCCAGCTATAGGGTATTTGAATTATAAAACATAAAAGAAGAGTAGTAGCAAGAAAAGTTCTGATGAAACATGAGCCATGCATTATTCAAATAAAATGTTCCTATCAATTATTCAATAGAAAATGTTCGACTAGTTTCAATCTAAACCGGAGCTCATAATTTTGACATTTGTGTATGGCTGTGCCAACTCTTGTATAGCTCAAAAACTATACCAGCTTTTGAATAAGCATATGATAAAAAAGTGGTCAAACATACAGAAAAACACAAGTATACAATTTGCATTAACTCACCAAAAATCCACAAAACTGAAAACCGAGTAACGCCAATATTGCTGTAACCACGAGTATCGCCGGGCAGGACCACTCGCGTGGAAAATTCGGCAGCACCGTCAATCCCATTACGATCCCAAAAGCACCTGAAAGATTAATTAGCTGATATTAAGTTATTACAAAAATTAATATCGTCAGTACTCTAAATATATTCCCTTTATCACAAAGAGAATATTATATTTTAGTATTATTCATTAGTGATAAGGACGGTAAAAGCAAAATTAAATATTCATTGATATGATCGGGCTCGCCTAATGAGCAAATAATAAAATTGCTTCTCATTGTGGCTGATGTACAAATGGTTAATGTGTTTCCATATTAGTAGCAAAGTGTATTACTATTATTAATTCGCTTAATAGTTCTAAATAGTTAAGTGTGGAAGAGATTAGCTTCGGCATGAATGAGTTGGCTCGACCGGAGGGAGAGAGAACACGGCCTTACAGAAAATTGGCGAAAAGCAACCAAACTAATGTGTTTCGCCGTATGAGTGTAGTGAAGGCCCGATCTTACTTCCGCTCTCGCAATCTCTTCATAATCCTCAAATCTCCGAATCCCTAATCCCCAAATGGCCGTTAACGCACTAGCAACGCCTCTGGTGTTGCGGGTGTCCAGAGATTCGATTGCTTACCACCAGGTAATAATCCCTCAGGAGGTTTGCCTCCAGAATAAATAAAAATAATAGTAAATTCTGTTTTGTTATACTTACCCAAACCGTTTATAAGTTTCCTGAAGAAGCTGGCACTGAAGATGTAGTGGATGTATCGTATAGTGTAGAACCAGTCGATGAACGGGCTCATCACTGTGTAAGTGACGGCCATCGCGATGAATGGGAACATCGAGTACCACGCACTCTAAAATGAACAAGAGATTGTTATAATCCTTGTATTGTATCACAATATTGCTTTGAATTGTGGTTTTCTGCAAATGGATGAAATTTTAGGGTTTTTTATGCGATAGGTCGTCAAGTGGGCTGTCGGATTCTTTGATGGCAAGCAATCGGCGCCGTCCATAGACACCTAGGAGTTACGAGTACATTGCCGACATTTTGGAGAGTGAGAGATGGGGTGGGGAAGAATTGGGCCAGAATTCTTTTCACATTTAATAGTGCCGTGCCAAATCCAAAAAAATACAAACCACGAAACCTTTAACTAAAATATTCAAAGCTACGGGATGCTGCTCGATTGTCGCCGACCTTTAAGGGATTAGGGTTATGGAGATTTTGGGATTGGGGAGGGATCGGGGTAGAGGAAGGATTGGGCCTGCGGTAACCTCACTCACAGGGCGAACCACAACGCTGTGGTTGTTTCACACTGGTTTTCTGTGAGGCCGTGGTATCACTCCGGTGGAGCCGACCCATCGAAGCATGGCTCTCCCACAATTAATTTAACAATATTTGTATAATACGATTTGTTGTAGACTTACGTTTTCCAAGGACATTCCATATGTCATCAAATAGGAAGGAGTGTGTATAATGAAGAAAACGAAGATGGCGTTACTGGATGCATGAGCGCTTGCCACAGCCCAGAATCTCAGTGATTTCAAAATCTGTCTCCATGGACGCTTTATTTCTTTCTGTATTAAAAGACAAATGAAAATATAGTAAGTAGCTCATGTAGCTTTTTGGAAGAGTCGCTATTGTTTTCATTGCTAGACTATTTCTTTTGATATATTTTGAGAACTGTATTGTATTTTAATAAAGCATCTTTTTTTATTGGTTTTTTATGCCCATCGCAACCTCTCGAAACCTCTGCAACTCCTGTAAGCCAGGATCTACAGTAGATACAATCATAAAAACACCGGAACACTGAACTCCGGCTCGTCTCAGGGGCGTGAATGACTGTCTTGGAATCCCTCAACGAAACAAATCAGAAGATATTATTAAATATAAGAATAAGTTTATTTTTAAATAAAGCATGTGTTACTGTTTTCCTCACCTTCTTATAGTTAATCAGTGTGTTCTTAATGAACTCCTTTTCAGCGTCTCCAACAGCCTGGTGGTCTCCAGGTGAGCTGGCCGTCAGAGTACCTGATATGATGGCCATTGACAGTGCCAGCATTGCCAAAGAATAGTACACCAGCTCCCAACCAAGCGGAGCTGATGATAGCAAGCCAGATATTGGGAGGGCTATAATTATTCCAATTTGGACACCTGGGGATTAGAAAAAAAAACTTTATATACAACATACAACTTTTAATGTAAGACACAATTCAACTTTTTGGTAATAGGGGCGAAAATTTCGCCATACGAATTTATACTGTTTTATGTTTAATTTGAAACTACTGTCTACAACCAATATCAATTTAAAGGCGACCCAAGCATAGAAGCAGACACCCTTTGCTGGATTTGTTATAAGTATTTTTAGTGTCATAGGTCGGCAATCTAGCGGACTGGTTACGAGTCCATTGCCGGTCTTTTGGGGATTAGGGTTTCGAACATTTAGGGATTGGGCAATTGGGAGGTTGCAAGGAATGGCCGTCTAGTAACCTCAGTCGCATGCCTCAAAACACAAACGCTGTAGCTGTGTTACGCTGCATTATTTGGAAAATGAGTCAGTCAGAAGGGAATAAATTAAAATACTTGAGTAAAATCTTTAGAAGCCATCGTTAAGCACTGTCAACCGTAGATAAGGATCAGTGTCGACGTCATCTTGACTGGGAAGAGTCTTGATTAGAGAGGTAATGAATTGTTAATAAATTGGATGAAGGGAAAATTTATAAAACGACATTATTTAAGAGTATGTCTTAAATAAGGATAATATATTATATTACTAACATCTTTAATTAGCCAAATTATGAAAAAAAATGCAATTAGAGACCCGGCTAATTAACTTTATTTTAGAACCTTTTGATGGTAAAACATTAAAGAGAGTATTTTGATTAAAGTACTTAAAATAATGAAAAGCGGAGGTTCAAAATTGTGAGAAAAAATTTCATAACGTGATAATTAAATTAGTATGCATGGCAACACCAGCTTGGGGTCGGAGCGAGTGCACGAGTATTGTAAGAGAATTGTCTTTTTATACTGCGAGGCTACGCATACTAAGTAATACATGAACTTAAAATGTATGATTCGTATTTTAATTTCAGAATTAATTTGGAATGTAGGTCACATTTCATAACCTATGAAGATTTTGTTGAATTAATAAATAGTATGAATTGTTAACGTTAAGATTATTCCGGATTTACAAACATACATCATGATAATATAAAAGATCTCATAATCATCGTCATCAACCTACGGGTAAGTTTTGAGCATTAATCACCACGCTTTGTACTGGTGATTTCAACTAATTATTAAAAATTATAAGTCCAGGTACCTATGCAGGTAAAAAGAGTTACGAAAAAAAAATGCATTACCTCCATAAATTAAACAGCTGAATATTTTCCTCTCATTGGGAGGCATCCATTGCTCGAAGAGAGATCGGTTGACTGTGTGAAAGCAGGCGTGGGTCATCCCCATAAACAGCATTGCATTGCACGCGGCTACCCATCCACCCTGGAGTATGGAAAAAATATACGTTACTTAAAGCCATGTCAAGATATAGTTATATTCGAAAATACGTTTTTTAAGAAGAAAAAGAAAACAGACAAGAAAAGAATACTAAGGAAGGTAAGGCTGTAGTCAAACCTGGCACCAGTTCTGATTCTACATCATATTAGCAGAGATGTTTACATGGAGAGTAATTCAATGTTTACCTAACCTCCAGTCCTTTGCAAATTATTTTCGGAACCAAATTGTTAATAAGAAATTGTTTAGTTAATCTTTAAATTTCGACTCTGCAATGTTTGCGCACCAAAGCAGTTCGCAATTACAGGAATTTCGGATTTATTATCTTTTATACCTTGTTAATGATAGTAGGCATCGCCACACACAGGACACCGTTGATCAAAAGGATAACAGTCGTCTGTAGTTTCCCACCAAATCTCCTTAAGAATAGCTCAGATGGCAGCACCATCAACGCGTACCCAAAGAAGAATGATGACAGAACTGAACCTTGAATTTTACCGTCCCAGTTGTGAATCTGAAATCAAAATATGTGGGGATTAGTAAAATGTAACAAGTGCGTAGTTGGTTTCGTGTAAATAAACAAGTGATAAAAGAAGTCATGTTTTGTTGTGTTTTGTTTACACATCTTTTTTGTTTTTGTGACTTGACACAAATTCACTATAATTATGAGATTCCGTCTGGTGTTAGTCTGGTTGACGGTTGTTGAATATAAACCTAAATTGTTAACATACACAACCTAAGTTTTTGTGCCTCGTTAGTATCGACCATAATGACTTGACATTAAAATCGAATTATCGTCCGTTATCAATAACTTTTTATTTACCTTTATGTAAGTATCGTCTCTTCTTGTAGGGTCGATGACCGCTAGCACGGCCACCCCCATGCTGCCTCGTATGAACCCTATACTGATGGCACTCGCCAGCATGTACATCATCTGTATGTGCCGAACTCCAATCTTGAACCCTGCAGAAACATTGCATTCCATCATAACATCCGTCATCATCGTGCGATGATGGCATAGTAGAATACCACGACCACTTTGCTATCATTGCCACTCACTCCCGAACATTTTTGGATGTGGCAAAAGCCGACTAAGAGATTTGTTAAAGTGCTTTCTCTGACAAACCTGATCCTTTTGACTGTCAGCTCCGTGCAGAAGGGATGATAGAATTACATCAATTCTAGCTATCCTTGTTATCAAGTACTTCAAGTTAACTTTTATCTTTATGTTACACGTGTGGATTTTCCGAGTGACCTTGCAAGGTTCTCTTATGATTTATGATAGTGTAAGCGCCTATTTCATTCAGAGGTACGTAAAGAATTAAAATAAGAAGAGAAGCAAAGGATTCTGGGGCATTACTTGATAACCTAGAAGTGCCAACTGCTGATTAAAAGTATCTCACGGAGAAAGGTTGAGCAATAATCGCCATGCTTGCACATTAAGGGTTTGGCAATTACAAACTTATAATTAGAAATGATACGTCCAGGTATCCTCACGATGTTTAACCATTACTTTGACAGTGGTAACTTAAACTAAACGGATGTCGTATTGGCACTTGCCAGATTTTGAACCTGTATCCCCTGTATAGTAATGCGAGAGAAGCGAGAGCCTCAACCTCCTAGTTACCACCCCATGTCATGGTATAAAGAACCCAAAATAGAACATAGAATTGTTGTTTCTTACCATTTTTTGTAATAACTCCGTAGTAGCCATCTTCGAATTGGTATCTTAAGAATTCCACGTCCATTGTGTACGAACACAAATTAAAATCAAATTACATCAACGCGCTATAACATCGACTGTTTCTGAAAAAATATGTTTACATCCATCTATTATCTCCGTTATCTCCCAGACTATTACTGAAACAATAAACTGTTAGCTTCTAGTAAATAATGCTGATTTCGTACGTAAATAAAACTATCTCTAAAAGTTGCTCTTGTACTGTTCGCGTCAATTAATATTGTACTTCATCACGTCTCGTCAAGACTCAATTTTCAATTTCATACAATAAAATGAAGGTCTCAATTGAGAATATCAACGTATGTTCTATTTAGTATGGTGTGTGTAACTTGTGATTTACTCGCAGACGTGATGCGTGACAAATACACGGAATGACGTATCGCAAGGCTCAAGGAAGGCACGCGATGTGACGTCATCAAAAAAATTTAAGAAAATATTTTCGTACATCTTTTGTTAGCGAAAATGGAGGTCGTTGTATTAGAATTTGAAAGGTTTAACGAATTGTAAATGAGAAAGTATTGGGAACGATTTAGAAGCGTGTCAGACGAGCTGCGCACGACCTGAACGAGGCTTCTGTAATTTGTAATTCCTACTTGCGTAAGTAGTTCAACCTTCAGCGAATTTTCCTATTACAAGGTTGTGGGAAACAGAAATACGAAGTAAATACAATGCAAACACGGGATCTTTCCAGCAGACACAGATATGCTAAGAGTGTTATTGAGCTTGTGCTAAGTTCACACAGGTATTGTTTAAAATCTGTAGAACATAAAGGTAATCAGTTTGCACTGTTCCAAAGAAATAAAATACTTTCGCTTATGGACGATTTCTGATTTTCTATAACGAATTCCGTTGTTTTAATCTTTAAATATAATAATCTTGTATACTAAAATGCGAACCACCAGATAATGTGATATCACTGATGATATCACTGTGACCATCGGAATTGTTACTTTATTCCGACTAAAACATAAACGATAAAGATCGACTAGTTTCAAACCCCAACAGGGGCTCATAATTACGCAACGAATTATTCGGTGCACACGTGCACTATGTTTTGTTATTTAACTATCTGTAGTTATAACTAAGACAAAAGGTTAGATTTTTTGACAAAATTATAATACCGATGATGATATACTGACTGTGATGGTCAGCAGTTTGTGGCAGGAAACATAAGTGTCTCTTCATTTAGGATATATTGATTCAAGCGGGCCTTCATCAGAGGCGTTGTTTGATACATTGCACTGTAAATGTTCTATCACTATCGCTTTAAGCGTGACAATTATTCAATATCTTTTTTATTTAGAACATTTTTGTTTGCTTTTGAAGAAATTGTGCTTTTCCAGGGAATAAGTCAATGAATGTTTTTTGGCGCTTTAGTTGGGGCGTATATTGACTTCTCTGGATTAGGGTATGGCAAAAGGAAGTGTCAACTCTTACTCACTATAAACACACAATTCCTTCTCGTGCTCTAAGCCAAGGTCGCGTTACCTTATTGAGTTTGACACGCGAATTGGGCTAAACATCGGCCCCATATATTGTGACGGAAAAGAGGTTCAAACTCTTTGACATCATGACGTCTATGGATGGTTGTCAAACGTTGCCTAGAGATTGTAAATTTCATCTTGAATTGTCAACACGAGTTGGTGTAATCGGTAAGGCGCGTAAGGAGTACACCAGAGAGACCCCGAGTTCGAGTCCCGCCGTAAGCATGAAATTTTTATAGTTGATGGAAGTTTTTTTTGAACTTTCTGGAAGCGTTTGTGTGAAAGAAATGAAAAATTAAAGAGCGAGAAGGAGAATAAAAAAATGAATAACTAAATTATTGGAAGGTTCTGGAGTCATGACGATCAAAAAGTATAACGAAATTGAATGTTCCAAAACCTGACCGGGGGTATATAAGCGGAACTGCGGCCCACCGCTGGCAGTTGAGTTCTAAGAAGCGATTCGGAAGAAAAGGAAGAAGTGAAAAAGAAGAAAAGTAAGTGAAATAGTGAAGTGCAGTGAAATAGTGAAGTGCAGTGAGTTAAGTGAATTAAGTCAGCGTGAACAGTGAGCGGCAAACGGAAGTTTGTGTCAGTCGCCCGGACTCTGCTGGAGAGGAACGCAGATAACTCAACTCCGTGGACGCTGTCACTTAAATTCAATAGAAAGTCTGAAAACCGGTATTAGTGTTTAATTTCATCCAATCCCATAACCCAAGCCCGCATAGTCAGGAACGTGACGTCAGGCACGTAACAATATTACATATGGGGCCGATGTTTAGCAGCAGGTCACATGACTCTTTGAGGAGCGCTCGAAACTCGGATCTGATCGGGCGGCGATCTTTGCTCGCAGACCCGCGCTTACCCATCGTAAACGCGGGTCTGCCGTCCGGAGATTGTCGTTCGATCCCCGCCGCCTAGGATATCGCCTACTGCAGCGGCTGGTGCGTAAGGAGGATAGGTCCTTTAGTTCCCTCTCGCGCTCTTCCTCCTCCTTTTCGATCATCACTGACTGCTTCCAAGATGGAGAAAACGGCTACCCAGTTCCTCTCGCTGGGCACCAAGGCGTCGGCTAATGCCCAGAGAAATTGAGATCGCTCCGGACGGGTCTTTGGTATATTATTACGCTACCATTATTGATTGATTGGCTGACACACAAAGGAATTGAATTTCCGAAAGAGACAAAAATTGATATTGATTTTCAAATTTTCTTAGAACAGGAGAGAAGGGGCTACATAACTTATTAGATTATTATACTACCAATGAATCAGATTAACTGACTTACGGCTCTAAGCCAGGGTTAACAAAACAAACCAGTTTGTCTACTGATCGGGGAATTAGTTTGTTTATTGAGGTGCTTTAACTTGGCTTCTGTTGTTTCTGATAACTTTCTATCTGATAATCTTTGAATTAATTATCTTTTGCATATCGATTAGTTATACCAACATTTAGTATCTCAGTTACTATGAGATATTTTTAATTTATTTTTACGTATTTCCCCGCACTAGGATTTTTCCTTACTGACTTAAAACGTACAATTTCAGATAAAACATCACATGTAGAATCCAAACAATATTTTTGGGAGGTCAAAAAGAAGAAAAAAAGAGCAGTCAACTACAAAATATAATGAATTTGAAGTATAAGTGTGTAAAATGGAAAAATTATTACTTAAATATTATTTTTTTCTTTTTTAACCGGCCCTGGTAGTTCTTATCTAATTATATCATGTACTAGCGGTCACCTGCGGCTCCGCCAGCGTAGATGTCAATGTCATCAACCTCCTTTCCGTAATGCCTAAGCGTCTCCCGATGAATTCCAGATAGGCCAGGTTAAGTAAGTGCCTGATTATTCACCGAATTTATATAGCTTTAGGTGTGGGAGAGCCATGCTTCGGCACGAGTGTGTCAGCTCAACCGAAGCCCACCAAACCAATCCTTAATCCCCAAATGGTCGTCAACGCACTCGTAACTCCTCCGTTGTTCATGGGTGGCGCTGATTGCTTACCATTAGGTTATCCGTCTGCTCGTTTGCTGATCTATCACATAAAAAAGCTAGTAACTTTTAAGCAAACAGGGTTCTGTGCGTAAAGTCTAGATAACTAGTCAGTCCAGTAAATTAATCACTTGATGGAGCGTAAAATAAATGAAACACATCATTACATTATTTACTAGGTACGCTTTGTTTTATTTCTCCCGACTGTACAGAAACCACATTTTAATAAAAATAACACTGGTGTGAAAAACTTATGACTAACCTATGTCTAAAACCGTCACACACATACAAACTATATTGAACACAATTATACATCGACACAGAAGACACCAATGGATACTAATGAAGACTTAAATGACATCTTTTGGTGAACATTGGCACGGGTTTACCATTTCCAAATACAGTAAAGAAAAACTTAGTGATTTTAAAAACTAATAACTTATAAACAAAATTAAAACATAAAACAGGTTAGAAAATAACACACTGACATTCTTTGAAATTGATTAATTGTTATCTATTTGTGGTAAAAACATTTTCTGTAACAATATATTATACATATACATTTGCGAGACGCTTTTTCCTAGAATTACTGTCTCTGTTAATATGGATGTAGTGTACAAGTGCTCTCGTTTCAATTATGTTAATGTGTCTACCCTCTTTGTGTCCACAACTACGCATTAACACTATCATTATACGGACGCAACTCACTTTTAATTTTATCTTTCAACACATTCTACATTAAAACGAATGTGTTTTTTATTCCTAAAGAAATAAGGTCTTTAATAAAACCTACAGCGACATCTAAATATTTTGTACTCCTGTGGCAACAGCACAATATGGCGGCTCTAAAATTAGGACTAGCATAACACTATACTACATACCTACATATCTATTTAATGAAATGAAATTATTTTAATCAGTACGTAATATCAACACATTCTGTCTCAGTCGCACGTTTTTTTTTCAAAATACTTTGTATAAATATAATATGTGTGTTATTAAACTTTGGTTTGAAGTAGTGTGAAATATCATGCTATTATTGTGACCAGCCTCTAAAATGTTTTAATGACTCTCCTGCTAATCTCAAGCTTTATGTTCTCCATCGTAGTTCGCATTACTTCCGTGGTTGATTTCTTGAAGCTGATATGATGATTATTTCATTTAGAATTGTCTTAACATACGTTTCTTCTTTCATTCTCTGTATTTTCGTCTAAACTGTAGTTGGACAGAATTGTCTCCATTATTCTTTTTACCTAATATTTTATTTAACTCAATAAATTCATGTCCCCAGCTACATTTTACAGTTTTATCTACACTGTGTTTGTAAACTTTTTCAATTTTCACTTGATTAAGTAGTACAGAGCTACTGTTTGTCAACTTCCAACTCTTTTTCAACTTTCTTGTCCAACACTGGAGCCATTTCCTCTGTAAATAAAATGTTGAGTTAAAGTTACTTTTCCGTCCGCATTACTTGTAAAATTGAAATAAAAATTAATCAAGTTCTTTTCATCTTAACAAATAATTAGTTAGGTATCGGCGTTGGGATTTTTACTTAGAAAATAATTGTCAAGAAAATTCAACGCAAATTAACTCGTTAAACGAGTCTCAATGTCAAGATCATTTATTTCAATTAGGCCCTTACATGCACTTTTAAACGTCAAACAAAACTTAAAGTATCAGTTTATCAGTCAGTCCTCTTAGTAAAGCTATTTGCTCGTTCCAACGTGCAGATGGAGAGGAAACAGCAAAAAACTCCATGGTTACTCTTTTTGAATCAGTTTTACATACAAATTCTTTGGTACATTATTAAGTTGGTTCGACTATTTGAGAAAATTATAACACAACATTATGAGTGGTTGCGGACATAACTACCAGGGATTTCGAATTAGCCCGGGTTGCGAGTACAAATACAATAATATACCATTTCACATTAATTTGGTATGTCTACAACTTCCTAGCTTTTGGAGGATCAAAAGCATAATCATGTTCATATTACCTGGGTCAGCTTTCCTCCTGTCCTTGTAGTCGGGACTGTCCCAAGGTTGTCGCTCGGAGCTCCCGAATATGACGTAGATGAGGTTGGAGCCGATACCGATGGAGGCGAACAATAAGAATACGATCCTCCAGCGACTGATGTCCGACTGAAAGTAAATACCATTATAATATCAACTGCTCACAAATACATGGAGATCATCGAAAACAACATAACTAATATGTATGGATTTCCTCTTCAGAATACCCGGCCAAGATTGTATCTCCTCAATCATAAAGGGAGGACTTACGTTTAGCAGTAAGCGTCTTCAGATTGATTAATTTTAATCAGAATCAAATTATACATTACTGTTGATTCGCCCCTGTTTCGTAAGAGTGTCATGCTGATACAAAATTTCTCCATGACTTAGTGGATGTGTAAAGCCTACTCTTCAATTACTCTACCTATCCAAAAACCACATCAAAATCCGTTGCGTAGTTTTAAAGATTTGAGCGTACATAGGAATATAGGGACAGAAAAAGCCACGTTTTTTATACTACGTACAATGTTCAACGCAATCAATAATAATTTTAATTATATTACATTCCAAATCCAGCGTTCATTTAAATTCAAACATAATAGAGAATTCTAAATTGTTTCCATTTACAAAAGCGAATTCGTATGAGACATAAAGAATTCATATCCGATTCGCTGGCCACATCCGCACCTGTTTGAACTTGTTGTTTGTTTGTTTGTTTTGAATATAAAATAGCTCAACAGCATGGAATAATAAATTAATGGATGCGGCGCTTTCATTATGGAGCAAACTAAGCTAGGAAGGAAGTTTGTGAGTAGCTTATTGTACACTCTGGAACTTACATTCCAGTAACACGATAAATCTGTACCATAGAATTTAATATTTCTCCAATATTTTACCTAGATAGGCAAACTATATTTGCAATTCGTATTTATGAACAATATTACTGCCACATGGTTTACGTTGCTTCTGTCGTTGGGTTCAGGCTGAGCGCAACTTAGGTATTCACTTATACCGTGTTGTTTACCATGGGCATGATGTCAACTAAAATTGTTCTTTTTTATGTTTAAATTGTTGTTGTTCTTCTATGGTTTCATTGTTTACACATAATAAATAAAAATTATTATGTTACCTCTGAATATTTTACCCATCCATCATGCCTGTTGCATTTTAATGGTTTTTATTTCTTTGTTTCTAAACCAGCTTATGATGCAAGATAAAAACCTGGTAATAATCATATGCAACTTACTGGATCATTCCTTAGTATATAACTTGTTACAACTGGAGTGAGGATGCTTCCAATGCCTCCAGCAAAGTTTGTCAGAGACAGCAACACGCCTGCAAACTGCGGCGATAGATCCAAGTGGTTCACCTAGAAAAAATAATAATTAAAAACATTGAATGGAAGCTAAACAAGTAATTAATTTTTCTTTAATATTAACAAATAAAAATTATTACCAATGGTACAATAATTCGGAATATAGAAACAAAAAATGAATATATTTACCGAGTCAAAATTTAAAAGACGAAGTTGTAATTTGGGTATGTAACTTTAGTTAGGTTAGTCACACTTAAAGTCTTGTCTTTAAGTAATAATAAAAATAGTAATTATTTACCATGAACCCAGCTGAAATGAATCCGAATAGGAAGAAAACCATGACCAGGATGCCGACAGCAATGTTCTTGTGCTCAGGACCAAGGAATGCGAGGAATATTATACCAATACCTCCTCCGAATAAAGCTGAAAAAACAATATGACTTTAATAATATCTTCATAATAACGTTTTCTTTCTACCTAAAGAATGAAACATCTCAACACAAATGTTTTCAATCTAATTTCAAATAAATCTCAAAACTACTGAACGGATATTCATACAGTTTTTATCGGGTGATGGACTGACTCTGAGGAAAGTACTACTCTATATAAAGGAACTATTAAATAGTTAACAGTAAAATTGTAATTGTAATAGTGAAATTGTAGTTAATAGCAATAATAAAATTGTACTATGTTTTATTTAAATTAACTATCTCTTACCAAATGAATTGAATATTTTTCTACAAACACCCAGTGGAAGCCAACCCTTGTTGTAAATCTTCTGGCAGATGATACCGGATCCTATCGAGCCTACCCACATGCCGACAAATGGTAAAGCTGATAGTGTGGCACTCTGCAAATAAACACATGAAATTTATAATACTCAACATTTCAATGATTACCAAATTACGCAGAACCAATTGTCATAAAAATCTTATAACGAAGACAAAAAAAGACTTTTTTGTCTTCTTTAATGTGTAATAAGTAAAAATTATTAAATTTTTGACGTTACTTACATTCCTCAATGATATATTCATCCCTCTCTCCAAGTAAGTGGGTAGATCTACGAAGAACAAGATGAACACGCTACTGCCACCCACGTGGGACACCATGATGGCCCACAGAGCCCCCGTGCGGAATATTTCACGCCAAGGTGTGGCTTGTTTTTGCTACAAGAACATAACAAGAAATCAATAACTTATTCAACTACCTACTTAACAAGATTCAAATGCTCCGAGGTTGTGGGTAAGATCGTCTGTGTAGCTGACACAGCAAACGCTTAACACACTTAGGGGTTTCAATAATAGCCAGTATCCTATTCCCAACCTTACTGAATATGCACATAAAAATAGTAAAAATCAGTAAAGCCGTTTCGAAGGAGTAACGTAACTAATATTGTTATATGAAAATTTTATATATAAGACAAGATTACTAAGTGTTAGTCTTTTCATCAAAGGAATCTGTTGACAGTTTTCCATTCGCACAAATAAAAATCTCATGTGAATCTCAAGTTCAGAATAACACTCACTCTTGACTCAGTACTGGTGTCAAGTCCCATTTCAATATAATTCTTCTCTTCTTCAGTCATCATGGAATGTTCTCCAGGACTGCTGGCGGAGAACCAGTACCACATGGCTGCCGTCAGGAACATGATGGCAGAAGTCACGTAGAATATCATCTTCCAGCCTAATGCCGTCTCTGATAAGAAGCCTGACAGAGGCATGGCTATGATTGTGCCTATTTGTGATCCTAGAGAAAAAGATTTTATGGTGTTAGTACGTCACTAGATGTCGATAAAATATGTTTTGGTGGATTTATGGATAAAAATTTAGAGCGTACCTAATATTCTGACCATAATATACATTCCAGTCTGACTGAATGATGTAAAGAATTTATCGTAAGTTTTGGCTGCCTAAAATATTATTAATTGTCTTGTAATGCAAAGGCAACTATTTACAAAAAACAGATTAAACTCTCTCTCCCTTTCCTGCTTCCTTTCTCTCTCTCTCTCTCTCTCTCTCTCTCTTTCTCTCGTTCTCTCCATTCTTTCCTCTCGTTTTATCTGTCTTTTGTACTTTCCTTTATCTCTCTTCTTCCCAATCCCTCTCTCTTGTTTTATAGGTCTGCCTCTTTTTCTCTCTTTTTTAACTTAGATAGCGTATCCTTTTCATCAGATTAATTATAAAGTACCTGAGTACACGATGCCAGTGTACGTGGTCCTCTCGCTGGTGGGCAGCCACCTGCCGAGGAGTGTGTGGCTGGCCGGGAACAGGCACGCCTGCGTGAGCCCCATCATGACACGTGTCACGCACACCAACGGCCAACCGCCCTGGAATATAGAACCATACGTATAATAAACCTGTATATTTTGTCGTGGTAGGTCGTGGTTGTGGTTAAGGCCTCCGCTTCTCATGCATAAGAATTCAGGTTCGAAACGGATGTCTAATGTGACCTTTTCCAAGTTATGTGTACTTTTTAAGTTGTACTTTACTGTACTGACAATTTTTAAATGCAACTATGTTTAGTTGTAACTTTGAAATCACCAATCCCCTTGAACAAGCGTGTTAATTAATGCTCAAATGTTCTCCGTGTTAGCAGAGGCTTTTGCTCAGCAGCAGGCATTTATAGACCAATGATGAAAAGTCTTCATAACGAATATCTATTTTTACCTAAACATAGATATCAAAATCACTACAAACTAGTCTTGACAAGTATTACTCTACTAAATGTTCATCAAATTTGATACAATTAATTTCAAGTCATAGAAATAGTTTGTCAAGTTACACTGGTTCAATTACGAAGGGACTGGGGCTCGAATCCATAAGTTTAGTGAAATAGGGCACCTCAAATATTGTATAACATGACAATATTTAAAGAGAAAACCGTTAATATCAAACAAGAGGATTCTTTACTTTATAAGTAGGTACTTGTATGTGCAACAAAGTCTATTACAAGTTGTTGCCGAAGCCGTATGTAGAAAAGCAAGTAGAGACAAGCTAATGTTCTTGTTTTATTATTATAAGCTTAAACGACAATATAACTAGCTTCAGTATGAATCGTAACAGCATTATGCGAAGCGCATAACTTTATAAGCATAAAAGTTTGCGTAATGAGGTAATCTCGAAATATTGTGCCTGTTGTGTCTCTTGCATAGGATACATTATGTAATTTTATTACAAGCGCTTTTCAGCGTGAAAGTAGAATAATTCTTAGTCATAATTCGTGGTACAAGTCTTGAGATATTTGTTTACACAATAATTCTTTTGACATTAACTGTTTCTATTGCTATACTATTTACATTACTTAAGTTTACTATTATTATTCCTTGACATTATATACTGAATTTATTTTAAAATTAATAGCGATTTTTCATGTAATCTCATATGCCAAATGGCAAGACAAGGAGGTATGTAAACGTTTTTATAACACATTGTATATTATTGTAACCTATGTCTAAAAATAAACGATCAATAATAATTGATAGGTGTTAAGATAAAATTTTACATACACAAATACTTGATAAGCTGCAGGAACAGCGTGTGGGCACTATATCCCAATTATTCAACTGTAAAACTAACATCTGTCTTTTGTTAATACTAACTATCATTAGATATTTTATTGAAAATACTGACTAACGAATATTAACCGGCCAGTATGGGTAAAAAAAGACGGCTTCGCAACGTCGCTGTGACGCTCACGCTACTTATGCATAAGAGTCCAGAGGGCCTACCACGAAGTGTTAAAGTGTGAATCTTTCGGGCGAGAAAGAGGGAATGAGCTATACACCTTTTATAGCTCCATCCCACTTTCTCGCCTACAGTTGTCATTTGAAACAAGTAGAGCATTACTTAGTTCATAAATATGCGTTTCGAAAAACTCACCAAACTAGCTAATACGGGGAAGAGTCCAGTCAAGCAGCCGTTGGCCAGCAACGCTACCAGTAGAATCGGTTTCCCTCCGAACCTCTTTGCCAACACTCCAGCAGGAACTTGCATGCACATGTAGCCCCAGAAGAACGATGATAGGATCAGACCTTGGATCTTCTTGTCCCATTCGTATACCTGGTGATATAGAGTAATATTAAAGTTTAGTCATGTTAAAAATAAAAGTTAGATAGTAAAACACATTTTTCTTAATATTTGCACAGTCAAAGAACACGGTCGACGACTCCGCCCTGTATGAACCAGAAAAATAACAAAAACCCTAACATATTTTTTTGCCTGGGAATCGAGCTTATGACCATCAACAACTAGATCAAAACGTGCAAAATAAGGACGGTTCTAAATAAACAAAGAGGCAACGAGTCCCCTTACAATCATTCGTATCAAATAAAACAGTTCTTTTTCGTCTCTTTGCTACAACGCTAAGGATTTTTCCACAACAAACATTATGCTAAGCTAATGGAAAAATGTATAAAAGATCACATGTATTGTAATAATGCGATAAGGATCCTTAAACAAAGACATTGGTACACATAATATTTGTTTGCTTATTTAATAATAAAGTTATCGCTCTGTTCTACTGTGTCACGTAGTTTTTGTGTTTGTACTTCTATGCGACGACTGTTATAAATAGATAGATATTGCGTCGGATGAGTTGATAGGAGATGTCACGTGTATTTACTATCTCTTGCCACTACTGTGTCCAAGGGTTGATGGGAAAGAGCTTCCTTAATTGTAAACTAGCTTTTATCTACGTATATGAATAGAAGCTTTATCATAAACCATGGCGAATTAAGGGAAAAACATGATTCAGAAATGAATATTTACAAGCCGATGATAACTATGTCAATGAAGACGTGTCATAAGCGAAAGATATTTACCATTCAGAATTCATAGTTATCATGGCAACGTCTAAAAGTTATATTTAAAAATCATCCATAGGCCTAGGAACGCCTACTGATGATCTAAGGTCTATCCTGTCGTGGAGACAGTTTGACTAAAAAAATTAATTCCACCTTGAGCAAGCGTGGTGTGATTTGGGATTTGAACTAAATATAAAATGTAAAAGATCAATTACCTCGGCTGTAGATCCATTATGATGTTTGACATCAGTCATGGCAAGGATGGCGACCCCCATACTGCTGCGCGCCAGCAGCAGTGCTATCATCGAGAATGACATGCAGATCATCTGCACGTGCCGAACGCCGAACCCATGGTCTGGAAATGTCAAGTTGTGCTTCATCAACCAGATCAAATCATAGACTTATTTTTTAAGGAGGTGAATTGAGATAGTTCTTGGTCTTACGGAGAGCAGAGTATTTCAAAACACCAGGCCTAATTTGCAAAAGTTAAAATTATTATGTGCTATCCAGAAGTCGAGTATAATACCAAAATAAATCGTGCACTCTACAAGTTCATACAGACATTGAATGCCCAAAACAGCCCCAACAAAATCTACTTTGGGACCAAGTCAATAATTTACTACACTCAACCAAAAGTGAGGTCAATGTACCTTAACATCTCCTGGGTGGTATCATTTAATGTTTAACAATTAAAGTAAAAATAACTAACACATCAACCGAGGTCAGTGCATGCTGCACACAGATACATTGTCAACGTCACTGTATCAATAAGTCAGTCACAGAACGCATTCAAGTTTATCATAATGTTACAATTGTACGCGCTGTTGATAAAATCAACATAAATTAACGCGTTCATGACAGTGCAGTGACGGATTCAACTAGTGAGGGTACCTAGCATTTCTGACAAGTCCCACGCAAAAGTATGGCCGCGTAACCAAAATCATCCTTACTATATGTAGAATGAAACTGACTAGCTTTAACCTTATGGTAACTGTAGAGTAGCAAAAAGTTTTCACTTTGCTTTTACTTCTTCCCCCGTAAATTTAGGAGCTAAATAAGAAGACGTTGTCTCAGGTTAACAGGTCTCTGTTAAGCAATACATCTGAAGTAGCGTTCTCAGAAAAATCCAATATTTTCTCTCCAACCCGTTTGCCAAAATGATGATTTAGTCTAATTTTTACCGAACGTTTGTGATGAATGGAATGGAGGGGAGGAATGCCCTTCACCATAACATTCAGTTAATTTAATGTTTCTAGAGATTAGGACAAAACCGAGGGCCCTAAAATAGATTTTGCTTGATGAATCCACCACTGCATCAGTACTAACGATAAGCTATATAAGAAGTGTAAATATAAATGTGCAATTGAAATTAAATTGGTACGAAATAATAGGTGGATACGAACCGATTAGTTTTTAATTACCGAGTCCAATGCTCCGAGCACGTTTCGCCACATACTGGTGTTAAGCTGAACTCAGCGAAATAGATTTCTAATTGTGTTCTAATTTAGATTACTCTTAATGTAATATTTATTTTGCGATTTTTCTCTTATAGCTTCTATTTATCCACTTCGTTAGCTGTTACTAACTTTTATTCCGATCTCGGTCGGACGTCATTTAGAATTTGATGACAGAGACAAAAATTTTGATTTATTATTAATTTTTAGTTTATTTATAAAAAAAACTTTTCTCTTCGCTAGAATCCCATCATGTATGTCAGAATTGATCGAAATTAAAACTTGGCAGCTTAAGATAAGGTTCTCATTTTTTGAATTTAGAATATATAGGTATATTAGGGTAATGTTTATGAAACTTTTTCAGCTTATAGAGTAACTTTACTTCTGAGCAAATAACTAATGAACATGACATTTTTTAACCTAAATAGCTTTCAAAGAAAACATCCCAATCCTATAAAAGAAAACGTAAGTAAATAATACAATAATACAGAGATGGAAGCGACATAAATCTGTTGGTATTACGGGGAGTATTGTAATCACTTCGGCATCGGCCGCTCGCCGCAGTTGTGTAAGTAGAGTCTGGGTTGTTGGGCCGATCCCATTATTTGAATAGGACAATGTGTAATCGTTTTTCACTGTTTACTCCGCTACTTATTATCGATTCCCTGGGCTCACTCTCCGGTTGACTGACTATTGTAATATATTTTGTGTCAAAAATAGAACACGGAGGCGGATCACATTATTCGACGTTATTTGATATTTGGTTCTTTGGAAAAAGGATAAAGTAATACTAGTACTTACTTGGGGCGATGCTTTCCAGTTTTTTCTGTTAAGTATTTGTCATTTGTTTTATTTTAATATTGTGACGGAAAAGTGGTTCAAACTCTTTGACATCATGACGTCAATGGATGGTTGTCAAACGTTGCCTAGAGATTGTAAATTTCGTCGTGAATTGTCAATACGAGTTGGTGTAATTGGTAAGGCGTGTGGATTACACCACAGAGACCCCGAGTTCGAGTCCCGCCGTAAACATGAAGTTTTTTAGTTGATGGAAGTTTTGTCGAACTTTCTGGAATTATTTGTGTGAAAGAGATGAAAAATTAAAGAGTGAGAAGGAGAATAAATAAAAATGAATAGCGAAATTATTGGAAGGTTCTGGAGGCATGACGATCAAAAAGAATAACGAAATTGAATGTTCCAGAACCTGACCGGGGGTATATAAGCAGAACTGCGGCTCACCGCTGGCAGTTGACTTCTAAGTCTAAAGTGATTCGGAAGAAAAGGAAGAAGTGAAAAGAAGAAAAGTGAGTGAAATAGTGAAGTGCAGTGAAATAGTGAAGTGCAGTCAGTTAAGTGAGTTAAGTCAGCGTGAACGGCAAAGTTGTGTCAGTCGGCCGGACTCTGCTGAAGAAGAACGCCGATAACTTAACTCCGTGGACGCTGTAACTTAAGTGCAATAGAAAGTCTGAAAACCGGTATTAGTGTTTCATTTCATCCAATCCCGTAACCCAAGCCCGCATAGTCAGGAACGTGACGTCAGGCACGTAACATTTGGTGTCAGAAGTGGGATTGGAGAAAAATGCCGCTAGTGCCGCAGGACGTAAGAGGAGTGAGTACCCGTGCAATGGCAGAAGCGCAGCGTGTGAGGGAAGAAAGTGCTGCAGCTCAAACCAGCGATGCAGAAGCCAAGCCTGTGCAGGTGGATCTACTGCTACAGCTGCAGCAAATGATGGTAGAGCAAGCGCGCCGCCAAGAAGAACAGCTACGGGAGCTGAAAGAAGATCAAGCTCGTCGCCAAGAGGAGCAAGCTCGTCGCCAAGAGGAGCAAGCTCGTCGCCAAGAGGAGCATGCACGCTGTCAGGCGGAGCAGCTACGGGAGCTGAAAGAGGATCAAGCTCGCCGCCAAGAGGAGCAAGCGCGTCGCTTGGAAGACATGCATAAGGATTTCACGAAGGGACTGCAAAAGGCTGTCGAACGGGTACAAGAAGTGGAGGAAGGGTTAGGCAAGTTGGAACATCGCGTCATGGCGATAGAGGAGAGAGTGGAAGAAGAGATCTCCAAAATCAAGCAGGAAGTGGCAAGCCCTTTGAAGAGCCGAAGCCGTCTTGCAGCCGTTTTTGACACCTCAAATGTGGCCTCAAGCGCAACGAAAGGGCTCAAGATTCCCCATTACGACGGAACAACATCCTGGACCGCGTTCAAGCTACAGTTTGAGACACTTATGGAGGCTTATGGTTGGACTCAGAAGGAAGCACAGTCAGCCCTCACCCTGGCCCTCCGTGATCAAGCGCTCTCAGTGCTGGAAGCTATCGGCGCAAGTGGGGATCTCAGCTTTAGTGCCCTCCTCGACGCACTTGAGGCACGTTTTGGAGACAGCCACCTCGAGCACGTGTACAGAGCGCAATTAAAAGAGCGTACTCAGCGTGCTAATGAGAGTCTACAGCAATGGTCCGTGGAAATCGAAAAACTTGTGCGTCGAGCTTTCCGGTCGACTCCGTCAATGATTGAAGGCACGCTTCTCCAAGCATTCATTGACGGTGTTCGGGACCCCGAAGTACGAGCTGCTGTTCATCTGGGCCATCACAAGAACATGAAAGAAGCTCTGGCCCATGCATTGGAAGTGGAAGCCGTGCGTGGTAACTCCCGTACCTTACGTCTGCGGGAAATGACGACAACGGAGCAGGTACCTCCACGCCGTCGGAACTTCATGTGCTATGGATGCGGAGAGCGTGGGCATATACGGAGCGACTGCCCGAAGAAGGTGAACCGCCAGGACGCGGCGGTCTCAACTTCTGACCAGCAGGAAAACTAAATCCAGCCAGGGCTGCGGGGTGGGCGCTGGCCGGTAGTGGAATAACCCCAACAATCTACATCAAGCAAACTAACGATGGAAATACTCTGGTGATAGACGGTCAAGTAAATGGGAAAAACAGTCAGCTAACATTAGATACTGGAGCTTCAAGGACGGTGATGAATGTTCGGCTGCTCGGGCAAAACATCAGGAAACACCTTAAACCAATTGTTGGCCTACAAATGAAATCAGCTACCGGCCAGTGCATACCGATAAGTGGAAAACTGCATGTAACAATCAAAATTGGGGAACGTGTTTATCGACATGAGGTTATTGTGGCCAAAATTCTGGATGACTGCATCCTGGGACTTGACTTCCTGCAAGGGCACCAGTGTAACATCGACTTAAAATCTGGAGTTTTACTATGTGGAACTGAGGAAATTCCGATGAAGGGTGGAACCCTGGGAAAAGTTTGCTGTTTAAGAAGAACTGTTCTTGCACCAAAATCACAGACTCTCGTACCAATTGCATTACCTAGGAGGAGGGAAGGAAGTTTACCTCGAAGGTGCGCTGTGATTGATAAATCGGAACACGTAAACTCATGGCTACCGGCAAGAACTGTCGTGGGGTCATCTGATGTCAACCGCATTCCGGTATTCAACTTCAGTGATTCAGAAATTACGATTGAAGAAGGAGAGCCTGTGGGCGTATTGGAAGAAGTGGCCTGGATAAGAAAATGCTCGGAAAATCTTGTGAAGAAGGACAATACGGGAATAGACTTTGTAACGAAAATCTTAGACGAAAACAAAAGTCTGACAAAAGTGGAGACTATGAAGGCTAGAAATTTACTTCTTCGATTCTCTGATGTGTTTTCAAGAAGCGATGGTGATATTGGCCGAACTGGTTTGGTGAAGCATAAAATAAACACAGGTGATACAATGCCAATTCGTCAAAGGCCCAGACGCATACCATTCGCTCGTGAGAAAGAGGTTGAAGAAATGATTGACGATATGAGGAAAAATGACGTGATAGAGCCCTCTTCTAGCCCTTGGTGTTCACCTGTCGTGCTTGTCAAGAAGAAAGATGGTTCAACGAGGTTTTGCGTAGACTATCGACGATTGAATGATGTAACCAAGAAGGATAGCTACCCGTTACCAAGAATCGATGACACACTTGACACACTGAGTGGCATGAAATGGTTTTCAACGCTCGATCTAAAAAGCGGCTATTGGCAGGTGGATTTGGATCCCAAGGACAAGGAAAAGACCGCATTCTCAACTGGGAAGGGACTCTGGCAATTTAAGGTGATGCCATTTGGATTATGCAATGCACCGGCAACCTTTGAGCGTTTGATGGAACAGGTGCTGGCGGGACTGCTGGGCGAAACCTGCCTAGTTTACCTCGATGACATCATCATTGTTGGACGGGATTTTGACGATCATCTAAGGAAATTAGAAAAGGTACTCGACAAGCTGCGTGGAGCAAATTTAAAGTTGAGTCCAAAGAAATGCTCTTTCTTCAAGCGCGAAGTGAATTATCTAGGACATGTTATTTCTGAGAGAGGAATTGAGACTGATCCAGCCAAGACTGTCGCTGTTAAGGAATGGCCAACACCTAAAGACAAAACGCAAGTTCGGGCATTTCTTGGATTGTGCTCGTATTATCGGCGGTTTGTGAAAGGATTCTCGGACATTGCCAAGCCTTTGCATCGATTGACAGAGGAGAAACGTGCCTTTATCTGGGACGAGGATTGTGAGCAAGCCTTTCGAGAACTAAAAGAACGGCTTTGTAACACACCAATTCTCGGATACCCCAGCGCGAAAGGAATATTCGTAGTAGATACGGATGCCAGCAATATTGGAATAGGAGGTGTCCTTTCACAACGCGATGGTGAGCAGGAGAAGGTTATTGCTTACTTCAGCAAGTCACTATCCAAGCCCGAGAGGAATTATTGCGTGACCAGGAGGGAATTGCTGGCCGTAGTCAAAACTCTGCACCATTTCAAGAAGTATTTACTGGGACGGAAATTTTTGATTAGAACTGATCACGCTGCTTTGAAATGGCTGCTTCAGTTTAAGGATCCCGAAGGCCAAGTAGCCAGATGGTTGGAACAACTTCAGGAATTTGACTTTGAAATCGAACATCGCGGAGGAAGAATTCATGGCAACGCAGATGCATTATCGAGACGCCCATGCGTGGAAGATTGCAAGCATTGTTCCAAGAAGGAAACTGCTGTTCTTAAGGTGGTAAGGACTGATACTGTTGACGAGGCATGGGGAGATGATGCGATGAAATTAGAACAGGAAAGAGATGCAGATATTAAACCAATACTGGAGTGGCTACGAAGTGGTAACAAGCCAAGTTGGAGTGACGTCGCCCAATATAGCGCGGTAACGAAAGGTTTATGGGCACAGTGGAAAAGCCTTACGCTGCATAACGGACTTCTGTGCAGGAAATGGGAATCAACAAACGGCAAGGACGAGCATTTGCAATTGGTGGTGCCTCGTTCAAAAATAAGGGATGTATTAAAAGCGTTCCATGATGGATCTTCTGGAGGACATTTGGGAATTAGGAGGACTTTGGTGAAGATCAAGGAGAGGTTTTATTGGTTGCATTGCAAATATGACGTCGAAGATTGGTGCCGGAAATGCACTAGTTGTGCAGCTGTCAAGGGTCCACAAACAAGAAGCAGAGGGGCGATGAAAATCTACAATGTTGGTATGCCTTGGGAGAGAATAGCCTTAGACATCGCTGGACCATTTCCAATCACTGATTCGGGCAATCGCTACGTTTTAGTGGTTATGGATTATTTTACAAAATGGCCGGAGGTCTTTGCCATACCGAATCAAGAGGCAGTAACTGTAGCCACGAAGTTGGTAAACGAGGTATTCACCCGATTCGGAGTGCCCTTGGAGATGCACAGTGATCAAGGACGGAACTTTGAGTCCCAAGTTTTTCAGGAAACTTGTAAACTTTTGGGAATCCATAAGACTCGAACGACCCCTTATCATCCACAGTCAGATGGAATGGTCGAACGTTTCAACCAAACATTGGAACGACACTTAGCAAAGGTGGTTGACAGCCATCAGAGAGATTGGGACACTTACATACCTCTCTTCTTGCTTGCCTATCGGACTGCTGTACATGAAAGTACCGCAAAGACGCCTGCATTTGCAAATTTTGGAAGGGAATTGAGATTACCGGCAGATCTTGTATCGGGCTGTCCACCTGGCGACTCTCGCACCGAATTTAGCGATTACATAAGCGAGTTAAGGGCAAAAATGTTGGACATTTATGAGCAGATCAGGGAGGCCGGTCTTCAAGCTAGTGATCGCGCAAAGACGCGCTATGATCGACGAGCCAATTCTGTTGGGTTTGAAGAGGGGTCATTGGTCTGGCTTCATAATCCAGTCAGAAGGAAGGGAAAATCTCCGAGGCTGCAACCGAGTTGGGAAGGTCCTTATGAGATAGTCACGAAGATCAATGACATTACTTACAGAATTCGGAAGACTTCAAGGAGCCCTTTGAAAGTTGTCCATATAGACAGGTTGGCGAGGTATTACGGCAGCAACGATGCTCGGGACGAGCGAATCTAAGAGGGGGGCAGTGTGACGGAAAAGTGGTTCAAACTCTTTGACATCATGACGTCAATGGATGGTTGTCAAACGTTGCCTAGAGATTGTAAATTTCGTCGTGAATTGTCAATACGAGTTGGTGTAATTGGTAAGGCGTGTGGATTACACCACAGAGACCCCAAGTTCGAGTCCCGCCGTAAACATGAAGTTTTTTAGTTGATGGAAGTTTTGTCGAACTTTCTGGAATTATTTGTGTGAAAGAGATGAAAAATTAAAGAGTGAGAAGGAGAATAAATAAAAATGAATAGCGAAATTATTGGAAGGTTCTGGAGGCATGACGATCAAAAAGAATAACGAAATTGAATGTTCCAGAACCTGACCGGGGGTATATAAGCAGAACTGCGGCTCACCGCTGGCAGTTGACTTCTAAGTCTAAAGTGATTCGGAAGAAAAGGAAGAAGTGAAAAGAAGAAAAGTGAGTGAAATAGTGAAGTGCAGTGAAATAGTGAAGTGCAGTCAGTTAAGTGAGTTAAGTCAGCGTGAACGGCAAAGTTGTGTCAGTCGGCCGGACTCTGCTGAAGAAGAACGCCGATAACTTAACTCCGTGGACGCTGTAACTTAAGTGCAATAGAAAGTCTGAAAACCGGTATTAGTGTTTCATTTCATCCAATCCCGTAACCCAAGCCCGCATAGTCAGGAACGTGACGTCAGGCACGTAACAATATTATTATGTTAGTGTTAGTAAATACTTTTTTTTATAAACGTTTTATTATAAAAATCACTGAGACTCTTTTGATCACCGACACTGTTATGTTCATCTAATAATCATAATACTCAAAAATATTGTCATTTTTATCGATTGTTTATAACAAAATCCGATATCAAATTAAAGCGGTAAGAAATACTACCGATATTATTTACATTTTGAATTAGAAAAATATAATTACAATAAGCTCCAAAATAAAAGTTAAAATAAAAATAAGAGTCCTTAGTGACAGTTGCCAAAAACACTCCTAGCTAAGACGTCTCGTAAAATATTTTTGATATCACCAACTTATTATTATAAGGACAATTAATAATAATAAGATAATACATATGTTACTGTAGTAAGTTTGAAGAATTTTGTATTGTAAATCAATTTGAAATAATTTTTATAATATTTTGTTAAAACAATTAGGTACCTAACAAATACGTATTTTGAAGATAATTTACAAGTAATTAAAAATAATAAAAAATAACATACATTTGATGGTTAGCCCCTCGAAACTTTTCCTTGCACATTTCTCCTTATTAGGTTCCGTCATCTTGACTCCTCCCGTCACTCCTCCGCAAGGAATGAGAAACAATGAGAAACTCTAACTTATTAATAAGAATATACAATTAATGTTATCGTTACAAATTAACCTGTATCATTTAGATCTTAGGGTGCAATGTTGAATGTTAATTAACTATAGTGACTTAGACTGGCGAGTGACAAGTAATATTGTATGTGTATACCAGTATCAGAGTATACAGGTATTAGGTAGTATTTGTTAAAGTGATACGAAATATCTCGTGATACAGTGGCGTCTGGAGAACTAATTTATTTTTAAAACTGTGTGTTTGTTTTCGATATTTGTGTAGACATAATATAAATTAAAGTTGGAAATAAATGCTTTTGAATGAGATATTATCACCTAGTGATGTATTTTAATGTTCCTGTTGTAAAAAGTTTTCTTATTTCCTTCTACAGAACTGCTCACTTAACACATGACCAGGTGTAAGGTTTGGAGACTGTGCTATTTTATCATTATTTCATATCAAGAAGTTGCTTTTTATATCACTTTCCTCCGACACTTAACGGGAACGCAAAGAGGCATTTTAATCTTACATGGTACCGCTTCAAAGTCTTTTTAAAAAATGCAAAAGCTCAGCTTGTGCAAAAAAGCTTTTGCTAGTGCAAAGCTTACTTCGCCAGTTTTGAAAGCCGACCCCAAATCACTTTCATGGCAGTCATACTATCAACCAGTGAACCGGTGGGACAAGTAAGGAGATGATAACATAATCCATCTTAATAACTTTATTTGCTATCATCATTACTTGTTATGTTCACTCAAATATTTACTCCGTGCTACCGTCAGTGTACTGTGTAATAATACGGTTTTATAAAACAGTTTTGCAGACATATTAACACATTAATTTTGTACTAAAATTCTAATTTTTGTTGATTGAAAATAGTGTTGCTAAGTTCAAAACTTATCCAGCTAATTAAAAATTCAATTTAAGCGTGAATGAGCCATGCTTCGTCTTGATTGGGTAGGCTCGACCAGAGTCCACAGTCTCATAGAACATAGGCGTGAAACCACGGTTGCGTTGCGTTTTCGTTTTGGACGTGAGTTTACCGTAGACTCAATCCCCAAATGGCAATTCCCACATTTCTAACACGCAAAAGAATGGTAAAGTACTTGCAACTCCGAAGTTTCGCCTGCTCGCTTGCAATACTATACAAATATTTATCTATGTTTTCAACTCTATTGTCTTATTTGTTTGCTATATTTTAATTTTATTACATTTTTAACTTCGTGTCATTTTACTAACAGTACTTAGATTGGCGCAAAGAAGACCACATTTAGGTAATCTGTTTGGTAGTAATTGGGTTCAATACAGAATGATAGTACAGAAACATGCTGCAAGACCATTAGACAAAAAGATCCGTAGTGTAAAGCTGACTATCGAAATTCATAAAATAAGTTACCTAATTTTATTCTTTAATACAACACCATACGATCGAAAATCTATTACCTACAGAGTGCAGTGAGTTTGGAACAAGTTGATATTTTTACAAAGTATGTTCAGCAGTACGTATGTATGTATCTGTTAAGTGTTCAAACACCATTTGGGAAAGGATCGACTGCAAACATTGAAGTTGTGGTTCCCATTCCACGAATTGTAAACTTTGGAAATTTTCCCAGGAAATATTAAATGTAGCTCCTTGACCAGTCCAAGTTCAAGCAAAGCCAACTATAAGCTTAATTACTATCGGAATATTGTTGATTCGACGGAATTCATAATGATTGATGAACTTGGAGATTTGATTTCGTGTTTTAATCTTAGCCTGTTCAAAGATTCAAACATAAATCTAACTACAGTCAAATTAATTTAAGAGTGATAAGTAACAGAAATAGACGAAGGCCTACTTTCAATGTTATGGCTAAATTAAGATAAATGTAAGAAAAATTTTGAAATTCTTCACAAAAGTGGGTCGACATAGACCACGTTGGCAGTATATTATTATGTTAAAGAAAGTCTGTCTATGTAATATACAGCTCATGCCTTGTACAGATTTCGAGAGGATAATCTCAGACCGCCTCGTCGGGCACCTGTCTGGAAGGGGGCCGGATTTAGCGGACGGCCAGTTCGGCTTCCGCAGAGGGCGCCCCACGGTGGACGCCATCATGCGCGTGAGGGACCTCACGACGGGGACTGCGTTGGCCAGGGGGTGAGTCGTCGTGGAGCTGTATTCTTTAGGCACTCCGGTATCACCGGGTGCCTGCCTATCTCCGTCGTGTAGTCGAGGCTTACTTGACGGACAGATGCGTCATCTACCCCGGTCACCGGGGCGTGTGGAATCGGCGAGAGGTGTCGCGCGGTGTTCCACAGGGATCGGTCCTGGGACCTCTCCTGTGGAACATCGGGTACGATTGGGTGCTACGCACCGACCTCCCGAGCGGCGTCAGCATTGTTTGTTATGCTGACGACACGCTGGTGCTGGCGAATGGGAGGTCACATCAGGCGGCGGCCGACCTGATGTCGCAAGCGGTCGCGACAGTCGTTGCGAGGATCCGGCAGTTGGGACTCGAGGTGGCGCTTCACAAATCCGAGGCCATGTGTTTTTATGGCCGTCGGAACGCGCCACCACCATCCAGATGGGTCCCAAATAATGGCAGGAGGAGTTACCATCGGTGTCGAGTCGGCGATGAAGTACCTGGGTCTCGTCCTCGACAGCCGATGGAACTTCACGGAGCATTTTCGTCGTTTGGCTCCTAAGTTGGAACGGTCTGGGGCCGCGCTCAAGCGGCTCCTTCCCAACCTCGGGGGCCAAACGCCTCCTGTCGGAGGTTGTACATGGGGATTGTGCGATCCATGGCCCTCTACGGTGCCCCTGTGTGGGCGCCGGATTTGAAGCGGCGGCCGGCTCGTACGCTGGTCGCGTCCCAGAGGGTCATGGCTATCCGAATAATCCGCGGATATCGCACGATCTCCGGGGAGGCGGCGAACCTCCTTGCCGGATCACCGCCATGGGATCTGGAAGTGAAGGCGCTCGCGCGCGTCTACAGATTGCGCGCAGACGCGCGTCGCCGGGGCGAGGATCCTCTGCCGCGCCAAATTAGTGCGTGGCGGAATGAGCTCCGGCGAGATCTCATGGCTGAGTGGAAGCAGCGACTGTCGCAACCGAGGGCCGGGCACGCTACTATAGCAGCGGTAAGATCCCTCTTTGAGGAGTGGCTTGAGAGACGCCACGGCGTCCTCACCTTCCGCCTGACGCAGGTGCTTACCGGGCACGGCAGCTTTGGTAGGTTCCTGTTTCGGATCCAGCGGGAGGAAACGCCCGAGTGTCGTCATTGTGAGGATCACCTGGAGGACACGGTGGAGCATACGGTGGCGGAGTGCCCTGCTTGGGCTGAGCACTGCCGTGTTCTCAGGGAAGTGATCGGCGGCGGCGACCTCTCGCGCCCGGCCTTAATCGAGGCCATGGTGCAGCGTGAGAGGAACTGGGAAGCTATCTCCTCCTTCTGCGAAGCAGTTATGCTCGCAAAGGAGGAGGCGGAGCGCGTGAGGGAACTATCCTCCTCGCGCCCCAGCCGCCGCAGAAGGCGACATTCCGGACGTCGGGGATCGAGAGATGATCTCCGGCCACCGTAAGCGCGGATCTGCGGACGGAGAGTAAGGGTAGCTCGCCGCCCGAAAAGAACCGGACCCGAGCGTACAGCGCGTAGCGTTCCGCGCGCGCCTCAAAGAGCCAATAGACCACCATAGTCGGGGCCCTAAAGGGCTGATGTTTAGCCGGGGCTGCGGGGTAAGCGCAATGAGGCACCGCGACCTCGGCCCAGAGCAGGAGAAAGAACGGGGGGGTTTTTAGTCAGTAAGAGTCTGACACTCTCTCTCGCCTTACCCTGGGCGGGAGAAGTCATTGGATGATTTTCCCCTGACAAAAAAAAAAATGCCTTGTACAGATTAATATATTTCTTTTTACTTTTAAAAGATACCTACCCTTTTTGAGGGAAATAGTGGAGGGGAAACGGCAAACTTCTCCCGCCTTGTATGGGCTAGCTTCTTGTTTGGGGTAGTTCCTTCTCCTGCGATAGGCGAAGTTGCGGTACCTTATTACGCGTGCTCCCACAATCCCGGCAGCAACAACCCTTGGATTGTCTCATGGGAGGCCCAATCCTTCCCCTCCCCCAATCCCTCTTCAATCCCTAAATCTCCAAATTCTTAATCCCTTATCCCTAAACGGTCGGCAACGCACTCGTAACTTCTCCGTTGTAGGTGTCTATGGGCGGCGCTGATTACTTACCATCAGGTAATCCGTCTGCTCGTTTGCCGACCTATTAAATAAATAAAAAAATGTGACTTTGCAATAATGGCTAGTATTCGAGAAGTTAAATCAATGTGTAACAAAGCACACGATATCTTATTTACTTATTACAAAAATAGTTATATTATAATATATTCTTACATGTAGCTAAACACACCGTAAAGATAAGACAGAAGAAATCGGTAGCACACGAGTGTGTGTGGTAACAACGCAGTACCGCAGTGTGTTGTTTACTAAGTATAATAATCATCGAGTCAACATAGCGTGGATGTGGGTGTGGCTACATAATAACAAATCGTATAGATATGACAGAAATTACAAAATAGTTTCGATTTTTTTGTATCAGAACTTTGCCCCACACTAGGATTCTCTGATTCTCCTGTGTTCTGGGTGAATTTACAAACATACTATGCCACATACATACTTTAATATTGTTTAAAACTCAGCATCCTATTATATGACACTTACCAATTTGTAACACAATCAATCAAAATGGCAGAATTACCACGAGTGACATTTATTACTTCTCATTTAAGTGAGAAGTTATTAGCTAAAATTTTTGATATAAATAACTAGAGAATGTTGGTAATACTTATGTAAGGAGATAAAAACTCAGTAAGTAATGTATTAATCTTTTTTATTAATAAATTATAGTACCCTCAATGTACGTTCATTTACTTATTTTTATTTTCATTTACTTATGTTATTCTTGCTACTTATATTATATAAAAGATCTTATTTATAGACACCTAAATATTTTAATAAATTAGTTCTAAACATCTAATCACAATTACTGGCTAGCTGTACACAGATTCCTTGAACATTATCTAAACTAATTTAATACTTATGCTACATATAATACATTTCCTTTTTACTCTCCTTTAATAAGCTACAAAAAGCTTCGGCTGTTTTGAACGAAAATAATTTCAGATACTTGAGAAAAGCTTTATATACAATCACTTTGTTAACTAATATCTTTTATGAACTATGTATAAACTATATATTTCAGTACGGTTTCACTTTTCATTGAAAAGAACTCAGCAAAGCCGAGACGGCTAATATAATAATACTAAAGTAGTCAGTCAGTCAGTCAGTCAGTTTTCAGTATTCATCTATAATGTTGTCTTCACAAATCTGTCGTTAGTAGCGCTTACAATTTCAGGAGATTCGTCCACTGGAGGCTTTGGTGGTCTCTTTTTTCCTCCTGCAAGCAAACGAAAACACGATTAATCATAATAATAAAAAAAAACTAATAATAAGTATAAGGAGAAAGGAATTTGCAAGAACGAAAACTGAAAAGGAATAATATAAAAAAAGTTAAACTTAAACTAACTCTGATTACAAAGTATAAAAACTACTTACCACCCAAAGCTAGCTTCTGAAGTGTAGAGAAAGGAGCATCGATGCATATACATAGGATGAAGGCGAACACGAAGGAAAGCGAGAGATCACTCATGAATCTGTATATCTGTGAACCAAATACAAACTCTTTTAGTAAAATGAACCATGTTAGATAAATTGTGAATTTATATACACCAACTACTCAAAGTAAACACAACATTATGTTTAACTTACATTTTGTCCATCACTGAAGTAGTAGGTCTTCAACCAGCTTCCGACAGACGTGAAGATTATCGGCAAGTGGATCAAATAGACAGCGTAGGAAAGACGAGCTGGCAGCTTCCAGATTTGTAGAGAGAGGAACCAGTTGATAGGACCTGAGGGAGAGAAAATATGTAAAAATTGCCGTCTTCTGTCGCATAAAGTATTTTACAAGAAATCATGCATTGAAAGATTTGTAGAATTAGAGTTATTTAAATCTTACCTCCATAGCCATGAACGCAGGCAAAGATGAGCCATCCTAAGCCAATGGCCCAGATAGCGCGCATGTAAGCGTTTAAGAAGTTATCGAATAACTGGGCATCGTGTCCCCTCTGCATCACTGGGTAGATGGAGAAGATGCAGAACGCCATCATAATGAAGGACAAAGCCCACAGGATAATAACTTGCAGCTGAAATTAAAATGAATATTTGTTTTTAGTGATGACCTGCGTTTATTTTATTTTAGTCGATAGCAAATATTACAGTTTGAAAAAATAAATCAATGCAACTAACCTTAGGTATTCTGATTTTCTTGTTCTTGCACAAGTACAGCAGGTATCCATAAATCATGCCCACAAAGAAAGGAGGAGCACGTGCCAATGTGTTCAGGTAGTAAGTTTTCACGTAAGATTGGAACTCAAGGAGACGACTGTAAAAATAAAGTTCATTAGTATTATTCAAAAACAACAACATAAAATTGTTAACAACAAATTTGTAAATACTTACTCTGGATTGGCTAGTGCAGCAGAGAAATTATTCAAGAAACTGTACAGTGAGGATGACACGAGAGACAGAAGTACGAAGGCGGTGAGGACACACCAAGAGATCATCTCTGAGCCAAACAAGAAGACCAGCACGATCGGGCAGATCAGGTACAGTTGCATGTCCACTGACAGGTACCAGGTTTGGGGTAAGCACTGAAAACGACAAAATGAATTAGTTCTTGTCGATTTGTTAATTTTATACTGTACAAAATTATGGTTTTACTTACAATTCTAAGAGGATTCACGTAGTTTTGAACATGAAGTAATGCAGCCCACCAGTACTCCCGACAGTTCTCGGTGGCGTGGGCTGGGTTCGTCCAGTACGGACCGTCAGATACGTGGTTAAAAGCAGAGGCTTGGAGCAGAACTACGGCAGCTAACAGTGGGAACATCCGAAGTAAACGGTTCAGGTAGAAAAGATGGATAGTCCTGATGAAACGTGCTGAAAGAAATAATATTTATTTAATACAAAAGCCAAACTCAATTCTATGAATATAACATTTACACAGTCTACATTATCAAGACCTAAACAACATACAACATATTAAACTTACTTCGAGAGATCTTTCCAATGACGGTATACACGGCAAGTATACCACTGAGCAAAAAGAAAGTATCCACAGTGATCGGCGCCGAGTTGATCCATGTCGCTTGGAATGAAGTAATCCACTGCAAAAATACAACATCATAATTAGAATTTGATCCGCTGCATTACTTGACAAATTCAATTTAATAAATCGCTTAGTTCTCATACTTACATCTATAGTGTCCGTAACATTGTGTAGGAAATTGAGCAAGGTCATGCAGTAAGTGTGTCCTACGACGACCCACATCATAGAGATTGCTCGGATACCATCCACACACTCGAGGGCGTCAGGAGATGACTTGAAAGTCAAGAAGCGGCGAGTGTTCGTGTACACGGAGAAACTGACGAACAGTGGGTTGATGCGGGATGGATCTGAAGTTGAAAAAGCAAACGTAAATTATATTACATATGTACTTTTACCAAAGATTGTAATTTTTTGTTAAAAACACATTTAAAGTATGGCTTTCACGAGTATACAAAAACTTGATAACTCCACAGTATGATAAGATTATTGAAATAAACTTTTCTTTAAATCTGGTCACGTTGATTTTGAATTAGACGACTATCTTTATCGCCTTTATCGGCTGCATACGTATTGTGTATATTTGTAAAACAATGCGCGGCATGAATGCTTGCTGTATCATAATGTCAATTAGAAATAATATTAGTTACCTTTTTTAAACCAGAAGGTTAGGACGAGGTCGTAAGTCGTACTAGCAATAAGCAACAGGCCGATGATGGAGAAGAGAACACTGCAAGAAAATGAAAATATTAAGCACATGAAGTGGAAGCAATTGAATAAAAAGTAAATTGTATCAATTAAGGTAAAACTATGTGATTAATAATGTAGCTTACATGGCAACGATGTCAGCAGGGGCTAAAAGTTTGTCATCTGGCAGCCTGCAATACTGCTCATTAATAGTGAAGTTAGAGTAGGGAATTCTTGACTCAAGGAATTCGATGGCTTGCTTCTCCGAGCATACATCGGGAATACAAATTGCTATCACTGCATTTAATCCGGCCGCAATATACAAGGGGAACACCCTGCTGGCGGGATCACTGCAAAAAATCATCTGGTATTATTATGTCTGTAAACAAATCAACAGTGCGAAGTATTTCATATATAAATAGGTAGACCAAATAATTTTAATAACTTTAGGCTTAACTCAATTGATTGTAATAAATTACCTTATCTGCTGCTCTGTTTCTCCTACCCCACTAATTCCAAACACGTATTTCTTTAAGGCAGTGTAAGTTTCTACAGCTCTGACCGTTTCACTGTCGATTTCAGGGAATGGTGGACGATCAGCATTGTATGGGGTTTGATATTGAGGAAACCAATCAGGATTGAAATCATCTGGTAGAGTGAAGCCTTCAGGTAAGGTGAATCCTTCAGGTAGAGTGAAGCCAGGGGGCCAGGTGATAGGAGGGAATGTACCACCAGGTAATTCTGTTGTTGGGAGCGCAACTGGTGGCAAAGATTCAAGTGGAATACTGACAGCGCAGTACTTTCCCTGGTAAGTACTTGTACCAACAACTTGACGGATCCGCAGGCATTGGTGGTAGTCTCCCAAGTCATTCCAATTACCGCCTAACAGGCCGCTCGGTAGCTTCCCACTAGCATCGAGAACTGAAACAATTAATTTTCCGCTTTAGACGCGTTGCTGATTTGATCGATGTTTTATTATTAGATAATAGATATATTTTTTATTCTATCCTTAGCTAAGTATTGCTATTACTAATATCAACCCGGATACCTGGACTATTATCACTAACATTCACATCGCAAATTAAAATCAGTCCAATCATTGCTTAAAGGTTACATCGTGATTTCCAAACATTCAAGATAAAAACGATTATAATCATTGCACATGGTCCCCGAAACTATCGGATTGCGAAATAATGAGTTGATAACTGTTTTATTAAAATATTATAAATCAAAGCAATATGGACAGGGGAAACACATTGTGAAGATAGTAAGCACGTTTCTGCGACTTGAATCATTGTTTGCCAATAAAGTTTCACGTGGCAGTGCATCCTATAACGTGCAGCAACTCAGTAGAAGATGAAATGACATAAAACATGACTACTACACAAATACACTTCAAAGTGGTGTTACACACACAGCTAAACCAATATAATTATCAGCTTACACTAGAATTTTCTATCACTTATTTTATTCTGATAATACTAATAATGTAATACATATCTTCCTTTTATTGCGTTCCAAACAAAAATATTATGGCACGATTCCTAATCTAAGGCAAGGCTAATATTTTACGTGTGTCAGTGTTACAAATAAAATGTTTTATGACCTTTATACTGATACGACACCGGTTCTCAATGAAATTACAATTATTTTATTGCAAAAGATTTTGCTAGATATAAAGTATGATATCTATATCTTGGGCGTAATATTACGATGACTTTAAAATCGCCTGATCGGATACTTCATAATTTAAATAAAGATTTTGAAATACACATTGTTCCCTTCCTTTAATTTTATTGCTTCTGGACTGTACACGATGATGGTGCTACTATCGAGCATGTCTACCCATAAGCAACTTATTCACTTCGGCCTTTAAGACACCCAGGTTATGCCATACCCTACGGTGAATACAGACTCTGGCAAATAATTCCACTTATACAACCTCAGCAATTTTCAGTAATATAACATTGAAAAGTCTTCACTATCAAAACATTCATTTAATTTAAAATGAAATAAGTATTTATTTATAAACTGAGGCCGATAAAAAAATCGTTCGATTCGAGAATTATTTCTAAGACTTTTATTGCGTTTAATTAAGTATCATAAAATGCTTTAGCCACCTGCGCGATAATGCAGGTTGTAAATATCTTGAGTCATTATAGAACGGATATGATTCCAATACTTCATTTATCAGTTAGTGCAAAGAGAAGATATAGGAAACAATCCTATTTAATGACTAGACAAATTATAACAACATATAAATTAATTAAGTTTTACAAACTTTAAGAAAGTTACTAACGTATTCGAAAAATAAATAAAATTTACTGGCATTTAAACTATAGCAGATCAACAGAATCTCTCAAAAATATGTACTTATTTTATCACCGCCGATATTTCAATTTGTAACAACTGATTGCAGATCAGAACTCAAGGTTCGCGAATAATTAACTTAATCCATTCCTAAATAGGTCATGAACAAAATCGGCTAATTCAACAAATCTTGTTGATGTGATTCTGATGGCTAAGACATGGCATGCCATAGGTTTTCACAAATGAGAAACTCGGAAAAAGTTTTCCTCTGGAACATGTAGTGGCTATTTAGTAATTAGTAATAATAAGATAATAACTCACATCTATTTCTTAAAGTACTGTTGTTCGTCAAGAAGGCGAGCTGTGCTTCGCACTCTTGTGGATTTAACACATTCTGGTACCGATCCTTGTCAAACGCACTTGTGTAACCGTTCACTGTGCACACTGATACTACTAGCAAAAACAAAAAGTACTTGTGTGTACCCATCGCGACTGTCTGTGGCCAAGTATCTACGACTAATGTTATGTCCACTCTCCAACAAATATATTTATATTAAAACCGACGATATTGTGAAAATTACTGATTACTAGGCTACTGATAAGCCGGTAATCTTTGCTAATTTATCAATAATCTTTTTTTTTATTGTGATAGCTGTATTATTGGCGTGACTAAACGCTACAGGTTATTCGCCACTGATATAGGTTTTGTTTGTTTGGAGTTCATTTACTAATTTTATTTCAAATTATCAGGAAATATCATTGAAAAAGATTTCCTTTAAGTGTTTTATTAAAATTCTACTCAATGTTTATGCAACATTTTTTACTAAGTGACCTGTGTGTGATTGTATGTAGTCAAACAAAAATTGAGTATAATTTTTAAATAGAGAATGTTATTAAACTTAATGTCGTAACTGTAATTGTCATGGTGATGAGGAGGTTCAGGCACCAGTTTTTCGCGCTTTTGTTTTTTTTTCAAGTTGAAGGGTGATGGAAGTAATTGTAAACAAACTTGGACTTTATGATTTCATATTGAAAACCTGAAATTGCCAATCCGCCTTGAGAAAGCGTGAAAGAAGTGGCATTTTCAGAGTGTGTGATGAAGTTGTTGAAATTTAGAATTAATGATGATTTCGCCATTTTGCTAAATATATCTAGAAGGAGGCTTGAATGTACTACTTCTTTGTGTAAATATAAATGTGTTAGTCAAAATACTAATTAAATCTAGTAGTGACCAACTTATGTAAATGTGTGTGTGTATTTTAAGTGTGGGAGAGCCATGCTTCGGCACAAATGGGTCTGCTCGACCGGAGTGATACCACGGCCTCACAGAAAACCAGCGTGAAACAACCACAGCGTTGTGTTTCGCCGTGTGAATGAGGCTACCGGAGGCCCAATCCTTCCCCTTCCCCAATCCCTCCTCAATCCATAAATCTCCAAATTCCTAATCCCTAAAAGGTCGGCAACGCACTCGGAACTCCTCTGTTGCGGTGTCCATGGGCGGCGCTGATTGCTTACCATCGAGTAATCCGTCTGCTCGTTTGCCGACCTATTACATATAAAAAATGCAATTGTAAATGGTAAGAACATTATTTAATACCTATGAATTACACAGGTAAGTGAAGTACGGTACAGCAATAACATTAAATTTAACGAAAACTCGCCCTTGCTGCTGATTCACGCTAAATATTAAATAACATCAATCACACGCCGAACAAGGTGCTTACACGGTAAATACATAATAGATATTGTCTTAGTGTAGGCACATGTATGAATGGTAATACCTATTCCCAATACCTACACCAAAATAAATAACGTTCCAGTGGATTTTGCTTGAACGGGACTTCTCCATATTAGTGAAATTGCATTATATTGTATAACTATAACTTGATAAATTTGTAAATGTGAGTGCCCTGTAACCTATTATAATTGTTTAGACTAGCAGAATGTCGGTCCTTATAACAGCTTGGAGTTGTCATGCTCACTGAAAGGTCACACTGGCGGTGGCATGGGCGCTGGATCGCTTCCCTATAATATGGTTGAGTTGGGCGATGCTGGTGTACGTGTCATGCTCGTGAACGGGCGCCGTCAGTTGGGACTGGTCAACTCCAGACTGTCTATTGTCCTTAAGGTTACTTTCTTTTTATATTTGAATAAATATTAGTGTTACACTGTTCTCACATAATTGAACCAACTGTTTGTAAAAGGAATCTGTATGTGAAACTGATTTAAAAAGAGTAACCATGGAGTTTCTTGCTCGTTCTTCTCCATCGGAATCTACGCTTTGGAACGAGCAAATAGCTTCACTAAGAGGACTGACCGACAGACTGACACTAAGTATTTCTTCAAAATTTTGTTTGACGTTCAAAAGTGCCTGTAAGGGTCTAATTGAAATAAATGATTTTGACTTTTGAATTTTGACAATACACTCAATCTTACAGTTATAGATTTCGTAATTTCCAATGGTGGAGTCGGCTGCGCGAAGAATCCTGTTGTAACTTCAAACTAGTAGTGCTTTTCTCAGTCATTATTCATGTGAGTACGTTGTTATTTTCAATAAATTAAGTATGTCTAATGATAATATCTAATATAACTATTCTAAAGATGCAGTGCTTTTTTATAGAATTCAATAAAATATATCTTTTTATACTACTAGCTTCCGCCCGTGGCTTCGTCCGCGTGGTATGTTGATAAAAAGTAGTCTATGTATTATTCCGGAGTGTGTTTTGCTTTTGCCAAATATCTTTCAGACCCGGCCAGCCGTTTTGGCGTGATAGAGCAACAATAAAATACGAAAATCCGTTATAGAAAGAAAAGAACATAAAACGTGTAACTAATGATTACGGTACTCGGACTCGCACGTATACAGTAATAAGTGAATTACAAAACCAACAAATACATACAATTGGGCAAAGCTTTTTCAAAATGACGGAATTGACGTTCTATCTCAATCTATCCAGTAAACATTGATTTATTGCAAAAAAACTACACGTAAAAATAAATAAATAGAGCTGCATATTTTTTGAGATTTACTTTTTTTATGGTCGGCAAACGAGCAGACAAATTACCCGGTGGTAAGCAATCAGCGCCGCCCTTGAACATTCGCAACGGAGGAGTTACGAATGCGTTGCCGACCCTTTAGGGATTAGGGTTTTGGAGATGTAATTGGGCCTCCGGTAACCCCACTCACACGGCGAAACACAACGCTGTGGTTGTTTCACGCCGGTTTTCTGTGAGGCCGTGGTATCACACCGGTCGAGCCGACCCATTCGTGCCGAAGCTTGGCTCTCCCACACTTAAACTGACTGTATAAACTTAAATTATGAATTTTTATGAATAATTTTATTTAGCACACACATCTTTCCTAAGCATACCTGAACTATTATACTTTACCAAAAATGCACCCCTATTATTATTCTATTGACATTTCCCTTTTTGTGACGTAAATTATTGACCCTCCTGATAAAAGTTTCATAATAAAGACCTAAAATATATACAAAGTATGAGTGTTACAAACAAATTTAAAAATAAAACCATAAAGATAGTTTCGTAGATCCGGACCTAATAAAAAATATATTTTTAGAAAGCTTTACGTCCTTATCGGTGACGATTATTTTAAAAAGTTGTTGCCTGTGTGAGTCAGCCGATGTGAATCACCGGCTTACAATATATCAGTGAGATTGGAAGACTTAACACCAAGATTGATAACAACAAAATATTTATTTTTAGACTTTAAGGTATAATATAAGATGAATCACACGTATGATCAAAAGTCTTTCCCCACAATTTGATATGAAGGAAGGACTTAGCCTGAGTAGCTGTACAGTGACGTCACGAGTGGGTTACACTTATCACATTGTTTTTTTTTACATCAGTCCAAGTGTGTGTTTGTTTTTTTTTACATCAGTCCAAGTGTGTGTTGTGATCGAGACAGAAATATGTTTTGTTCTCTTTCATGCAAATTAAAATTTTGCTTCATGACTAACAATACAAAAATTGGAAAGGGAATTTAGATAAACAATGCTGCATAGCTTTTTACAGCGTAAAGTCTGACATTAAATTTATGAACGTTGGCTAAAACACGAAAATATGTGAGAACTAAATTATTGTACACATGTGTTGTAAGTAGCTTTTTGCTTTTTACTCCGGAGGACGTTATCCTTAATCCTTTTCCTCACTTATGTTATGATTGAGTCAGCTTCTTACATGCACAGACCAGTTAACACACAAAGAAAACTTAATATTTCACCACTTTTTTTTTTACTTGCAATAAACTAGTGCTTGACTGCGATCCCACCTGATGGTAAGCAGTGATGCAATCGTTGATGGTAAGGCACACTAGTTTATTAAGAGCCTATTCACTCTAGCCTTGAAGACACCTAAATTGTATTCGGACGGAAAGACTGCAGCCGGCAAACTCCAATCCCTCGATGTACGCGGTATAAATGACGAGGCAAAACGCTTAGTCCGGGCCGCTGGTGTCTCAACAACGTAGGGGTGGATATTCGCCGTACGCCGGGATGTCCGAAGGTGAAATTGGGATGGCGAAATCAAAACCACTGACATATTAAGAACGTTGTCACTGTCTGCTCAACCTTGTATCAGAACAGAAGTGCCTATTTCAGGAATTACACTTGAAACAATAGATATTTGTTAATTTATTGCAAAGACAGATGATACCTTGGAAACTTTAATGACCTTGAACCATGAGATTATTTTACAGCACGTTTTCAAGCAAATTTGCTGCTGTAAAATACAATAAGTACTTGGTTGTATATCTTGTCTGTTTAATATTTTAGCCTTGTTGTAAATTACATTCAGGCAAACTAATTCGATACTGATATTAAAGTGTTGGTTTTTTTGAATCTTAATTTTCTTAATAAGTGCTTAAAATTCTTTATTGTAAATTTAAATAAAATATCTCATAGTAAATATAAGTACCACGGCCTTGAGAAGAGCTGAACACTGAGTTCAGTGGCGTGCAATTGGGGAGGCCTACGTACAGCAGTGAAAGAAATCAGGCTGATGATGATACCGCGGCCTCACAGAAAACCGGCGTGAAACAACCATAGCGTTGTTTCGTCATGTGAGTGAGGTTACCAGTTACTCAAACCCTTTCCATTCTCCAAATCCCCTAAACGCTAATCTCCAAAAGGTCGGCGCCGCAATATTAACTCCTCCGTTGTTGTGGATGTCCGTGGGCGGCGCTGATTGTTTACCATCAGGTAATCCGTCAGCTCGTTGGCCATCCTATAACATAAAAAAATATTCTTGCATTGTGTTGTGATAACATACCACCATAGAGTGGCGTTAAAAATGAATGAATGTAAGATGTACTATATAAAGGTGGTTTCCCGCCTGTCAATGTGAGGACCTATACTTTAGAACTGGGATTTTGGTGGGGCGAATAGATGATAACGATGCAGCATCTGGATACAATAGCGGTTTGAAACAGTTTGAACAAACTCATTGGCTTACAATGCTTTTTCTTGAAACTTTAGAGTTTTGCTCTCTCTTCTAATAAACATTCTAAACATTAATGTTTAATTCTCCAAAAAAAAAACAAATGAATTTTACATTACGTGTATATTAAAATACCATCACGTATTAGTATTAAATGATAATACAGGCTCGTGTTACGCTAATCACATTAAATGAGGACTTATCTCCAGACACTCAACGATACTTACTTATAATCTAATCAGTTATTTTTGCGAGCAAATGGTGATTGATCGGAGCCGAGTTAAGTTTTGTTAGCAGACGCACTCGTAACTAGTTGAAGGTTTTTTCATTTCTTACTATCATTGTTGTTCAATCATATTATTTAACTGTTTTATAATGTTTTTTTTTTAACTTTGATTCTTGTTAAAACAGGAATTGTGTTTAATGAATTAAAACAAGCAAAGTATAAATTGTTTGATCAATTTGCAGGAAAACAACAACATTATGCAAAAACATTACAATCAAAACATTGACGCTAAGTTTAAAGCGTAATTTTCAGTTTCTATAAAATTACTGTAATAAATGATATCACACGTGTTTTCCCCTGAAAACACTAATGACTTTGATAAATAAAAAAGTTTTTTCGTAGCATTCACCTTGAAATATTGTATTTTAGACTTTGTCATTTATAATAATATATAAATATAAATACGACTGATGCGCGACTTATTTCGAGCAACACCGGGAATGATTACAACCTACCAGGATCACAACCTTCATAAGTAAGAAACAGTTGTATGGTATAAAGGTGTAAGTTTTTTCACATTAAAATATTATCATGACGTATTGTTGTATTTATTATTATTCAAATGTAATTCCTGTTAATACTTAATTTATTACAATAAAGTAATTAACAAAACAATATATAGATAAGACATTTTCCTGTTATGGTTCCTACTGCTATAATATTATCAATCTCTAGATTATAATATCATGTAATAGAAAATACATAGGTATGTAACTAATGTTCTACAAGGTACGTTGCGTATTATATTTTCACTTTTGGTTTTACCAATAACACAAAATGAAGTGAAACGTAATTTATCACCAATCCTTGGATAATACTTTAATTCTTCTTCGCGTCGGATTAAGATATAAAACAAAACATTATTGTCTAATTGGAAATTTGGAACGAAAAATTTCCCTATTGAAAAAGAAATGAGACGTAAAAGCCTTTAAGCAAACGGTCTTCGCCAGACCGGAACCAGACCCGAGATAAGCCGTGTCGTATCTTGAGCTGACTCTCAAGGTGTCATTAGACTACACAGAGGGAACTACTTAATGGAATGAAATAAACAGGGTGACTTTTAGTCAGTTAGGCTCCGATACTCCTTTTTGCCCCATTCCGCACATCGATTCTATAAAATTTGTTTGATTTTGAATCTTGTTCGAGTTTGAAGTTAGCGTTGAAGTGACGGGGAAATTAAATTTTAGAATGCCACTTTTAAGGTCCTCTAATACTTTGTATATGAAAATATTGCGATCAATTTGGTTCAACTCGCAAGTGTAGCGCTAGTGTACTACTACTCACAGTGGTTTCAGATTCGAAGTTTGCTATGAAGTCTTACAGAATCACACTGCAGGGCAAGAAATGTGTTAATTTTCTTCCTTAAAAGGGTGCTTATGACTCACTATCACGTAAGATGTCTGCTCGTTTGCCAAAGCTTCTTCAAGTGTATCTCCATAATTATCTACAAACACGTGAACAATAATTGTTCAAGTATTAAGTAACTGAACAATCCATTACAATATGACGAATGACACACACAGGAATGACAATTTAATTTTTTGACGTCACGACCTGATTATGCAAACACTTTAACCAGAGAATTTCGAGTAACTTTTTCACTATATCAGTTATTGAACTGTTTTTTGTATATCTGAAACAATATTTATATCTAATGCCATGTTTAGTATCTACATGAATCGTGCATTTCCCTGGCACGTCTTTTCAGAAATGGCCTAAAAATTATCTGGCATGGACAGGCTAACCAGATTATTACCCATGTCTTATTAAGAGAAAGTCGTGTTAGTTACACTGTTAATGAACAAGAATGACTAAACTAATTTCGTTGAGGATTGGTGGGAATGTAGTTTAGAACCAGAAGTAGCACATATAATGTGGTAGAGTAGGATAGGATAGGTAGGGTAGGGAAAGTAAGATAGGGTAAAAGAAAAGTAGTAAGGTAGTGCGGAGTAGATAGTGTAGGGTAAGTAACTAGGTAGGGTAGGTAAGTTTGAAACAATGAAACAATGAATTTATTTTTTCAAATAGGCCACAAAATGGCATTTTTACACGTCAAATATGTGAAAAACTAGATAAAGCCGGCATTTCCTATCTGACTACTCTGAGAAGAAATGCCGAAACAAACTCAGAAACTTTAGGTACCTAGTCAAATGACGATAGGGAAGCCGAGGGTACAAGCTAGAATAGATACGTAACTATCTAGTTTCGTTAGCTATGACCACGCAGTGACGTATAAATATTTATTACAAGTGACATAATAATAACGAAAAAGTCAGCAAATGTTTTTCAATAAAAACATAATAAAACTACAAATACTCTGATAACTGGTAATAAATGAGGCATCGCACCAATTTAGTAATAATGCTTATTTCGTTTATCAAATTACTAATCTGTATTACTCATATACATTTTTGGAACTAATTTGATTCTTTTACAAGACAATGACAATTTATTTACAACTTTACCTGATAGATAATCGTGTCTTAAAATAGCATTTTTATGATATTGTATAAACTTCGCTAACATTGAACAAAATAATAATTTACTTATAGATGTAGATTTGCTATAAAAAGACTGACGAGTTCGGGGTGAGATATTTATAAATGAATGATCGTCGAGATAACTTCGTGAAAAATGATAGTCGGGACAACCCACTCGGCGCAGTCTGTCAGCCATCGGAGATTTTAGAACGATAACACTGCATGCTCCTCTGAAATTGATTGCCGAGTTAAGTTAGTTATGCAAATGTTATTATGGTGATCAAGATTATCGAAATGGACAATGTGACATATAGTTGACGTGATATAATTATAGGTAATAAACTAATTTATTTATATAAAATCCGGAGTGATACCACGGCCTTACAGAAAACCGGCGTGAAACAACCACAGCGTTGTGTTTCGCCGTGTGAGTGAGGTTACCGGAGGCCTAATCTTTCCCCGTCCCCGATCCCTCCCCAATCCCTTAATATCCAAAACCCTTATCCCTAAGAGGTCGGCAACGCACTCGTAACTCCTCCGTTGCGGGTGTCCATGGGCGGCGCTGATGGCTTAACATCAGGTAATCCGTATGCTCGTTTGCCGACCTATTACATAAAAAAATATATACAATATATGCTCGTATAGTATGTTAATATAGTTAATTTAAAAATAAGTTACAAATCTTCAAATTCGTTTGTCACAAGTGGTCATATTATTAAATTCTATATTATTTCTAAACAACGTAAACAAATAACTGATATCAGCCGAATATAGAAGAATGATAGGTAGATAGTTGATAGTTTAAAGCTGTAGTACAAAATTGGGTCACACAAAATATCATTTACATTCAGCTTATTCAATACTAATTACAAATTCCACTAATAGAATGCAAAATTAGTAGATTTAAATCAAATGATTCTAATTAATATAAGAGTATTTATTTAAACGGACAACTGATCGAATGTTATTTCGATTGATTTTATTTTGAACCACACTTTACAATTACTTATTAACAATAGCAAGCTCAACTGTCATGAGTGATGTAAGTTCTACTGCTAGTCATCATGGACTGGCGACTATGAATTAAACAGTTTAAAAAGCCATCATACTGCCATGATATCTAGGTGGGGTTGCGGGGGCAAGCGAAATGGTATACCGGTATACCCCGGCTTGTATAAGGAGAGGGAACTTGGCAGTTTTTAATCATTAATGACCTTATTACATAACAAGATTTTTCTTTAGTTTAGATCTAAACCTTTGAGCCATTTTTTGTATTTCAAATTATATTTAGGTGAGTATAAGATTCAAAATACAAATCTTGATTCAATAGTTTAAACTTAGACCGAAGATAAATATTGTTTTGTAATAAAGGAGGAGTAATTTGACTGCACGGTTGGTGCGGCGGCTGGGTAACTGGCTGCCGTGGAACGTGTCGATGGTTCCATTCCCGCACGGAACAACTCTTTGTGTCCGCAAATTGTTGTTCCGTGTGATGTGTAATTGTGTTTGTAAATGCACACACGACAAAGGAGGATATACTAATGAAGGGCAAAGTTTAAAAAATAAGAATAAAGAGGGCTAACAGTTTAACACTCTTTCGCCCTACCTTAGGTTGGAGAAGTCATTGGATGATTTTTCGTTCATAAGAAACGTACTAAACAAATGAAATGCTGCTATTATATAAAGCAAAACCGTGACGTCACAGATAAAACCAAGTACGTCAAATTATAATTAATTAAATATTAGATTTTCCAATTAATCGTGAATCGAATATATAAAAGATTACAAAGTAATTCGGGAAATTTGTACTGACAATTTAAAATTCTTTGTTGTCAGGTTTTAGCAACAAGTGACGCATATTACAGTAATTTATTATATTTCCTCAAAATTCGTAATAGTTGATAGCATACACTGATTAATTACAATATTTTGTAACAGTAATTGGACTTTAGCCACTAAAACATCGCGTATGTTCACGTGCTTGATGTTTGTCGCGATAATTACACGATTAACGATTCGCATGACTTGCATAAATATTATGATTGTTGAGAATTTGGAAAAAAAGCTAAGTATATTCAAGAAATACCAAATGAAAAATAAATTCTATTTAATCCACTCTCGGGTTTTTTATGATAAACCTACACTACGTTTAGTTACTGTTTCACGTTGACTCAAAGTACTATTTTTGCAGATTATAAATAACATTAATGCTATTACGCTATTATATTCGTAATGATAAATAAAATGTAAAGGTTAAGTAGAGATAACTTAAACTCCAACTTTTTCATAAAAACATATTTCAGGTCCATTTCTGTTCAGCTACATTACCAGTGCTACAACTTTTTAAATAAAATATATGCACATATTGAAAAGAAACAATGAAAAACGTTACAAAAACTTTCCAATACAATCTCCTATTTTCTTAATAAAAGTAATGAATAAAATGTTAAGAGGAAAAGTAAAAATAGAATTTACGAAATATTTTAACGAATGAAAAAGCCTAAACGAAAATGAAAAACATTTACAATCTCATTCGGAAGCAAAGCAAATCCTTCACAAGGGCACAACGCTAAATGTTCCCAAAGGGTAGGCTGAGCGTGTAATATATAGTGACGCACTGACAGACGCAAATTGACTGTAAATGTGTATCTACAAACACTCGGAAATGCGTAAAATATACCGGAATATTGTAAAATGTTATTTTCTTTAACAAGCAATGAAATTGTTAAAGTATTCCGTATTCATAAGCACAATAAATTGCTTTTGAAATAAAAGATATCCCTGGAATACACTACATTGAAATTTTACTTGAAAATATACGAAGGAGAAAACTAAATATTATAAAAGACGTCACAATCACGGCATCCTATGTCAAGGATGAAACGAGCTGCATACTGTGATGTGAAGGCAAACATTTATTCTGATACAAGATCTGCATAATTGTGTTGTACGCTTCACGTTCCGCGACACCAGATATCGGTTACATCTCAGTGACGAAGAAAGCGTTGACAAAATATTTACGATTCATTTTGTCTACTAAATGCGATATCTAAAGGCTTCTCCTTCAAACAATTCAATTAATTTAAGGTACAAGGAAACAACAGAAGTCCCTACATCAAAGCTTTGCAAACATTAAAATCTTTTCCTTTGTTAACAAACTCTCCAAGTGAAATCAAATAATAAAACAACAATTTCGAACAAATACACAAATTAAAACTACTTAAAACAATTTGCAGGGACGTTGTTATTGCTCGGAGCTTAGTGGAAAGTGACTCGCTGACTTGGCTCAGTTTGTCTACCGTTCGGAATGATTTAGGGTAGAATCGTTTTGACTTAGCACTCAGAGTTATGAGCTCTCCGAACTTGGTATGCTAATAAGCGCCGTAAAACATCCGTAATAGCGCAGGCCGTCTAGGAAATCGTTCGATGTCTAATTTATTGGTGATTTCGCTCCTGAATTTGGACAATTTGTGCAGTCTGTTATAGTTTCAGACAATGTTAGTAAACGTTAAGTACTTTATTGAATTCCGAAGCTGTTTGCTCGTATAGTTGTTGTAGTTTAAGCCTTTATTAATTTGACGATGTTATTGCATTTGAGTTTCATTGTCTGCACTGAAACTTCCGCGTAATAAATTCGTCATTAGCAAAAATGTCAGATAAGAAAATCGTGTAGTAATGCGTAAGTGGATTGTACTTTGTATTCGTATTTATTGGAAAGCATGTAATAAAATATTCACTGGAATTATTCATGCTTGGAAACAATTCGTCACAACTTACAAAGTTATAAGAAAACTGAGGAAAGAAAACTCTGATGAATTTAATCAAAAATGTTGATTGCAGTTCATTGCACCACTTGTATATCACTCAAGATCGTGATGTCTCTCACGCCTAATTAACATGTGACCTTTTTATAAGTTTACATGGGTACAAGTATAGTTTAACTAGTAACTACACATTGAAACGAACATAAGAAGTATCTCTGCTACTTTTCTTCTGGGGTAAGTCAGTAAACGAGCACACGGATCGTAAACAATGAACACCCCCTTGCCAGCATTGCCAGAATTTTACGCCAACGCCACTATTTTTTTTAAGGATTGAGCGCCCAGGGCGGAATAACCTCACTATCGTTATTACTATGGTAGAGTGAGTGAACACTAATGGAATAGATTTTTCGTAATTATAAATATAGCATATAGAATTTAAAACCAGCATGCGAAGTTCTAAAGACATAGAATTATAAAAGATAACAAATTAGTTTAATCTTGTAATAATAATGATTGATTGGTTGCAAGCGTGATCACCTAATGTTCACCTAATGTTTAGATATTAAACTGGTAGTGCCTATTCTTTATTATTTTATGTCTGAAACTCTTATAGGCTTAAATGTGAATGACAATAAGTTATTAGCAGATTAAAATATCTTTGAATTAAGTAAATAACAAGTTTCTTGCTACTTTTGACTAACTCGGGACGTGTAGGTATATGACCGTTAGCCAATATGAGTTAAATACTATAAAAGTTCTAAGTAATTTTTAAAAGTTGCAAATATTGTAATATATTTGCTATTCGTGTTTGACAAATGAAGTTCTAAATAAAAATCCGTTGATAAAATGCCATTGTCAAATATGAGTACTAATTTATCGCACACTAGACTACCTACTACTAATTCAGGGTTCTGTTAATCATGCAAAGGTTGTCTAGAAGAAGTCACCCTTGTTGATAAGACTCTACGGTTGTAAGCCTGCTCTTTGTAAAAAGTAATTAGTACTGTCCTTATTGGCCACTGATTTGAAAACTAAATGGTTTAAAATATAAACATATTTTATCTATCTACTGACAGGTGGAACCGGATTTTTGATAAAATTCTGATGAAATGATTTGCAGTATTGTACACAAATATGTAGGTACAGGTGTCTGTAATTATATTATCACCTGCGTGACGTCACACGATACGTTAAACAATACTTAAATGCTAACAAATACTCAGATATCTTTGACTTCAATTATTTTAAACGCATTTTTGTCCAAAACACTATTGTGAGCTTCTACATAAACTTTGCACACTTCACTTCTTATTATTACCGCAAATGAGCACACGGATGATTACCTGATGGTAAGCAATCAGCGCCGCCCATGGACACCCGCAACAGCGGAGGAGTTATGAGTACGTGTATGAACTTCTGGATGAAATATTTAGGGATGGGGGAGTGGAAGGATGGGGCCTTCAGTAACCTCTCTCACACGGCGAAACACAAAGCTGTGGTTGTTTCACGCCGGCTTTCTGTGAGGCCATGGTATCACCCCGTTTGAGCCGAAGCATGAATCTCCCATACTATTTTGTAAATTGCCAATGCAAATAAAACCCGCACTGCCTTATTACCTTTGCCGCCAATTGCTTACCATCAGGTAAGCTGCCAGCTTTTGTGCGTGCTTCTGCCGTCCTGTCACATAAAAAAACCATCCGGCAACAAGGGACACGGTAGATTGTGGTGCATTTTAACGTGCCCTTACTCACCCCATCAGTCACGAACCATTTCATGCTGACGTTTTTATAAGAAATCTTTATCTGGTTCCTTCGTCATCATGACATGACATAAAAACTTTCTTTTTTAAAAGTTCGCATGTCACTAGCTTCAACAGTAATGTGTTTGGGACACTCCCTTTCCGATTAAACAAAAACTAATCAAAAGTTTCAAGAAAGAAAAAATATACGATGTATAAGTTAGTAGGTATACCTATGCTATACTTTATTAATTTATGGTTTGAAGGATAATTCAAATATGGCTTCAAAATGGTTCGATATTAAAAAAATAATAATTGAAACAAAAACTTTCAAATTACACGAGAGACCACGTCTAGGCAAACGTAGTGTAGGGCGCCCTCCAGCTAGTGGACTGCCGACATCCGCAGGGTGGCTGGCAGTGGTTGGATGAGAAGAGCTGAACATCGAGCTCAGTGGCGTGCAATTGAGGAGGCCTATGTCCAGCAGTGGACGACAACAGGCTGATGATGATGATGATGATGATGTCTTTCAAATATAATTTTACTTCTCCTTTCAACACCGTAACGATTTTTTCGCATAAATAATTAAATTATAATCAATCCCGTTATCGCGGCCATCAGAATAATCCACCAGCATCTGTTTGACTTCGAACTCATTAGTGTCGTCATAATATTCAAATTCACAAAAGGCAAAGTGTGTAGCCAATTGCTGATTAGCTTAGTGATGTAATTGACGTTGAGATTGGCGCTATGAGCCGTGATTGAAATGCAGATATTTTATGGAATAGGTACAGGATACGAGCAGACTGATTAAGAACCTATTGGTAAATCGGCTTCGCCTATTGAAACTCGTAATTTCATAGCAGTTGGTACAAGTGCCTCCGGTATCCTCACTCACACGGCAAAACACAACGCAAGTATTGTTTTAAGCCGGTTTTTTGGGAGGCCGTGATATCACTTCGGTCAAGCATGCATCTGCCCCACATATTTTACTGGGGTTTTAATACAATCTCACTATTAACACAACGGATTTTTGCTACCTAATCAGTCCAGTATGTTGAAATATCTAAAAACATTATGATATGTCGGGTTTTTCCATTTAAGAAACTACTTAAATCTTACATAATAATATGGCAGGTATCTGTTATACAGTCTCATTTTCCCTCTAAAACTAGGTAATAATTATACCAATAGGTATCATTATATTAACTGCTAACAGATATGTATTATCTGCAAAATCTTCATTAATTGTTTAGCTCGCCCAGGTGTTCTTGCAAATTACCTACAAAAGATTTATGAAGGTAAGCGATCTTCTTTCGAAAACAGATTTACACAGGTATCTTCTGTGCCATGGAGATACACATACTGAATTTGTTTTCTATCACACTGGTACTGTGTTCTCCATAGGTAATATGTAATATGTCCTCTTTTGTGTCTTCTCTTCCGTCTCATCAACTTTTTTTTGAAAGTAATAAAAAAAAAAGAAGGAGGATACCTATTTAACATGGGTTTACCTAAACATTGTATCAAACACAAAAACACAAAGTGAAGTTACATTGAAAATCAAGAATACTATAAACACATTGATTATTTTCTCGAAACGATAGAAAGATTCGATCGGAAGAGATCCTCCAAAGCCGATGTAACTCAATTACTTATTGGCATGGGATAGGAAGGACGGAGACAAAACAAATGAAGCAGAAGGCTAAAAGTAGTGACGTCACGAGACGAGCATGGCTCCTGAAGTAGATAAGCTACACTTGTATGTAAAAACTGTGACGTCATCTAGTATATTGCTTACGCTGTAGTAGGCTGTAATCGACTGTATATTGTCCCATAGTATTGTACTCGAAGTGGTGGTCGTTATGATTATGAAACTCATCCAGATGTCACCGTGTGTGTCCTTATGGTCCACAGATAATAAAAATACACGCGACCTCGCGCATAATGTTAAAATACTCTGTGGACCATAGACAAAACTTGTTTTTTCTTTTGTTATTAATTTGTTTTTAAAAACCATTTCATTTTTATCTGTGTCATTTAGTTTAGATTTTTAGTATTATTTTATTTTCTTCTTTTTCTGTTTTATGTGTGTGCGCTTGCGCGAAAATAAATGTTTTTTCTTTCTTTCTTTCTTTCAGATGCAGCATAATACCGTTATTGAAAATCATCAAATGCCTTCTCTCGCCCAGGGTGAGATGGGAGGGTCAGACTCTTACTGGCTACAATTCACACCTCCTGCTCCAAACCGAGGCGCGATACATTGCGCGTGCCCCGCAACCCGGCTGAACATCGCCCATGATGATAGTTTTCTCACGCGCTCCGGTTCCTTCTTTTAATGTGAGAACTTCCCCTCCTAAATCTCATAACAAAAGATGCAAACCTGTATTCTGCAATCAAAACTGTCATTTAAAAAGGGGGTTAAGTGTGAGGTTGCTAACATTATTAAGATTGGCCTGCTGCAAGTAAACCAACCAATAAGAGGTCTAAACGCTATAAAGTTTAGATCCCTTTAACGTAAAGCAAAACTAACACTAAGCCCTCAGATGAATGATCGTGATGAGAGTCACATGAATTGCGTTTGTCCATCTGGTCTCGGTTTCCTATCAGATGACCATACTGATTGTTTGTCGACCTATTCTATAAGCTGGACCTATTATAATGCTCATATTTTCTTTGTAAGTAGTTTAAGTGCCCAATAGGTTTTGAATTCCTTCTTGGCACAAAGTTGTCAATGAACCTAAGTGACAACAGAGATACATTACATTTAGAACACCTTATACAAATCTCCATCTTGAGGCGAACACCAAACTTCATTCACATACGTATAATTGTGCCTATCTAATTAAAATAAATACACAATCTTTCCCTCAAATGAGTGTAGTTTTCCTTTTCCATCAGCTACACAGCCTCTCATGACAATAACTTTATAATGCTAATATCCAGATTATTATAATAGGTTCATTTACATAATAAGGACGACTAGGTACTACTTGTTCCAGAATGCTTATTGGCTCTCGAACTTTTTCGTCGTTTCTTGAGACTTGCTGCCTAGTGGGTACGCAACGAGAATTTCCAATGAGTTCTCTGCGTGTCCCATTTCGCCTTTAATGAAGGTTTTATTTTTAAATTGAACGAACAATCAAAATGTTCAGCTTTACACGTAGGGCATTAGGTACTTCTATTTATAGATTGGAAGGGTTTGCTTCACAGCCTTAGTCGAGTGGTTGGTATGAACAAGTGTCTGGGGTCCGATTCGCAAGATCATCAATGTATTATTGAACTTTCCATTTTCGCATTTTGCAAAAACTGTAGTATTGATTGATTGTGATTTTGATTCTTATGAAATAAGTAAAAGGCGAAAAGCAGTTTCATATAATATTATAAATTGCTGAGCATTTTATTTGGTTTTCTTTTTTATGTGATGCGGCCTCAAATGAGCTGGCAGATTCCCTGGTGGTAAGCAATGGCGTTATCATGAACACCTGCAACAAAATAAGTTTAGGGATTGGGGAGAAAGGGCGGAAGGGGCCGCCAGTAATCTCATTCACACGGTGACAACAAACGATGCGGCTATCTCATGCCAATACTTGGCAAAGCCGTGGCATCACTCCGGTGGAGCCGAACCATTCGGAATGAAGTATGAGTTAATAAAATGCTGTCACAAATATAACTATAGCATAGTTAAATTCAAATAAAAAGTAAAGGACGTGTAATATAATCAATCAGATAAACACTCCGTTTTAATTGATAGCTTACCAGAGATAACAATTATTCGCCACAACAAATAAACACATGTTTTAGTGATTAACAATACTGCGTAGTATTTTAGGTAAATGCATTTGTTTATACTATTCAAGCTTCCTCTAAATATGCACATTAAATTATATTAAAACATTTTTATCAAGGCGGTTATTGACACGATAATTTAAGTGCATTGTCATATACGTGATAGAAATCAGAGCGAAGCATAAAAAAATATTAAAATTTTAAGGTTAAAAAGTCTTCTTTCTTGTTATCATGTATTCGTATCTATTATTCGTGACTGGCTACTTTTTGAGGGAAAGTTCCTTTGTGGATGATGGTGATGATCAAAACCGACAAAATGCAATATCATCATAGTTAGAAGTTAAATCACTTCAAAAGTAATCTAACATTAATCACTGTATAAAGCATTTACTACTAACTACTGTATTGTAATTGAATTTATCAATAGAAAAACAATTTATTATATAGAACAAGGATAATATTTCAAACATTAACTTATTGTTGCTTTACAATACAACGTCACAGCTAAAAGCATTCAGAAATATCCCACCAATCACTTCGTTTCCCCAATAGCCTTTAAGTTTGGTTCGTGTCAATAAAACGGGAACTTCCCTCAATATCGAAGTCCATCCATTTACTATAATTGAGAGGGAATGCTCCGTTACGAAGATTTCCATTACGTTCCCCGATTACTGGGAAAATATAGTGCTAGGTACTGAGCCCGCAATCTCAATGCAATTAAATGGAAATAAGATTTCTACAGACAATGCTTCCTTGCTATTAACGTAACTTTTTGTTTACGTGACGTTTTTAAGAAAAACTATTTTTTTTTATCATCAATTTTACCACATTTCATCCCTATATAATAAGCTCAATGACCCTTTCAAGTATCATGCAAAAATTATTATAGTTTATTATTTATTAATTAGTTTTTAAGCCTTATTAAAATGAACAGAATAGAAGATTATGGTAGGTAAGTAGTTGTAAGGGTGGGTATACGGATAGCGAGCAAGCGCGTTTCGAAGAGTCAATAGACAACCACACACGGTGACCAAAAGGGCCGACCGACGTTCAAACGGGGTTGTGGGACAAATGCAAATGATAGGTAGCATGGAGAATTAGAAGGAACAGGGTCCTCTCATCGTCTCGTGCCATCCAGAGCGAGAGAAAGTATTTGATAATTTTTCCCAAAAAGTAAATGATTGTTGAATTAATATAGGTTTTCTTGATGAGAATCTAAAAGGAAAACTGTAATATAATAATAACTAT